ATAGAACTTTTTGGTAAAAACTCAACTCGTCGTGTTTGCAGGACAAAGAATGCTGAGTTGCATCCAAAGAACACCATACCTACTGTGAAGCATGGGGGTGGAAACATCATGCTTTGGGGCTGTTTTTCTGCAAAGGGACCAGGACGACTGATCCGTGTAAAGGAAAGAATGAATGGGGCCATGTATCGTGAGATTTTGAGTGAAAACCTCCTTCCATCAGCAAGGGCATTGAAGATTAAACGTGGCTGGGTCTTTCAGCATGACAATGATCCCAAACACACCGCCCGGGCAACGAAGGAGTGGCTTCGTAAGAAGCATTTCAAGGTCCTGGAGTGGCCTAGCCAGTCTCCAGATCTCAACCCCATAGAAAATCTTTGGAGGGAGTTGAAAGTCCGTGTTGCCCAGCGACAGCCCCAAAACATCACTGCTCTAGAGGAGATCTGCATGGAGGAATGGGCCAAAATACCAGCAACAGTGTGTGAAAACCTTGTGAAGACTTACAGAAAACGTTTGACCTGTGTCATTGCCAACAAAGGGTATATAACAAAGTATTGAGAAACTTTTGTTATTGACCAAATACTTATTTTCCACCATAATTTGCAAATAAATTCATTAGAAATCCTACAATGTGATTTTCTGGATAATTTTTTCTCATTTTGTCTGTCATAGTTGACGTGTACCTATGATGAAAATTACAGGCCTCTCTCATCTTTTTAAGTGGGAGAACTTGCACAATTGGTGGCTGACTAAATACTTTTTTCCCCACTGTACCTCTGCTGCAGAGGATAAGTTCATTAGTTACCAGCCTCAGAAATTGCAGCCCAAATAAATGCTTCACAGAGTTCAAGTAACAGACACATCTCAACATCAACTGTTCAGAGGGGACTGTGTGAATCAGGCCATCATGGTCGAATTGCTGCAAAGAAACCACTACTAAAGGACACCAATAAGAAGAAGAGACCTGCTTGGGCCAAGAAACACAAGCAATGGACATTAGACCGGTGGAAATGTGTCCTTTGGTCTGGAGTCCAAATTGGAGATTTGTGGTTACAACCACCGTGTCTTTGTGAGACGCGGTGTGGGTGAACGGATAATCTCTGCATGTGTAGTTCCCACCATAAAGCATGGAGGAGGTGTTATGGTGTGGGGGTGCTTTGCTGGTGACACTGTCTGTGATTTATTTAGAATTCGAGGCACACTTAACCAGCATTCTGCAGCGATACGCCATCCCATCTGGTTTTGGCTTAGTGGGACTATCATTTGTTTTTCAACAGGACAATGACCCAACACACCTCCAGGCTGTGTAAGGGCTATTTTACCAAGAAGGAGAGTGATGCAGTGCTGCATTAGATGACCTGGCCTCCACAATCCCCCGACCTCAACCCAATTGAGATGGTTTGGGATGAGTCGGACGGCAGAGTGAAGGAAAAGCAGCCAACAAGTGCTCAGCATATGTGGGAACTCCTTCAAGACTGTTGGAAAAGCATTCCAGGTGAAGCTGGTTGAGAGAATGCCAAGAGTGTGCAAAGCTGTCATCAAGGTGGCTATTTGAAGAATCTCAAATATGAAATATATTTTGATTGTTTAACACTTTTCTGGTTACTACATGATTCCATATGTTTTATTCCAAACTTTTGACTTGTAGTGTACAGATATATTACACAATAAAGAAAATAATTTACAGGTTAACATTTAAATATTGCTCCCAGCGTTGATCAACGCTCAGAATGCTTATAGCCTATTCTTGATATGACTGAGTTCTAATTGCGCCTGCCTGGAATAATGAACAGTGATTTGTTCGTTATGTTCGCCTGCGTATCCCCGGAGCTGTTGTTTTGGGCCCTGTACAGGTCCCGGTGAGTACTGCTGGCAATGTCATAAGAATCCCCCCCCCCCCAAGTCCATAAATCATGCACTATGGACACGTTCATAGAGTAATGTAGATGAAGTCACCAAAAGTGCAAACATTTAGTTTGCATGGAAAGGGTACATCCTGATGGTCATTGTAAAGCAATGTATGTCTTTCTCCGTACACATTACCTTGAATGCATCATCCACATGCGCCGTTTAGCTAGGTCATCGCGGAAGCAAGCAGAGAGAAAGGTTAGTACAGTGGTTCCTAAACTTGTACCAATCTTATCAAACAAGTTAGGAACTTTAAAAAAATAAGATATGTTTCAATATGAACATATCCACATTGTCTATCTTCCCTATAGGCCAACATTAAAAAAGCAAACAATACAGTTCCAAAATGTCATACGTTTTTGTTTTGTTGGGTATAGCATTACCATTGTATAGCTAATAGGCTTATGTGTTTTTTATAGATCGACTGAGGTGAATGGACCTACAGCAGCCAAGGTGATAATGGCTGAGGTCATTGTTGCTTGTTTTTGCTGTTCTCCAAATAGCATTTTAAAATGTTGTTGTATATAAATGCAGTAAACAAGCTTCAACTTTCAAAAAATTTCACGTGGGGAACTCCTTCCTTCCGGACCTAACTAACGACTCAAACCCTAGTTACGGCCCTGCCGTCCTGTGCACATTGCTGCACCTAAAATGTGAATAAATAATATTTTATCAACATTTTCAGCTAAACATTCTGATCTGTTCCATCAGCCTTATTATTTGATACGGCGTATACCTCCACTACACCACTGCTGTTGTCTGTTGAGCTTTTTATACAATGACCATTCACTTTTTGTCCGAAGAATTCACTTGACTTACTTTACTTAGCACAAACTCTCACACGCTCTGCCTCGAGATGAGAATAACTCCCTTATTAACTAATGTTGACAGCTTCTAGGGTGTTATTTAGAGGTAACATGTTTCCACATCAATCTATTTCCTGTTGGTGGGCCACCCATTGGTCACTCCACTTCCTGTTTTCCAGCTGCACTGTGTCATTCAGTGCCACCTGGGTCCACAAATGTGCTGGGGGAAATGGCACTTCAGAGCAACTGTATGCAAACAGATTACTTCCATAGGAGGGTTTAAAGACAAAATGGGGCACAACATGTCACGTCCCTAATGAGAGCACCGTTTGAGATAAGGATCCTGTCCAGGTTTGTTTACATAATTGGTAGAGGATGAATGGGTGGGAAGTCTCAGCCACAGGAGGTCATCATAGCATCCATTAAGTCTGTGTTAATTAGGCTATTGGCCAAGTTAATTTTCTGTCACAAACTTTTTCTGTGAGACAAAGTTGAATCGGCAGTTCACATTGGAATTTAGGGGAATTCCAATAGTTGCCTGAGAAAATGGAAAAAGGCCATAATGTCCATCTCTTTCTCTCTTTCTATGAGTGAAAAAATAACATGGTGGTCATGGCGAGAGATCAGAGCCACGACAGCGTACAGTGTTATATCCCATAGTCCCGACCTTAACAAAAATAGACGTGCAGGGCCAAACACCCGCCGACTGTCCTTTAAAATGAAAGGGAGGTATTATTCCTTGTTCCATATTCCACATGTACATGTCAGAACACCATTTTCCCTCTACATTTAGCACTAACAACTATCTATGGCCTTTGAGAGTGCACTATGATATGATAGCTAGGGGTATATGTGATACAAATGTCATAAAACATCAAATGTCTTGGCATATGCACTCATGTATTCATCCATTTTTCAGTGAAGTTGGGGCAGCTTGAATGAATGTGTCGATGTCCTTTATGTGTTTGTGTATGCAGTGTGCTGGACTGACTCCTCACACACATGAAACCAGTATACGTATGTACAGGGGGCACAGTTGATAAAGATGAGCAATAATGATTGTATAAAATAAATAATTAAATTACTGAGCTACTGTATATTGTATGCCCAAACAAATGGGGAAATTATATTATTTTATGCTAATACGATTGCTCAGAGAAAGAGATTTTGTTTAACAAGGAATACTTTTTTCTCTCAAAAATGTAGGGGTCAAAATTGACACCCCTAAAGATTCTTATAAAGTAGTCAAAAGTTGAGTATTTGGTCCCATATTTCTAGCACACAATGACTACATCAAGCTTGCGACTCTACAAACTTGTTGGATGCATTTGCAGTCCGTTTTGATTGCGTTTCAGATTATTTTGTGCCCAATAGAAATGAATGGTAAATAATGTATTGTGTCATTTCGGAGTCACTTTTATTGTAAGTAAGAATAGAATAATATGTTTCTAAACACTTCTACATTCATGTGGATGCTACCATGGTTACGGATAATCCTGAATGAATCGTGAATAATGATGAGTGAGAAAGTTACAGAGGGTCAAAGATCATACCCCCAAGACATGCTACCCTCCCGTTATTGGTAATGGTGTCGACGTTTATGAACCCGTCTGGTGACATTACGTGATCCGTCACGTCACCTCTCATCCCTCTGCTGTTGTTCCTTTGCATATCAGCCTGTCCGTCTCACCATTCAATTCGGGATTGCAAACGCGGTCTCAAACCAGTGACTCAGCCAAAGGGATGCACATGAGGAGACGGTTAATCCATGACCCAGGAAAGAAAGTGACGTGTTTCAGGAAATCAATTCTGCTCAGTCTGTGACTGGCTTGATCTACAAATCACCTTGCATCCCTAAGTAACTACTCGTCAGTCTGATTGGTCGGCAATCAACATAATTGATGCTCTCAGACATGGTCACTTATTTGACACCATTCTACATTTAGCTACAAGGATAATGATAACACATATGTTGGGGTCGGAGGTCAAGTCCTTTCAGGGGGTCATCATTAAGGTGTCAATAAATAAACGAAAAGAAAAAAAATTACAGAACTTGATCTAAAAATCTGTGTCATTCCTATGGCAGTACTGTAATTACCAGACACAATCTTATACACATCCACATATTACAAATCTCAGCAACAGGTGAGATTGCACCAAAAACATATTCCTACATCCAATGATAACTAGGAAGATACCACCTCTATGCATACCCACATCCAGTTGAACATCCTCACAATGACCTAATTAAAGAGAATGACCTAATAAGCACTGCTGTGGATGATGTGTTTATACAGGCAGAGTGGGTGCCTGGGAGGCTGGCTGGTGGGGTGCCAGGACTGGGCACAGGTTCTGAGTCACACTCTTTCACACAGAAACAGAGTCAAAGCAGGGCAGAACTACCACTAACTGGGCTTCTGTCAATGACAAAGCATCCTCAGAGAGCTCCACTCACAAGACATGGTACATTTTGTTCAGTAAAAGTAAGGTGCATTATGACATTGCAAGAAAAAGATGTACAGAGCATGACTAGTATAAACAATTGGGTTAAATTATGGATAGGGAAAAATGATACCACAACTGTTTAGTGCATTCATGATCATGACAGTCCTAAGCCATTGCATTCATTAGGGACTGATTGTATTTGGCATTTAGATGAATACCATTTGTAATAGCCAAGTGTAGGACTTCAATTCTAAACACAATTGTTTTTAGTGTACCTATAGCCATGCAATTCTGTTCGTTTTGAGTCATAGTATGGAGTGGGACAAATGGAAATGTGTTGTTTCTCAAGACACACCTTAGGACAAACATAGCACAACTGGCCCTGAAGATGCTGATTGTGTCTGTTATTAGTTATTGTTTAGACTGTCTGGCTTCTCAGATATTTCTATCACTTGTTATCTTTTTAAAACACAGAGAGGATGTAGAAAATATTGTCACTGAACTGTATTGTACATTCAAACATAACCAGAATACACAAACACAACCCTTCTCTCAGGGTTTTACATTCATTTTTTTTTTACTCACCGCATCACCTGATTTACATCATTCTACATAGTCTAAATAAATATTATATAATATGAATATATAATCTTTTAAACATATTTACAATCAAGATTACTTTAATGACCTTAAACGTTAGCAGCCTACATGTAGACTAGATTGCCATCTAGTGGTCATATTCACATGCCTTTTACAGTTGTTCTGAACCAATAAATGAAGACTATTAGCTGTACTACTATAGCAGCACAGAGGACCAAATCACCATATACTGCACATTTCAATGTTTTTGAATAACTGAAATGTAATGCTAATGGTGAGAGTTGGGAAACGTGTTCTGGTTACAGAACAGAGCAGATATGTAGGCTTGCATGCCCCATCTATAGTTCTGAGGATGTGGTAGGTTGAAAGTCAGGCTCTTGCTTGTTGTAGTTTGTTGTTGAGGATAGTGTAGAGCAGTGTATGCTATTTAAAGACGGCTTTAGGGCCTCAAAGCAACATGCAACAATTCCAAAGATTTTACTGAGTTACAGTTAATATAAAGAAATCAGTCAATTTAAATAAATAAATTAGGCCCTAATATATGGATGTCACATGACTGGGAATATAGATATGCATCCGTTGGTCACAGATACCTTAAAAAAGAGGTAGGGGCGTGGATCAGAAAACCAGTCAGTATCTGGTGTGACCACCATCTGCCTCATGCACATCTCCTTCGCATAGAGTTGATCAGGCTATTGATAGTGGCCTGTGGAATGCTGTCCCACTCCGCTTCAATGGCTGTGCGAAGTTGCTGGATATTGGAGGGAACTGGAACACGCTGTCGTACACGTCCATCCAGAGCATCCCAAACATGCTCAATGGGTGACGTGTGGTGAGTATGCAGGCCATGGAAGAACTGGGACATTTTCAGCTTCCAGGAATTGTGTACAGATCCTTGCGACATGGATGATCATGCTGAAACATGAGGTGATGGCGGCGGATGAATGGCACGACAATGGGCCTCAGGATCTCGTCACGGTAACTCTGTGCAGTAAAATTGCCATCGATAAAATGCAATTGTGTTCGTTGTCCATAGCTTATGCCTGCCCATATCATAACCCCACCATCGGGCACTTTTCACAACGTTGACACCAGCAAACCACTCGCCCACACAACGCCATCTGCCCGGTACAGTTGAAACCGGGATTCATCCGCGAAGAGCACACTTCTCCAGCGTGCTAGTAGCCATCGAAGGTGAGAATTTTCCCGCTGAAGTCAGTTACGACGCCGAACTGCAGTCAGGTCAAGACCCTGGTGAGGACAACGAGCACACAGATGAGCTTCCCTGAGACGGTTGCTGACAGTTTGTGCAGAAATTCTTCGGTTGTGCAAACCCAGCTTCAACAGCTGTCCGGGTGGCTGGTCTCAGATGATCCCGCAGGTGAAGAAGCCGGATGTGGAGGTTCTGGGCTGGCGTGGTTACACGTCGTCTGCGGTTGTAAGGCCGGTTGTACGTACTGCCAAATTCTCTAAAATGACGTTGGAGGTGGCTTATGGTAGATGGTATGTGCAGTTGCAAACCTTAGTCTGGCTTTTTTATGGAGGTTTTGAAGCAGTGGCTTCTTCCTTGCTGAGCGGCCTTTCAGGTTATGTCGATATAGGACTAGTTTTACTGTGGATATTGATACTTTTGTACCTGTTTCCTCCAGCATCTTCCCAAGGTCCTTTGCTGTTCTTCTGGGATTGACTTGCACTTTTCGCACCAAAGTACGCTCATCTCTAGGAGACAACGCGTCTCCTTCCTGAGCGGTATGACAGCTGCCTGGTCCCATGGTGTTTGTACAGATGAATGTGGTACCTTCAGGCACTTGGAAATTGCTCCCAAGGATGAACCAGACTTGTGGAGGTCTACATTTTTGTTTCTGAGGTCTTGGCTGATTTCTTTAGATTTTCCCATGATGTCAAGCAAAGAGGCACTGGGTTTGAAGGTAGGCCTTGAAATACATCCACAGGCACACCTCCAATTGACTCAAATGATGTCAATTAGCCTATCAGAAGCTTCTAAAGCCATGACATCATTTTCTGGAATTTTCCAAGCTGTTTAAAAGGCACAGTCAACTTAGTGTATGTACATTTCTGACCCACTGGAATTGTGATACATACAATTATAAGTGAAATTTACTGTCTGTAATCAATTGTTGGAAAAATTACTTGTGTAATGCACAAAGTAGATGTCCTAACCGATTTGCCAAAACTATATTTTAACAGGAAATGTGTGGAGTGGTTGAAAAACAAGTTTTAATGACTCCAACCTAAGTGTATGTAAACTTCCGACTTAAACTGTATATACACTGCTCAAAAAAATAAAGGGAACACTTAAACAACACAATGTAACTCCAAGTCAATCACACTTCTGTGAAATCAAACTGTCCACTTAGGAAGCAACACTGATTGACAATAAATTTCACATGCTGTTGTGCAGATGGAATAGACAACAGGTGGAAATTATAGGCAATTAGCAAGACACCCCCAATAAAGAAGTGGTTCTGCAGGTGGTGACCACAGACCACTTCTCAGTTCCTGTGCTTCCTGGCTGATGTTTTGGTGACTTTTGAATGCTGGCGGTGCTTTCACTCTAGTGGTAGCATGAGACGGAGTCTACAACCCACACAAGTGGCTCAGGTAGTGCAGCTCACCAGGATGGCACATCAATGCGAGCTGTGGCAAGAAGGTTTGCTGTGTCTGTCAGCGTAGTGTCCAGAGCATGGAGGCACTACCAGGAGACAGGCCAGTACATCAGGAGACGTGGAGGAGGCCGTAGGAGGGCAACAACCCAGCAGCAGGACCGCTACCTCCGCCTTTGTGCAAGGAGGAGCAGGAGGAGCACTGCCAGAGCCCTGCAAAATGACCTCCAGCAGGCCACAAATGCACATGTGTCTGCTCAAACGGTCAGAAACAGACTCCATGAGGGTGGTATGAGGGCCCGACGTCCACAGGTGGGGGTTGTGCTTACAGCCCAACACCGTGCAGGACGTTTGGCATTTGCCAGAGAACACCAAGATTAGAAAATTCGCCACTGGCGCCCTGTGCTCTTCACAGATGAAAGCAGGTTCACACTGAGCACATGTGACAGACGTGACAGAGTCTGGAGACGCCGTGGAGAACGTTCTGCTGCCTGCAACATCCTCCAGCATGACCGGTTTGGCGGTGGGTCAGTCATGGTGTGGGGTGGCATTTCTTTGGGGGGCCTCCATGTGCTCGCCAGAGGTAGCCTGACTGCCATTAGGTACCGAGATGAGATCCTCAGACCCCTTGTGAGACCATATGCTGGTGCGGTTGGCCCTGGGTTCCTCCTAATGCAAGACAATGCTAGACCTCATGTGGCTGGAGTGTGTCAGCAGTTCCTGCAGGAGGAAGGCATTGATGCTATGGACTGGCCCGCCCGTTCCCCAGACCTGAATCCAATTGAGCACATCTGGGACATCATGTCTCGCTCCATCCACCAACGCCACGTTGCACCACAGACTGTCCAGGAGTTGGCGGATGCTTTAGTCCAGGTCTGGGAGGAGATCCCTCAGGAGACCATCCGCCACCTCATCAGGAGCATGCCCAGACGTTGTAGGGAGGTCATACAGGCACGTGGAGGCCACACACACTACTGAGCGTCATTTTGACTTGTTTTAAGGACATTACATCAAAGTTGGATCAGCCTATAGTGTGGTTTTTGCAGGTCTACTCTGCAGCGCTGTAAGCATGGCGGACGGGGAGGAGCGGCGCTTTGCTGAAGTAAATTGACTGACTCCCCTTTATTACTTTTCAACCCCACCATCCTTTCCCTACTTGGAGTAAATTAGTGAACAACAATGCCCAGGCCTCTACTTCCGGTCTATACTTACTATCTACACCTTATGGACACAGTTAATTTTACAATAATTCTATTATATATATATATATTTATTTATTTTTCTCCTGAACTTCTTCTACTCTCAACCTCTCCGATCATTTTCATGATGTCCATCCGGTTTGCTTCTATATGCCATATCTTTCTAACTGTGCTCTTTCCCAAAAGCTCCCAACATACAACCTATATACTTATTATGGACACAGTATGCTTAGGCCCTCTTCTTAATAAAGTATAATTAAAATGAAGACGATTGAAATAAATTATGCCTACTTTCATCACCATGAGCTGTCCATATCAGATTCATTGTGCTGCGGCTGCTGCTTCAAGTTTCAGCACCACAATGTAAGTTACTTAAATCTGGCTTATTGTGAGGTCAATAACTCTGATAAATAGGCCTACATCATAGGTAAGAAACATATTGTTTTTAATAAATCAATTATAGTAGTAGCAAGCTATCAAAATGATTCTCCGGTCCTCCTCATCTTGGCGCTCTCCTTCTCCAACTGAACAGAACATAGGCTATAGGCTAGTCCACACGTAAGAGTGATTTTTTTTAAAACTAGGCCTAATCAACAACAACAAAAATCAGAAGAAGCCTTTGACTCTCCTCCTGAACTGCCACTGTAGACCTACACAGCACAGCCATTGTTAGGCAGCACACAAAAACGTTTTTGATCAGCAAGAGCAGAGCAGGCCGGGGCTCAGGGTTGGAATATCCATCACAGTGTGTATTGCAGCCTAGTTTTATTTACACCATCCCACCAGCTATCTTAGAAATATAACTTCCTCGTATTAGGGGGCTGGGAGGGGGCTGAGGGGAAGGCAACCCCCAGGTCCCTGCAGGTGACTGGCGATGCCCAGGGTGGCCTCGGAGAGGGGCTGAGCCCGGGGGAAATCACACCCCCGAAGCATGGCTGGGCGCTGCCACCTCCCTCCGCTGGCAGGGACAGAGACAGGGCTTTCATCTTTAGCAGGCGCTCCACTGCCACCTGCAGGACAGAGAGGGGATTGGTACTTCGTGGGCGCTTTAGTGGTGGTCGACAGGGAGTTTTAACATAAAATGTAAAGTGCTTTGAGATCAGGTGAAAGGTAATACATAAATGCAATTTGTAACAATTCATTATTGGGAATCTCTTGTATTACTTTGGATGGCTCTGTTTGCATCACAGAAAACGTTTCATACTCAGTGACTGGTCTGCTGCACTCACCAGGATGGCTCAATACACCTTGTGTCCGTCTGCTTTCACCTGGGTATTGGAGACTGAGTAATCATCCAGGACAGCTTGCAGGTTAGCCCAGTAGGCTGGCAGGTGGGGATATAACACTTGCTCAACAGCCTACAAAGACAGACACACACAGTGATCAGCAAAGCCAAGGATCCTAAAATTATCCAAAGGATAAATTAAATAAATTATACTTTCATACATAGATAATCAAGATGGATGGAAGGTGGATACATTTCCTCTAAGTGAATGTAGCCCCCTACAGCTCCATAGTGAGAACACAGCGGGCGGACCGGGTCTGACAGAACCTTCTGCAGAGACAGCAGAATCAGCTGCTACAGACCACTGACCAGGTCTCCATGGGTCCTGGAAAAGACACAGGTTTAGGAGGGAATTAGATCAAGGGTCGAAGCATGGCCATGTTTCTATTCCACCATCTTGTGTAGAGGAAATTACAAAAATACACAAAGGGAAGAGAATGATCGGTTTGGTTTCTGACTTTCGTTTGGTGTCTAATATCACGGGGAGAGGAGGACGACACTGGGTATGTAACTTTCAGGGCCCCGTGTATTGAGAGCTGGACAACATACCAGAACATGTGGCTGACCAGCAGCGCTGAGTACTCCCTAAGGGAGCGGTGGTCGTTGAGGGGGTTGACGGAGGCGGCCAGCGGCTCATGCAGTACATGACACTGGACACCAGGATGCCGAGGTAAAGGTAAGGGTTCTGAACCAGGCTCTTCACCATGTGGAGGAGAGAGTTCAGCTGCTCTAGTTCATGGCTCATAGACTTCACCTTACCTATACCTTGAGGTTACAGGTTGCCTTTCCCATCCAGATAAGACATGTTTACTAGTAGGATAACAAATCATAGTCAATATAAATGCTACTAAATCCCATAAACACAGAATGAGCATCAATTTCACTTGAAGATGGTGGCTTAGTAAAGAGTGAGTCAGTGAGATGAATTTCTAAGTCCTGATAACATGCCTCGGCGGTTCTTACCTTGAACCATGGTCTCTGCACAGCCCTTGGGTGTGTTGGTGGCCAGGGCCAGTTCAAACAGGTTGATATCATGGTCCTCCGTGAAGAATAGTTCACCCTCCTTCATCGGTCAGAAAGGTAGGGCATCTTGCGCACCGCAGCCAGCTACGGCCTGGCAAAAGAGAAGATTGTTACTGTAACACAACTCCTGTTTGTACATCGCCCAGCATGAATATGAGAGCAACCAGGATTCTATTGAAACAGGTTCACACAATGTACATATATACACTCAATAAAATAGCATTCTCCCACCTCCACATTACTCCAGCACACTGCTCTCTTTAAGTCCTCTACTGTCAGCTTCCTCCTCTTGGCATGTCTCATGAACTGAGAGCTGTTCTGTGTGGGTCACAGTGACAAACAAACCTCTAAAAATACAAGCTTTACCTATGAATAGGGCCATTGAACTTTTCCAGGTCAAATGGTCAAACTCCTGGCCCCACTAACGACATCGAACAATCTCCATTAATTTGGCAACTGCTTCATTGTTTATCTAAGCAGGTAGCGGATGTCTTCACTAAGCTCCACTCCCGCACTTTCGACCATGACTCATGAGTTTGACAGCCTCACTGGGCACTTCAGCAAAGCGCCGCTCCTCCCCGTCCGCCATGCTTACAGCGCTGCAGAGTAGACCTGCAAAAATAACCACACAGGTGTAACTGCCAGCTTGTAATCTAACTCATATTGGTTGTTAACTTGCCACTTTATTTTGATGCGTGCACCCCCACCACGCGCGATCATCTATGCCAACCAATTCGTGCAAAGCGGACTTTTTTTTTTTTACACCAACAGAATTCGCTCAATCACTTACCTGTTGATATTAAATATGCTTTTCGCAGGTTAGTCGCTCAAAATTGTGCACAGGAACCTCGTTCACTCGGGTGCCGCTGACATTTTCCGGATAGCCAGCCTTTCTAGATCAAAGATTGGTCTAATTGGCTATCACTCAAGAGTCACGCCCACAACACCCCGCCCTTTCATTGAAACAGAACTAAGACCCTCCTACTCTGGCAAAGGTGGTGGAAATGCATAGAGCAGCAACGTTGCCAACTGTCAAATTACTTTGACGACTAAACTCAGTTTAAGGCTTTCCCGGTTTGAATTGCCTTTGCTATCTTCAGACTAGTCTTGCTATTTGCTATTTGATGTGAAATACATTTAAGTCTCATCCAGAGCAGTCAACCACGTGTCAAAGGAATTACGTTATTGCAAGTAATCCGTAAAATAGCGGCCATCAGCAGTCAGGAAGGGAAAAAGCAATGCCCTTTTAGTAGTGCATTTGAATTCACACATTTTGGGCTTGCATCCCAAACGTAAAGTACATATCATAGTTAGAAAAGTCTCAATTGAGCACAGATGCAATAAATCTCAAGTAAATCCTGAATAGACCCAGACAGTGAAAAGTTAATACTTGGCCAAAACTAGAGAACACAGATTACTAAAAATAGAGTACATGGAAGCAGTGAAAAGTTCTGGCTAGTTCAGTGAACAAAGGACAATTCATTTAAAAATTGTGGTTTATTCAAGGCAGAAGTATCACAATAAATACAAATTTAAGTTAAAACAGATTCATAAATACCAACACTTATAACCCAATTCAAATGTACAACAGTTACAAGGCCTAATCTACATATAAACAAAGGGGTGGATAAGTCAGAACTCCTTGAAAACACAATTGAGGCCATAAAATTTGTAATGCAGGACAGTAATCAGTCTCTCCAAACTACCATGGAAGATTACACTTTCTCCCCCCCCCCCCCCCCATTAAAATACATTGTAGGACACATGTGGCTTCCAAGCTCAAAGCAAACATCACAATAGGCTATACATCATATTAGTTAACAATACTGTTCTTGCCTAGTGACTAAAGCTTGTTCCCCCAGACACCCTGCATGGTGCAGGCAGCATCCATGGCCTGGCTGTTCTCCAGCTGCTGGAGCCTGAGGGCCAGAGGCAGCAGCACGTCATTCAGCTGGCTGGAGAAGGTGAAGGCATTGGGGGCCATGGGCTCGTTCAGCGGGGTGGTCAGGGGAGACGAATCCTCTGGCCAGATCGGGGAAGGTAGGCCAGATGGGGGCGAGGAGGATGAGGAGCAGGGAGGAGAGGAGAACATGTCCGAAGCGAGGGACAGCGGAAGGGTGCGGGTGCCCCCCTGGACGCTGCTCGGCAGGCCGTGTTGGAAGCAGCAGCGGGTGCCATAGAGGCAGAAGCCAAAGGAGCTAAAGGTGCGGCACAAGGCCCCACGGGGCTTCCAGTCCTGGGATTGTAGCTGGGGCCTGGCAATGGGGGCCTTCTCAGCAGCGCTGTCTGGGGACTCCAGGCCGCTATCACTGAGGCCGCCACCACAGTCGCCCTCGATGTGCAGGAAGTTGCAGCGTGTGCCGAAGGGGCACACACCAAACGAGCGGTAGGTGCGGCAGGGGATGTTGCGGCGCCGGCGGTGGGGGGGGCGCTGCTCCTTGGCGGTGTGGGCGAACAGGCAGCGGGTGCCGTAGATGCAGTAGCCTGCGGTGTGGAAGGAGCGGCACAGTTCAGTCTTGTACTTGGGGTGGCGGGAGTGCACATGGAGGTCGTGGAGGCCATGGGCAAACTGGCAGCGCTCTGCATACTTGCAGAAGCCAGTCTCAGCGTAGCGGCTGCACAGCTCCGTCTTGTAGCGGGTGGAGCACATCCAAGGGCTCAGGGAGGGAGAGGGGGACTCCACTAGGGGCAGGAGGGCCTCAGCCAGGGACATGCCTCCCACTCCTCCAGCTGGACACTGCTCCCCAGGGAACAACAGGTCATCTATTCCCTCATCATGGTAGGGGAACATGGGCAGGTCATCACTGCTGGTCTGAGGAGTAGAAGAAAAGTATTTTTAAAAATGTCAGGATTGAGAGGATTTATTTGGATGGTAAACCCATGAAAAACTACAGGTCTAGAGTCAAAATGCAACAGTACATTAACAATATTGGTTCTCAGTGCACTTACTGTTTATGACAAAGATATGCAGTTAAACAAAAAGACTGACTTGACATGAATCTCATCACATAAAATAATGTCTCAAACATTGTTCCCTCTGTTGCTGTTTTGGTTGGACCAGGTTTTCTGAAGTAGAGATTCTCTCAATGAGACTAACCTGGATAAATAAAAATTACATTGGCAATTCAATCAAATGCCACAACCGTGTCTAATTTAGACAGCAGTTGTGTTTTTTTTACCCAGAAAATACAATGGAAGCAGGGTAGGCTACTGAAAGCATTTCTGAAACAAAGGATAACACAAGCAGTATACCTCAAACATTGTTGCGAATTGAAGAGATTTCCAAACGATTGTGCCCCCGACGCTCTTCACCTGTTGTTAGATCGCAACCTCAATGTCCAAGCCAAATTCTAGAGAACTGTGTTTTCGGTATGAAATAAAAGTTAAAACGTATTATAGCCTCCAGACCATTAACGAAGTGGACTACAGACCAGACCACCCCACTTGCTTTGTTATGAAGTTGCACGTATCTTGCGGCTGTGTCCACTGTATTTTAACTTGACCCAGATCCCACTCCCGCCTTCCCTTTAAAATGAGAATCAGCTGTGCAACATTAAACGCCAGTAGGGCGTTCGAATCCACCAATCAGATACAATGTAGCTGGTATTCGATTAGTAACCGGCCAATAGCGTTGAGGCTCTGCTACAACGTTGCAGTTTTAGCGCGGGATGAAATGCTCCCTTAATTAATGCCTTGATTACTAACGTCAAGCCCATTGGGTACAAAAACACTTATTCTGTTCTGTGTCAATTCACACCACAGTTGGAGAGGTCAACCTCACACCTGAGTAATTTGTTAATTAAATGCTGTCTGTTAGGGGGGAAATATAAACCTTTGTGTGACATGTAGGCTGCTTCTGCAGGTCTTTGACCAATCATATAAGATATTTTGCCAATAATTATGGTAAAAGTTCAGAATTGTGTTGCCTGTGTAAATGCAGCCAATGTGTGATCATGATTAATAAAACAGAATAATACTTTGAAAGTAATAAAATAACATTTTCACGTTTTAAGGAAGTAATCTAACCAGGGTTACAGTATTTATTTTCTACAGAATCCAACACTATCACGTGGATCATATGTATTCCTCAAAAGTTTCAATTGATAAAGGATAACATTAAATTAGATGGAATTTTAACCATGCGTGTTTACATTTTTTGACACTGACAACTAAGCAACATTGCATGACATTTCATACACATTCAGAGAAAGCACACACACGAAAGAGAGAAATGTATAGGACCACAAAGAAAAACAAATCTTTATTTTCTTATCAAGATACATTAAAAGGATACAGAGACATTGGAATAAAAAACACTTGAGAAAAAATGTTTTTAATTGTAGCATAATTTTCTCTCCAACATACAAAATTCTAACCCCCTCTACATCCATCCCACCTGCTCTGTTCCCCCCCCCATCCCCCATCCCAAACCCACCCAATGATGGAGAGCAATGTTCACATGTACAGTATTTTAACCCTCTCCACAATATGGAGTAATTACAAGCTTTCTTCCCCAAATATTTAATATAAAAAAACAAGTTTTCAATAGGCCAAGTTTTTTTTTTTTTCTTCTTCAGATTAGTATTTTTTCACTAAGCATTTTAACACTTCAATTTGTTTTAGAAACATTACAAAAGCCCACATTGGGACCAAACTTGCTTATAAATCAGTCATTTCTACCCCCGTACTGGCTGCCATAGTTCACAGGGCCTGAGGGAGAAAGAGGAATTATAATAATATCCAATTAAGAATTCATTTAATCTAACTCACCCTTTCTTCATAATAAAACACAAAAAGGGGAAATAAAGATTCAAACCAAATGAACCCACAAGTAGAGACATCACTGGAGATTCCCATCATCATCAAAGACATGACTTCAGCACCCAAAACAATACATATTGCTGCTTTAGTAACAACATTATCCGACAACAACCAGCTCGTAACATAATTTGCCAGTTTCACTCAAACCCAAGATCCAAACAGTCCATTGTCATAAATGCTGTGGCCTAGTCTATGGTTGGGGGATCTGAAGGTACATTATTTATAGGTACAGGTGACAAAATGAACAGGGGCTGTCTTAGAAATGTTTTTCATGGCTTAATTCTGACTCCTTCACTAAAACATATTTCTCACAATAAGGACCTCAAAGACAACAGTATCTATTTTGCATGTCCAAAACAACTGTAACCCATCAGATCCACATCCTGAACCACCTTTGTTCGAATATCTTCCAAACCTACAGAATATGAAGCTCATCTACCTTGTCACCCTTTCCTAAACCATTACTTCTTCTCTCTCCTACCATTGTATTGAAGATAGAAGACTGTTGTACTCAAGCGGTTGCCTGACGACTCATCCTGAACTTATTTCCTCTTCTCTATTGATCGCTACCATACATTCAGTCTAAAACTGCCATCTTAGAAGTTGCTTGTTTGACTTCAAAATGAGGGGCGTTGAACAAAACAAATCCATCAGCGATTGGATAGTCTAATAATTCTATCCAATCAGTGTATCAAAGTTGATAACGTCAGCATGTAGGCAGGCTATGGCCCAACCCATAGGTTTCTGGGACCAATCAGAACGGTCAGAATGTGTTTGCGTTCTAGAAATTGTCGGGGAGGGAGGCAAATCCAGACTCATCGTGGGGAAGAAACGTCAGTTGGTCAGAACGTTGTGGCTGGGTAGCCAGGCAACTTGAGCAGTCGTTCTCGGGTCAAAACCAAAATGCACCCCAAAGGCTTTACAGAGAAGGATCCCGAATGTCTCTCTCCAGATGGGTAAAAAATGGCTGTAAAAAGTGTGACAATCAAGTGATAGTTAACAAGACAGGACTCAAATTGATTGCGACAACAATCAAGTAGAAAAACGGAGCTCAACAAACAACTACTGCAACACCTAGAGGTTGTGGGAGGGGGTTGGGTGGAAAGCTGCTGATGTTAAAAAGCACCAGGGGGTGAACACAATTTATTTCCTCACTATCAAACCCTCAAACTTAACTTCTGATAGGCTTGTGGAGAAGGGGCAGGGCCTGATGTGATGGTGCAAAATAAGTGTAAGAGAATACGGGTGTCTAAAGTAGAATCTGACAAGTATCCTTGAAGGATGGGTCACACAAAGCACTTTACTGCAACCTCCCAGACCTATGATGGAACAAGTGGGTGAAACCTTCATCAAAATAGACTTTCCCACAAACATGCGAAAAACTGCCCCAGATAGCCCTCCCTATAGAATATGAATAACTAGAACGGACATTCCATCAAATTGCTGTGGTTCTAGTATTTCTATTTCCATGGCCCTCCCACACCTCTACCAGTCCCCTCCCACACCTCTACCAGTCCCCTCCCACACCTCTACCAGTCCCCTCCCACACCTCTACCAGTCCCCTCCCACACCTCTACCAGTCGCCAACCAAATAGGTGCCAACCCCTCAAAATGCTGCAAATATTTACACAAATAAGATAGGACCTGGAGGAAAAAAATAAAGTGTGCTTAATCACCATTATTTCAGGATGAGAAATATTTCTGATTTTAAATGACACTGTTAAAATGATTTGCCATTAAAAAAGGGAGCAAAAGTAATTAAAGCAAAAAGAGCCTGAATAAAATAGCAGAAAGCCCAAAGCCTAGTGCGTGTACATGGGCATTGTGTCTGTGTATATACTGAGTGTACAAAACATTAGGAACACCTGCTCTTTCCATGACAGACTGACCAGGTGAATCCAGGTGAAAGCTATGATCCCTTATTGATGTCACTTGTTAAATTCACTTCAAATCAGCGTAGATGAAGGGGAGGAGACCGGTTAAAGAAGGATTTTTAAGCCTTGAGACAATTGAGACAGGGATAGTGTATGTGTGCCGATCAGAGGGAGAATATTTAAGTGCCTTTGAACGGGGTATGGTAGTAGGTGCCAGGTGCACCAGTTTGAGTGTGTCAAGAACTGCAATGCTGCTGGGTTTGAGGCTAAAGGCAAAAGGGGGTGCAACTCAATATTAGGAAAGTGTTCCTAATGATTTGTACACTCAGTGTATGTGTAGTGTGTGTGCGCGATGTGTGTAAATAATTGATGCCGTGTACTAGATGTAATGCATGTGGGTGTCACTCAAGTGTGTGTGTGTGTGTGTGTGTGTGTGTGTGTGTGTGTGTGTGTGAGGTGAGCAGCACATCAGCTTTTGGGAGGTAACAGAACAGAAGACGAGATTTTAAAAAATAAGACGAGAGAAAACAACTACTGGTATGGGTTGTACTGCTACACTAGCAGGTTGGTGCGCGGTGGTGCGCCCTCCCTGTTTCAGCCCCCCTTAGTCCTCCAGGACGATGGGCTCGCTGGTGCTGGAGGGCAGGATGGGTAGTGCCAGGGGCCGGGGGGGCAGGGGCAGCTTGACCCTGACGGGGAGGTGTGGTTTCCTGGCTGCCCGCCGCATCTCAGACTGGGTCAGGTGTTTCCTCAGAGCCCTGGGAGAGGAGAGAAACACAACATGGTGAATTAGCTGTAGGACTCAGATCAACATTGGCGCACCTAGGAGTCCAAGGCTGTGTTTAAACAGGCAGCCCAATTCTGATTTTCTGCCCAATGTTTGGCAAAAGATCTGATCAGAATTGGGCTGCCTGTGTAAACACAGCCTAATGTCAAAGTCCACAGGTGCAAAGAAGAAGTTAAACTTCTCATCTTCAAACTAGTTGAATGCAATATTAAAACATTAATCAACAAATGCAACATTTTGGTAAAAAAATCTTAAATCAAGGCAAATTCTCCCACTTAATTTTTTGCCATAAAGACCTGATTGTTTTCTTTGTCAGGTGTCCAATATAGAACTAAGTAGATTTCAACAAAAAAAGCACAGAAAGTAATGTGCATCTTCCAGAGCGGGTTGCTACTAAAGAGAATAACAGACACTATACTCTGAGATCACCTACCTGGTGTATTTAGTGGCGACAAACACCACAGGGTTTGGCGCGTCTCCTTGGTTCACTTTCTGACGCTTGATCACCGACTGGGAGGTGGTCCTCATGCCCGATGTGAACGGCCTCCCATTGGTGGGGAACGGCAGTGCTAACGCCTGTGACCAATGAGAGAAGAACGGTGAGAGGTGTGTGTGTGTGGCCACTTGGCCCAAGCTGTGGTCATGCCGCTTTACTAAGGAGGTGATGGAGGGAGACACAGATGGTCAGTGGATCTCCCACTGTTACAGAGGAACCAGAACCAGTCTGTCCCTCTCTGCAGTCTGAGTAGACAGAGACAGGAGACACTACCCAAGGTTACAGCAACTGAGGCCGTCTATACCGAACAAGAACCTGTCAGTGTCACATATCTGGATTGACTGACGGAGAGATGGAGGAGGAATTAAAAAATGGTGGTTGTGGTTTGTGTGTGTGTGTGTGTGTGTGTGTGTGTGGAGTACTCACGCTGCTGTCAAAGGGCCTCTTCCCGAGCAGGGTCGATCCCCCGCGGGGCTGGTTGGTCTGGTTACGGTTGATGGGGGTGGGGGTGCCTCTGGGAGCCTTCAGCTTGAGTGGAGCCTGGATGGCTGGGGAGAGTAAAGGAGAGCCCCAATCACAAACCAAGCCACTTATAATAAGCGCATACCGCTTCATTATATTTAGACAACTGGAGCATGGAAACGTAAATACAATTAGGGAGAAAAACTACAAATAACACAAGTGATTTTTTGAGTCTGTTCCAACCGTGGGTAAATTCACACAGTGTCACCACTGTAAGACCTATCAGGATCTCAATGATCATTTCTTCTGTGATTGGACCATTTTCTTACCCAGTTCCTTCACTATGGTGGCCAGCGGTGGTCGAGGGATCGAGCGGTTCTTTATAGGGGCCTTGGTCGCTTTAGGCAGCCTTATCATACCTGAGACAAGAAGACGATAAGCATTACATTTACATTTTAGTCATTTAGCAGACGCTCTTATCCAGAGCGACTTACAGTTAATGAATGCATACATGTTTTTTTTATTTAATTTTCAAAAAAAAAAAAATCATACTGGCCCCCCGTGGGAAACAAACCCACATCCCTGCCGGCCAAACCCTCCCCTACCTTGGACGACGCTGGACCAATTGTGCACCGCCCATGGGTCTCCCGGTCGCGGCCGGCTGCGACAGAGCCTGGACTCGAACCAGGATCTCTAGTGGCACAGCTAGCACTGCGATGCAGTGCCTTAGACCACTGCGCCACTCGGGAGAAAGTAAAGTGTGTATGAGTGTGTGTGTGAGTCCATGCGTGTCTGTATACTCACACTCGGCCTTGACGGCGTTGGCGTTGATGGAGGCGTAGGGGCGGCGTGCGGCGCGGCGGGGCTGCAGGATGTCAGTGCAGACGCGGCGGGCGATGCGCGTCAGCTTGGTGGTCTGCAGGATAAACGTCTGCCGGTTTTTCGCCAGCAGCTTGGCGCGCCCCCCACTTGTCGTGAACGGTGACAGGCCCTGCACTTCCTGGCGGGTCATGTGACCTCGGGGTGTGGACTCCTGAGGAGGGGCCAAGAGAGTTTACATATCGAAATATCGTGAATATCATGATTGAATATCTCAATAGTCTACATTGGCTTGCTCTCCTCTGCTGCCGCTGTAATGATCTGATAACACCAGGAATTACGAAATGAAAATAATATTAACTCACTCTTCCCCGTCCTATGTAGATAAAGGAAAGCAGGCTATTGAGATACACCCAGTATTTGAGAGGATTAAGGAAGCAGGTTAGTAATAGCAGACATACTGAGCCAGATCTTGCGGCCCCCTCTAGCTGTGTGGGGGTCTTCAGGCCTCCGTACTTCTTCCAGTAGATCCAGCAGGATGCACACAGCCTGCACTGCATGTTGGGAGGACCCCACGCGTACCACTGTGCAGACTGGGCGGCTGCAACAGAGGGGAGATCTGTTAGATGCCCGGAAAAATAAGTCAAAATCACCTACACTACACACATTAATTTTTCACTACAGTTAGCCAGACAATAGGCCAGACACAAAACACATACTAAAGTTGTATGGTAGAATACTCACTATGGCAGCTCTCGCAGCTCAGTCCTTTCTGGAAGCCTGCGGCCCCGTTCATGCCAGGCTTGTTACCAGGACCCATGATCTGGTTGGGGTTGGGTTTGGTGCTGGAGGTAGGGAGAGAGTTTGTGTGTTTAGATACCGTGGTAATGATGGAGATTGTGCATAGGCTCTGCTGCAGTTCAGACTGGTACTCACTAGGTGGGGATGTACACCTGCTTCAGCTTGCTGTCTGCTTCTGCTGCCTTTAGTCGTTTCTGAAACAAACATACAATTCAAATTAGCAAAGTAACAACAAGTAGCTCTGCTTGTGAAGACAACTCTGCAATATACATTACTTAAGCCAATGCATAGTACAATCTCATATTGTTTTGTAAGAGTGTGGCTCTGAATGGCTGAGTGGTGTATATTTAAGCAATAAGGCCAGAGGTGTGGTATATAGCCAATATACCGCGGCTAAGGGCTGTTCTTAGGCAAGACGCAACGCGGAGTACCTGGATACAGCCCTTAACCGTAGTATATTGACCATATACCACAAACACCCGGAGGTGCCTTATTGCTATTATAAACTGGTTACCAATGTAATTAGAGCAGTAAAAATAACACATTTGTCATACCCATGGTATACGGTCTGATATACCATGGCTGTCAGCCAATCAGCATTCAGGGCTCGAACCACCCGGTGTATATTACCTGTTGAATGTAGCGGTCGGTGGTCTTCCACATGTAATAAAACTGAACCACGCTGGCTAGTGACTTCCACGGCAACTGGGGACAACAGAGTCAGAACATCCTTCAACACTGACCAGATGAAAGCACTCAGGATACAGTTAATATAGAGTGGCGTTCAGGAGGTACATTTTGAAACGGAGGAGGTAATTTTTCTTACTAGTTTCAAGATATTTTACCTTACTGTTCCTTCTGAACGCAAGTCAGATATCTATTAGAGGAATACGGGAGGCCACTTACAAAGTCCTGGCGGATGTCGTTGAAGTCCTTGCCGTACTTCTCCAGGGCCTCCTCGAACAGCATGGCCTCCGAGGCGCTCCACTCCTCCATCTCGTCACGGCAGAGGACCGGCCCACCCTGCGGCACCAGTGTGGACATGGCTTTGGCCAGGTCGTAGCCATTCTTCTGCAGGGTGTCCATCGCATGGAACTAGAGGGGGGAAAGAGGGGACGATTAGATATATTGTTCATTTTAGGCACAGGTTACCCTATTGAACTGTTTTAGAAATATGTGATATATTATATGGTAATAGATATGGTAAACTCGGCGGCCAGTTTATTAGGTACACCCATCTAGTACCGGGTCGGACCCCCCTTTGCCTCTAGAACAGCCTGAAATCTTAAGAACATGGAAACATTGCTCAATTGGTATCAAGGGACCTAATGTGTGCCAGGAAAACAGTCCCCACACCATTACACCACCAGCCTGTACCCTTGACACCAGGCAGGATGGGTCCATGGACTCATGCTGCTTACACCAAATCCTGACTGACATGACGCAACAGGAACCGGGATTCGTCGGACCAGGCAATGTTTTTCCACTCCTCAATTGTCTAGTGTGGGTGATCTCGTGCCCACTGGAGCCGATTCTTCTTGTTTTTAGCTGATAGGAGTGGAACCCGGTTTGGTCGTCTGCTGCAATAGCCCATCCATGACAAGGACCGACGAGTTGTGCGTTCCGAGATGCCGTTCTGCACACCACTGTTGCACTGTACCGTTATTTGCCTGTTTGTAGCCCGCCTGTTAGCTTGCACGATTCTTGCCATTCTCCGTCAACCTCTCTCATCAACGAGCTGTTTTCCCCCACAGGACTGCCGCTGACTGGATGTTTTTAGTTCGTCGCACCGTTCTCAGTAAACCCTAGACACTGTTGTGGTGAAAAGGCCAGGAGGGTAGACGTTTCTGAGATACTGGATCCTGTGTGCCTGGCACCGACGATCATACCATGCTCAAAGTCGCTTAGGTCACTCATTTTTCCCATTGTCACGTTCAATTGAACAGTAACTGAATGCCTCGATGCCCGTCTTCATGCTTTATATAGCAAGCCACGGCCACACTATCTGTAGGAGCGATTCATTTTCATGAACGGGGTGTACCTAATAAACTGGCCGCTGTGTATAGTACAATATAATGTATAACATTACATGTAGTAATTAGGACAAAGTAGATGGCCATTGTTTTAAGGGTTATATGTAGAGCGCTTAGTGATTTTCTTGTCACCATGGGACATGGACAAAGTGTGTGCATCTCACCAGTGTGATGTCTCTGGAGGCTGCTGCGGCACTCATATGCAGGCTGGGTTGACGGATGGAACTGCTGCAGTCCAGGGCCCGGGCAAACGTCCCCACAGCACTGGAACACATAACCATCAAATATCATCATCATTACAATCTATGACAAACCCAGTACTGAAACAGACAAACTCTCAACTTATCAAGGCCTAGACAAAAATACCCTATCAGATGGGATTCTGTAATATAGGTGTGAATGATCCCCATATGGCCACTAGATGGTGCATTCCCTACATTGTCGATTCCCTCCAAAAACAGACTTCTGTGTGTTGACTGGGGTCATACTGCTACTACACCGCTTAGGCAGGTCCGTTCAAAGATGTCTTGAGAAAATAGCAAAATATCAATACACTAGCATCAAGCTCAAAGGTGGGCACTTTGAAACTCAAAGCCATCCAGTTCACGTTACTCAAAATCAGAATGTGCTCCAAGCTCATGACAACAAGGTCCTGACAAGGACCTCCATAGCAACAGAGCGTAACCAGGGCAACGTGTGACAGATAGAGGGGGACAGGGCCAGGGGACACTCACCGAGCCACCACCAGAAACTGGTCGATCTGAGGGTCTTTGAGCTGGTTGTCAGGGTGCCACACCTTGGTCTCCAGCTTCTCTTGGATACGGGTGTCTGCTTCATCTGGGAGGGATGATACCAAGAAGACAACCATCAGACATGTCAACTAATGTTGCAGATAGTCATTGGTTGTGGTTGCGTGACCCACTATTTGGGAAACAAGAGAGAGAGACTTGAGAGGAAAGATAATGGTGAAAGAAAGGAATGAGAGAGAGAGAGAGAGAGAGAGCGAGACACAGAGACAGAGAGAGAGAGAGAGAGACACAGAGAGACACAGAGAGAGAGAGTGAAGGGAGTGATGACAGCAGAATGAGCAGCTATGCACGTCGGTCTGACCAGACTGAACTAGTGTCAGATACACAGCGGCTCAAACGAGCTTCACAAAATGTCAACCTTCAACTTAACACTGGCTAGGCTACACTAGGGAAGATAAGACGAGGGCAACATCTAACTGCACTACTTGCTGCCAGAAGGAGTTGATACCTTTTCTGTGATGTCTATGGGGTCTATCTAGAGTTGTTTCAGTGGGCAGAAAATTGAGTTCTCCAATAGGAACACAGATACCCTTTTTCTATTCCAAAACATGTTCCTACGTGCCCTACTGAACATGACCGCTGTCTCACTACTCATGATTTAAGATCCCATACAACTCCATCATTTAGACACGTCATAGATGGCAGACATTCTTCAAACCCAGCACTTTTAGAAATGGGTCCCAATTTCAATTGTGTAGTCTGAGAGCACTATGATCACTATGATAGGCTGCAACCTGATAGGCCGGTGTAAAAGGTCAGAGTTCAGCCACCCCCCCCACCCCCCCCTTCTACACAGACAGACACAGACCTTCGGCTAACTTGTCAGGGATCTCGGCCTGGTACTTGGAGCCCACCCGAATCTCTCCCTGGTCCGCCAGCAGGGTTTTCTGGACCGGGTCAAACACCAGTGAGTAGAAGAAACACTCCTGGAGCACAGAAAACAGATGTAAGGATGGGGCTAGATAATTTACATCAGGGTTGGGCAACTGGGCGGCCAGCCCCCCTTTTGTAGGCCTGTGGATCAATTTTCACAAAAATAAACTCAACTCACTGTTGAGTTAGAATAGTAGAATACACAAGGTGATATTTAAAACTGTGGTTGTGCGCATAAGCAGTTTATTTTATGTCAGTCACTAAAAGTTACTCAATTAGCACGTCAGCTAACATTTTTTTTTTTTTAAATTGGTAAGTTACTCTAGCCAGGGTTCATACATTCTGAAAGATGCAATTTCATGACTTTTGCATGACTTCTAACCAAATTTCCATTATCAACAATTGGCGGCATCTCTATGTACTGTGCATTCGGAAAGTATTCAGACCACTTGACCTTTTCCATATTTTGTTAAGTTACAGCCTTATTCTAAAATGGATTAAATAAAAAAAGTCAATCAATCTACACACAATACCCCTTAATCACAAAGCAAAAACAGGTTTAGAAATATTTGCAAATTTATAAAAAATTAAAAACAGAAATACCTTATTTACGTATTCAAATCCTTTGCTATGAGACTCGAACGAGCTCAGGTGCATTCTGTTTCTATTGATCATTCTTAAGATGTTTCTACAACTTGATTGGAGTCCACCTGTGGTAAATTCAATTGATTGGACATGATTTGGAAAGGCACACACCTGTCTATATAAGGTCCCACAGTTGACAGTGCATGTCAGAGCAAAAACCTAGCCATGAGGTTGAAGGAATTGTCCTTTGAGCTCAGAGACAAGATTGTGTCGAGGCACAGATCTGGGGAAGGGTACCAAAACATTTCTGCAGCATTGAACGTCCAAGAATACAGTGGTCTCCATCATTCTTAAAAGGAAGAAGTTTGGAACCACCAAGACTCTTCCTAGAGCTGGCCGCCCGGCCAAACTTGGTCAGGTAGGTGACCAAGAACCCGATGGTCACTCTGACAGAGCTCCAGAGTTCCTCTGTGGAGATGGGAGAACCTTCCAGAAGGACAACCATCTCTGCAGCACTCCACCAAACCAGGCCTTTATGGTAGTGTCCAGACAGAAGCTACTCCTCAGTAAAAAAGGCACATGACAGCCTGCTTGGAGTTTGCCAAAAGGCACCTAAAGACTCTCAGATCAGGAGAAACAAGATTCTCTGGTCTGATGAAACCAAGATTGAAGGCTTTGAGCTCTTTTGCCTGAATGCCAAGCATCACGTCTGGAGGAAACCTGGCACCATCCCTACGGTGAAGCATGGAGGTGGAAGCATCATGCTGTGGGGATGTTTTTCAGCAGCAGGGACTTGGAGACAAGTCAGGATCGATCGAAAGATGAACGAAGCAAAGTACAGAGATCCTTGATGAAAACCTGCTCCAGAGCGCTCAGGACCTCAGACTGGGGCGAAGGTTCACCTTCCAACATGACAACGACCCTAAGCACACAGCCAAGACAACGCAGGAGTGGCTTCGGGACAAGTCTCTGAATTTCCTTGAGTGGTCCAGCCAGAGCACAGACTTGAACCTGATCGAACATCTCTGGAGAGACCTGAAAATAGCTGTGCAGCGACGCTCCCCATCCAACCTGACAGAGCTTGAGAGAATGGGACAAACTCCCCAAATACAGGTGTGCCAAGCTTGTAGCGTCATACCCAAGAAGACTTGAGGCTGTAATCGCTGCCAAAGGTGCTTCAACAAAGTACTGAGTAAAGGGTCTGAATACTTATGAAAATGTAATATTTCCATTTTTTATTTTGTACAAATTAGCAAACATTTCTAAAAACCTGTTTTTGCTTTGTCATTATGGGGTATTGTGTGTAGATTGAGGGGAAAAAACGATTTAATCAATTTTAGAATAAGACAATGGGTCTGAATACTTTCCGAATGCACTGTATGTATAAAAAAGCAAGTGTAATGTGGTAATCGACACTGGGAGGCTGCTCTCTGATCCCATGTACCATCTGCTGTCGTTGTGCAAGGCACCTAACCCCCCACAAAGTAGAATACCTGTTAGGCAACTGTATAAAAACCATGTGGTCAACCCTCAGTCTGGAGAGCTAATCTGCTCAAACACAGAGACAGTTCATCAAGGTCCAGTTGAGCAGCTAATTTCTAAAATGTGGTTTGATATAGGGGGACTGGAATAAAAGCCTACCGAACCATTACCTCTCTTGGAGGATGGTTGACCATCCTTGATGTACAACATCGCAACCAAATACGTTTTATTTGGCAAATACGCCTTTTGAAATAATTAGCTCATTCAATATATCAAAGATCAAATGACTATGGCAGGCTACAAATATTTTTATTCAGCTGAAACAAGCCCAAATTTCCTTCAGGAAATGTACCTTTTCGGGTTTAGTCATATTTAGCCTATCTTAGCTACCTTAAGTGTTTACTTTGCAGGCTGGCTAGCATCTATTGAGTTGTAATGTCTCATACATTGGATTCCCAAATCAACTGGAAGTATCTACAAAACAAGTTGAAGCCACATAATCCAAAAGAAAGGCTACATCAAATATTTTTTTCCTACTGTTCGTGATTGACAAATTATTATTTTGATTCACATGATTCAAGTCACAGTGACTTAACCGAATACTAACTAATATAATAGATACACACGGCAAGACCACGCCTCCGAGTTAGCTGGCTGGCTAGCAAAATAAATTAATCTCGATCTAATTCGCTAGTCTTAGATATGCCGCGTAACTACTTCTAGTCTTTGCCTACCCTTGAGACGACTTAGGTATTTAGAAAAGTTGATTGTTGTTGGCTTTCCTATATGTCCTTTCAACTTGAGACCAGCTGTGCAGACAACCCTACCAAATGTCTCAAAACAGCCTATGGCTGTATTGACTTGGTGGAATCTCCAGGTTTACACAGGCAATACACATAGCTAGTTACAGTAGATACAAACAAGTGTTAGCTAGCGACATACCGTGAATTAAGTGCTTTGAACACACAAATGTATCGAGTAACCGGAGCCCACAGCTTTCCATCATCATCACAGCGTATAGCCTGAAAACCATGAGGTTAGTCTAACCTGGTCCTTATGGCAGTTGATGAAACTTAATTTGGTGGTCTTTTCTCCTACTATTGTTCAAACAAAACGGGACGCAAGAGCATTTCGGCATCTTAGTTATAAAAGCAGGGTTAGTTAGCTAACGTTAGCTAGCTGAAGAAAGTCAATTGGAATCGGCGCTTTGGCTGATTATCGTGACGTCCATTCCAAAATGCTAACATTTTAACGTTTAGAATCAAAGTGTTTTTAGGTATGATGTAGTTTGTTGATTAAGACGACATGGAAGTATATTCAAAACGACCAACCAAGCATAGCCAAAATGTTTATAGAATGATAAAAATAATACAGCCATCTTCAGGTTATGAGTAAAGTACGCAATTTAACATGGAAGTAAAGGGAGTACCCTACTCGGGGGCTTAGTCACGTTAAGCCATGCCTCGCGGTGTGTATCTATGGCGAAGTGAATCACGCTAAAGTGTCATTCCAATCCTGGCTGTTATGTTGATTTTTATTTGATCGATTAAAAAAAAATAAGTTAACTGTGCCTAAATAAATTACATTAACAGAAATTACATTAATTTCCATGACTTTTCCAAAACATTACGGATTTGATCATTTTCCAAAACATTTCCAGGGCCGGAAAACACAATTTCTATGACTTTTCCAGGATTTTCATGACCGTCTAGTGGCCAGCTATCTAAACTTGTAGTAATCATGTTTGAATTACCGACCAGGGCCCCCACTGATTTTGTTAGTCACTCTCACTCAGATATATTAAATACTGCAAATATTTCTCTCCATCCTATGGCAAAATGTGTAGAATGCAGGAAATTAAGTCTAAAACTTAAAGGGGGCGCGGGGCAAATAAAATACTTAGGGCCCCAAAAAGGTTAGAGCCGGGTCTTTCATGTGTGGGTGTAGGTGTGGGTGTAGATGTGGGTACGCAGACCCGCGAGCCACTGCGGCCCCTCATGAGTTCAGATGTTTTGTAGCCCCCACCCTCAAAAGTTACCCATCCCTGATTTACACTGTCACTCAATATTTTAGTACCTATTGCACTCATTTCTCCCTGTGTTTTATTGTATCAAACCAATATACACGATCCTTGCTCAAGGAGTAATACATTGTTTTTTGTTTTTTTTAGGAGAAGACGCAAATATTTTGGCATAAATCCTTATACTACAGTGTCCAGTTTGCCTCACTGTAAGAGACTGAAGCTCACCTCTTTTTCCAGGTAGCCGGCGAGGACGTCCGTTTCGTTGAGGAGTGTGACGTTACATTTCCCCCTGGGGAGAGCGAGAGGTGACCGGAGAAGAGAGAGGGACGGGCATTCAGATGTCAATAAGGCACCATGCAAAACACACTTAAAAACCTCCCAAAGGTCTTCTATTAATCTGAACTGACCTGCACCTAACCTTGCTACTTTAACACCTCCCCAATTAGGCATTGGAAAACAAAGAAACGTCTGTGGAAACGCTGTGAATGAACAAGTTACGAATATTCAAGATAATTTCAACACTTATCACCCATCAACATATTTTTAAATCAAGAGCCTGAACTGTGATGATGGTTCATGTTATGAAGGGACAGTTTGAACACATTGCTGGCTTAATGGTTATGAATGGGCCATAGATCATTTTCCCTGGTAGTTTAGATGGGAAGGCCAAGAGACCAGAGGTGGCAGAACGGAGTGCTCTGGTTGAGGTGTAGGTTTTGAGCATAGCTTGAAGGTAGGGAGGGGCAGTTCCTCTTGCTGCTCCGTAGGCAAGTACCATGGTCTTGTAGTGGATACGAGCTTCGACAGGAAGCCAGTAGAGTGTGCGGAGGAGCGGGGTGACATGGGAGAACTTGGGAAGGTTAAACACCAGGTGGGCTGCGGTGTTCTGGAAAGGTTGCAGGGGTTTGATGGCACAAGTGGAGAACCATGCCAACAACGAATTGCAGTAGTCCAGACGGGAGATGATTAGGACCTGCGCCGCTTCCTGTGTGAGGCAGGGTCGTACTTTATGGATGTTGTAGAGCATGAACCTGCAGGTGCGAGTCACTGCTTTGATGTTTGCAGAGAACGACAGCGTGTTGTCCAGGGTCACGCCAAGATTCTTTGCATTCTGGGAGGGGGACACCGTGGCGTTGTCAACCGTGATGGAGAGGTCCTGGAGTGGGCAGGCCTTCCCTGGGAGGAAGAGCAGCTCAGTCTTGTTGAGGTTGAGCTTGAGGGTTGATATCCAAGCTGAGATATTTGCCAGTGATGCTGCAGACAGGCGTGTCGCCACCTGGGTGTCAGAGGGGGGGGGGGGGGGGGGGGGGGGGGAACCAGTGAGGATATGACGGAGCTGAGTGACTTGGTGTATAGAGAGAAGAGGAGAGGGACTAGAACCGAGCCCTGGGGGACACCAGTAGTGAGAGTACGTGGTGCAGACACAGACCCTCTCCACATCACCTGGTAGGAGTGACCTGCCAGGTAGGATGTAATCCAAGAGGGTGCAGAGGCTGAGATGCCCAGCCATGAGAGGGTGGAGAGGAAGATCCAATGGTTCACGGTTCGAAGGCTGTGGATAGAACTAGGTAGGACGAGAACATAGGCGAGAGAGTCAGCTTTGGCAGTACGGAGAGCCTCCATGACACAGCGGAGAGCAGTCTCGGTTGAGTGACCCGTTATGAAGCCTGATTGGTTAGGGACAAGAAGATCGTTCTGTGAGAGATAGCGAGAGAGTTGTTCAGAGATAGCGAGAGAGTTGATCAGAGATAGAGCGCTCAAGTGTTTGAGAGAAAAGAAAGGGATACAGGTCTATAGTTTGACATCAGAGGGGTCGAGTGTTGGTTTCTTGAGGAGGGGCGCGACTCTGGCCATTTTGAAGTCAGAGGGGACGCAGCCAGTGGTCATGGATGAGTTGATGGAAATGAGGAAAGGACATATCAGCCCTGTCATATGACACTATATCCTGTCAGATTTGAACGGGTTCAATGGCAGCACCCTTGTTTGCAGCTACTGCTATGCAGTGAGTCTACGCCTCAGGACACACACACACACACACACACTCTTTCTCTCGATTACCGTATGTGAGTGGCTGGTAGAGACTCAAACTGCCGAGAGAGGAAGAGTTCTCTGTGTTTCAGCTGGTGTTTCTGCTGTTCAGACACTGTGGGCTGCTTGGACTCCTCCTCAAAGTCTCCTATGAAAACACACACAGGACACACACAAAAACAAATGAGCAACAATGCACACTTTCCAATTATATGGGCGCTAATATTCTTGATCAGGGTATGATCAAATTAATTCACATCAATATAACTGATTGATAATTGTGGCTATGGAGATGAAGATCCCGCTTTACCCTTATTTGAATAATTTTTAGTTTTATTTAGAGATACAGGTTAAACATTTGATGGATTACAGTAAGAGGGATAAAGCTCAGAAAGTGAGTGGCGGAACAGGGGATCGAACAGCTGCCTCCATCCTAAAACATTAAAAAAACACTTAAAAAGCCCCACCTCAAACAGACAGTTTAAAAATTGCTTGCTATTTCCTCATAGATGATGATGTCATCCTCCTGAGGACGATGAGCTGGCCAATCAGGGGTACACCCACACCATTCCAACACAGAAAAGCTGCTTTTTAATAAACTTAATTACCATTTTTTGGAAGGAAAACTACTTCACCTACATTGTAATTAATTATAAGTCACATTTCATAGAAATCTGGAAACACTGGATAGTTACCTTAAGTCTATCATTATATACAGTGTATTCGGAAAGTATTCAGACCCCTTGACTTTTCCCACATTTTGTTAAAATTACAGCCTTACTCTATAATGGATTAAATAAATAAACATCCTCAATCTACACACAATACCCCATAATGACAAAGCAAAAACAGGTCTTTAGAAATGTTTGCTAATTTATTAATAATAAAAAACGGAAATATGACATTTACATAAATAAATCAGACACTTTACTCAGTACTTTGTTGAAGCACCTTTGGTTGCAATTACAGCCTTGAGTCTTCTTGGCTATGACGCTACAAGCTTGGCACACCTGTATTTGGGGAGTTTCTCCCATTTGTCTCTGCAGATCCTCTCAAGCTCTGTCAGGTTGGATGGGGAGCGTCGCTGCACAGCTATTTTCAGGTCTCTCCAGAGATGTTCGATCGGGTTCAAGTCCGGGCTCTGGCTGGGCCACTCAAGGACATTCAGAGACTTGTCCCGAAGCTACTCCTGTGTTGTCTTGGCTGTGTGCTTAGGGTCGTTGTCCTGTTGGAAGGTGAACCTTCACCCCAGTCTGAGGTCCTGAGCGCTCTGGAGCAGGTTATCATCAAGGATCTATCTGTACTTTGTTCCGTTCAGCTTTCCCTCTATCCTGACTAGTCTCCCAGTCCCTGCTGCTGAAAAACATCCCCAAAGCATGATGTTGCCCCCTCCATGCTTCACCGTAGGGATGGTGCCAGGTTTCCTCCAGACATGACGCTTGGTATTCAGGCCAAAGCATTCAATCTTGGTTTCATCAGACCAGAGAATCTTGTTTCTCATGGTCTGAGAGTCCTTTAGGTGCCTTTTGCCAAATTCCAAGCAGGCTGTCATGTGCCTTTTACTGAGGTGTGGCTTCCGTCTGGTCACTCTACCATAAAGGCCTGATTGGTGGAGTGCTGCAGAGATGGTTATCCATCTGGAAGGTTATCCCATCTCCACAGAGTGACCATTGGGTTCTTGGACACCTCCCTGACCAAGGCACTTCTCCCCCGATTGCTCAGTTTGGCTGGGCGGCCAGCTCTAGGAAGAGTCTTTCTGGTTCCAAACTTCTTCCACTTAAGAATGATGGAGGCCACAGTGTTCTTGGGGACCTTCAATGCTGCAGAAATGTTTTGGTACCCTTCCCCAGATCTGTGCCTCGACACAATCCTGTCCAATCAATTGAATTTACTACAGGTGGACTCCAATCAAGTTGTAGAAATGTCTCATGGATGATCAATAGAAACAGAATGCACCGGAGCTCAATTTCAAGTCGAATAGCAAAGGGTCTGAATACTTACGCTACCGTTCAAAAGTTTGGCGTCACTTAGACATTTCCTTGTTTTTGAAATAAATGCATTTTCTTTGTCCATTAAAATAACATCAAATTGAGCAGAAATACAGTGTAGACATGTTGTAAATAGCTATTGTAGCTGGAGCGGCTGATTTTTAATGGAATATCTACATAGGCGTACAGAGGCCCATTATCAGCAACCATCAGTCCTGTGTTCCAATGGCACGTTGTGTTTGCTAATCCAAGTTTATCATTTTAAAAGGCTAATTGATCATTAGAAAACCCTTTTGCAATTATGTTAGCACAGCTGAAAACTGTTGTGCTGATTAAAGAAGCAATACAACTGGCCTTCTTGAGACTAGTTGAGTATCTGGAGCATCAGCAATTGTGGGTTTGATTACAGGCTCAAAATGGCCAGAAACAAATAACTTTCTTCTGAAACTCATCAGTCTATTCTTGTTCTGAGAAATGAAGGCTATTCCATGCGAGAAATTGCCAAGAAACTGAAGATCTCGTATAACGCTGTGTACTACTCCCTTCTGGCTCTAACCAGAATAGAAATAGGAGTGGGAGGCCCCGGTGCACAACTGGACAAATACATTAGAGTGTCTAGTTTGAGAAACAGGCGCCTCACAGGTCCTCAACTGGCAGCTTCATTAAATAGTACCCGCAAAACACCAGTCTCAACGTCAACAGTGAAGAGGCAACTCCGGGATGCTGACCTTCTAGGCAGAGCTGCAAAGAAAAAGCCATCTCTCAGACTGCCCATCTTAATCTTTTCTTTTTATTGGCCAGTCTGAGATATGGCTTTTTCTTTGCAACTCTGCCTAGGTCAGCATCCCAGAGTTGCCTCTTCACTGTTGAGACTGGTGTTTTGCGGGTACTATTTAATATGTTTAAAGCCAGTTTTATTGCTTCTTTAATCAGCACAACAGTTTTCAGCTGTGCTAACATCATTGCAAAAGGGTTTTCTAATGATCAATTAGCCTTTTAAAATGATAAACTTGGATTAGCAAACACAACGTGCCATTGGAACACAGGACTGATGGTTGCTGATAATGGGCCTCTGTACGTCTTTGTAGATATTCCATTTAAAAAAAAATTTTTTTTACAACATGTCTACACTGTATTTCTGATCAATTTGATGTTATTTTAATGAACAAAATGTTTTTATTTTCTTTCAAAAACAAGGACATTTCTAAGTGACCCCAAACTTTTGAACAGTAGCGTATGTAAATAAGGTGTTTTTGTTTTGCAAAAATTTATAAAAACCTGTTTTTGCTTTGTAATTATTGGGTATTGTGTGTAGATTGCTGAGGGAAAAAACATTTAATCAATTTTAGAATAAGGCCAAAATGTGGAAAAAGGGAAGGGATCTGAATACTTTCTGAATGCACTGTATAACCTGGAACTTTAACCTGTAACTGTCCCTACAACTTAAGTGCAACCAATACCAGACCATGAAAATAATTTCCTACTCGGAAGGACAAACTATTCCAGTCTATTCTAGGGACTGACCTAGTATACCCCTACAATGTAAACAAATGACTGCATATCGCCTTTATGATCTGGCAGGCTAAACTGAGTCCATGCAGATAAACAAACATTGATATGGAAGATAGTTTTGTAATATACCTTGTGTTACACTACTAGATTGTACATTCCTAATTTCAGGAGGGTGAGTCAGTAACGTGTGTGAGGTGGTGGGGGTGGTGAATTGATTGGGGAGAGAGCACTGGGCAGGACTATCTCTCGATCTCCACGGACTCCGCCCCTGCACTCAGCCACAGGAAACCCTGTCAGTGGTAGAGAGAGGGGACGGGACCTCAGGCCACACCCCTTTCTGTTAACCACTCCTGACATCAACCCCCGCCTCCACCCTCCCCCCCCGGCGTGTCCCTGCCAGACTAAGTGGGAAACCCTGTGCACCAAACCTGAGGCGCATACACCACCCCCCCACACACACACACACAAAAGAAACGCATACTGTACACACACACACACACACACACACACAGACAGACAGGAACACACAAACAAGCAATCGAGGCACGCACAATGGCGCTCCAGCAGAGCAGCGCACGCGCTCTCTCTCCCTGCACACAGTCTCTCACACTCACTCTTCCCTGACAAAAGACAAGGCAAGTCAGAGTTAACTCGTTGCGTGCCGCAGCCCTGTGGGACACATCAAGGACCTTTTGTTCTGAGCAGCGTGCCTGGGCCGGAGGATAAGCAGAGGGAGGGGTGGAAGGGGCTGCACTCAGATGAGAAGGGGGGGGGGGGGGGGGCAGGAGGGGGTCTGGTGGGAGAGGAGGAGAATAAAGGAGGCAGAGAGACAGACAGACAGACAGAGACAGACAGACAGACAGAGAGAGAGACAGAGAGAGAGAGACACAGAGAGACAGAGAGAGAGACAGAGAGACAGAGAGAGAGAAGCCCAGGTCATGTATAACAGGACAGTGCCAAAGCGGTGGCTCGTGCTGCCGAGGGAGGCTGGAGTACAGGCGTTTTTTAGGGCGCCAAAACGCAGGAGAGGGAGACGAAAGACGTAGATTAGCATAACGTAATGGCCGACAGAGTGTGTGTGTGTGTATACACAAGAGCATGCCAGACCAGAGTGGACCAGGCAGCCAGGCCAGACCCCGAGGGTGGCTGGGGCTAAACTGGACACTATCGGTACTCCGGCCCAGTTGTGGCCGTTTATTTGGAACACAACCTCCCCCTCTCTCCCAGGCTCATAGACTGGTTCCAGCCAGTTTGAGGGCTCTCTGTCTGTTTTTCCGCTGACCTCCAGGGGAGGGTAGATGGAATTCCTCCGCAGCACACAGGCCACAGGGGCAGTTAACGCTAACCCACCGCGGTGACATAACATAACCACTTGGCTAGCAGAGCTCCAGGGCTGACAGGCAGGAGAGGAGATCCCCACCTTGCTCCTCCTGGCCATGCCTGCCTCCTACTGGACCTACTATTGTCACTAAACAGCCACAGACAGGACCAATGCTCTTCTTCATAGCAGAAGCTCTTATCCAGACTGACTTACAATAGCCTAAGTATCTTTTGTGAAACCAAACTGGAGATACTGTACACAGGTACCTCATATAATAAAAAATATCACACTATCCAAATAGTCAAACAAATTCAGCTATGTTCATCAGCATTACATCCAGTACTAGGTACTATAGGTCGATGGATCCATTTTGAGGTGTGGATCTGAGTGTCTTTTGTCTGTAGCACTGCATGCAGCCCACCATGTTAGAGGAGGGGTGTGTGTGTGTGTGTGTGTGTGTGTGTGTGTGTGTGTGTGTGAGAGAGAGAGAGAGTATCCGATCAGGGCTCTCAGTCACCTGTGTCATTAGCTTCACCTTCTCACTACCTCGGCACCCGCTTCTCTCCCCCTCCCTTTCCCCCCCACCTCCCTTTCCCCCTCTCCCTCTACATCTCTCTACCTCTCCTCCATCTCTCTCTGATCACTGTTCATCCATACAACTGCACCAGGTCACTTCAGTGGGATACCCTTGACTGTGTGATATTTGTGTGATAAAAAACACTGACTCTCAAACCAATAGCCAGCCACTATTAGTCCTACTACAACAACAACAACAACAACAACAACAACAAGTACAGTATGATTCATGATAGAAACAAACTATTTCCCTTCTCCATTGTGAATTAGTCCCCTGTAGCTCAGTTGGTAGAGCTATGCGTTTGCAACGCCAGGGTTGTGGGTTCGTTTCCCACGGGGGGCCAGTATGAAAATGTATGCACTCACTAACTGTAAGTCGCTCTGGATAAGAGCGTCTGCTAAATGACTAAAATTTAAAAGTTGAAATGTATAAAAGTATCATATTCCTACTAACAGCTGCAGTGGAATAGCACTATGCAGTCTCACACACACAGTTGTGCTTCAGCTAGAGACAGAAGGTGTGTCCCAAATGGTACCCTATTCCCTAGATAGTGCGCTACTTTTGACCAGGACCCACAAGGATCTGGTCAAAAGCAATGCACTATATAGGGAATAGGGTGCCATTTGCGACGTAGCCAGAGCATCCCTCTACTTAAGAGAGAGAGCCAATTGCCTGCTGGTAGTGCAGAGGGAAGATTCCAATCGGATTGGAACACAACACAGTACTCATATCCTGGATGGTGATAATAAACTGGTTTATGAAAGAGGCTGTTGTTTCGTCTATTCTAATAATGCTCTTCAATAACTTTACACAGTCCATAGACTGCACAGCATAAGTTTGGCATAGTGTGTGTATTAGAGAGATGTGACGGAGCAGAGTTCTGATGGACTAAGAGAGAGACTGAAGGACACACAGACAGGCAGACAGACAGGTAGACAGACTGGCAGACAGACAGACAGACAGACAGACAGACAGGTAGACAGACTTGCAGACAGACAGGTAGACAGACAGGTAGACAGACTGGCAGACAGACAGGCAGACAGACAGGTAGACAGACAGACAGGTAGACATGCGGTTGTACTCACTTGCGTTGCTGTCGGCCAGAGTGTTGAGGTTGCCCGAGATGTCCCGCCTCCGGAAGAGACACACCACCTTCGCTTCCACGTTCCCATTGGCCGTCTGTGACAGACGTGACAAGAGCGGTCAATTACTAATGGGCGACAATTCCAATGCTTGCCGAAATGTATTTCTTGCATATCGCAACTCCCAGAGACAGCCGCAGGGAGCGGGGTCACGGCCAGGGTTACCATGTCCAGCGCCCCTGGAGCAATTAGAGTTAAGTGCCTTGCTCAAGGGCAAAGCGAGATCTTTTATCTTGTCGGTGCCGGGATTCGAAACCAGCAACCTTTCGGTTACTGGCCCAACGCTCTAACCGAGGATACCTTCTCACACCAATTAGTGATATATATATATATTTTTTAAATCACATATCACAATATTATTTTGGAACATACAGTGGGGGAAAAAAAGTATTTAGTCGGCCACCAATTGTGCAAGTTCTCCCACTTAAGAAGATGAGAGAGGCCTGTAATTTTCATCATAGGTACACGTCAACTATGACAGACAAATTGAGGGGAAAAAAATCCAGAAAATCACATTGTAGGACTTTTTTTGAATTTATTTGCAAATTATGGTGGAAAATAAGTATTTGGTCACCTACAAACAAGCAAGATTTCTGGCTCTCACAGACCTGTAACAACTTCTTTAAGAGGCTCCTCTGTCCTCCACTCGTTACCTGTATTAATGGCACCTGTTTGAACTTGTTATCAGTATAAAAGACACCTGTCCACAACCTCAAACAGTCACACTCCAAACTCCACTATGGCCAAGACCAAAGAGCTGTCAAAGGACACCAGAAACAAAATTGTAGACCTGCACCAGGCTGGGAAGACTGAATCTGCAATAGGTAAGCAGCTTGGTTTGAAGAAATCAACTGTGGGAGCAATTATTAGGAAATGGAAGACATACAAGACCACTGATAATCTCCCTCGATCTGGGGCTCCACGCAAGATCTCACCCCGTGGGGTCAAAATGATCACAAGAACGGTGAGCAAAAATCCCAGAACCACACGGGGGGACCTAGTGAATGACCTGCAGAGAGCTGGGACCAAAGTAACAAAGCCTACCATCAGTAACACACTACGCCGCCAGGGACTCAAATCCTGCAGTGCAAGACGTGTCCCCCTGCTTAAGCCAGTACATGTCCAGGCCCGTCTGAAGTTTGCTAGAGTGCATTTGGATGATCCAGAAGAGGATTGGGAGAATGTCATATGGTCAGATGAAACCAAAATATAACTTTTTGGTAAAAACTCAACTCGTCGTGTTTGCAGGACAAAGAATGCCGAGTTGCATCCAAAGAACACCATACCTACTGTGAAGCATGGGGGTGGAAACATCATGCTTTGGGGCTGTTTTTCTGCAAAGGTACCAGGACGACTGATCCGTGTAAAGGAAAGAATGAATGGGGCCATGTATCGTGAGATTTTGAGTGAAAACCTCCTTCCATCAGCAAGGGCATTGAAGATGAAACGTGGCTGGGTCTTTCAGCATGACAATGATCCCAAACACACCGCCCGGGCAACGAAGGAGTGGCTTCGTAAGAAGCATTTCAAGGTCCTGGAGTGGCCTAGCCAGTCTCCAGATCTCAACCCCATAGAAAATCTTTGGAGGGAGTTGAAAGTCCGTGTTGCCCAGGGACAGCCCCAAAACATCACTGCTCTAGAGGAGATCTGCATGGAGGAATGGGCCAAAATACCAGCAACAGTGTGTGAAAACCTTGTGAAGACTTACAGAAAACGTTTGACCTGTGTCATTGCCAACAAAGGGTATATAACAAAGTATTGAGAAACTTTTGTTATTGACCAAATACTTATTTTCCACCATAATTTGCAAATAAATTCATGAAAAATCCTACAATGTGATTTTCTGGAATTTTTTTTTCTCATTTTGTCTGTCATAGTTGATGTGTACCTATGATGAAAATTACAGGCCTCTCTCATCTTTTTAAGTGGGAGAACTTGCACAATTGGTGGCTGACTAAATACTTTTTCCCCCCCACTGTATATCAATACTTTCACTCTTCTTCGCTAGGTAGCGTTAGCGAGCGCTTGTCGGATATACCTGTGCCAAAACTCTGGTATTTTTCATCCTATAGCTTGTCCTCCATCTTTTTAAATCGTGAGCCAACATGTTTTCCAGCTCTCATTTCCATGACTGATCAAAACATTTCTCATGCTCTCGTCTCTCTGCAGCAGACATATAGTGAGCGATGTGTGAAATAATTGCAATAAAATGACAGTATCGTATCATAATACATATAGAATCACAATACATATCATAATCGGCACCTAAGTATCGTGATAACATCGTATCGTGAGGTCCCTGGCAATTCCCAGCCCTACATGAAATGGCACCCTATTCAGTGAACTACTTTTGGGCCAGAGCCTCAATGAAGCTCTGGGCAAAAGTAGAGTACTAGATAGGGAATAGGACGCCATTTCTGACACAACCTCAGTCATACTAATAGTAATGATAATTTATATTATTCCCCTCCTCTACTTCCATTAGTGCTCAGAATGATTGAGTTTTCATAGTGGTGTTCGCCAACAACCACTTCAATTTAAGAGTGTTACATAAATGAGCTTAAATCCTTTGGACTGGGAAACAAGCCTGTGACATACGCCGCTACTCTACTGCTACAACTACAACTAGCCATGTTATGTAATGGCTCTTGTACCAGCATCTTGTCACTACTGTGTGTGGCAAGGGAGTAGTGGTTAGAACGTGGCTGGGAGGTGTGTGTGTCCCCGTGTTTTTTACCACCAGCATTATCCCAGGGTACGAATGGGTTACATGCAGACTGGCTATAAAAAAAGGTCAGATATGATAACCTTTACATTTACAAAACGGGGCTGTCGATGTCAGCAAGATTTTTATGTAAACGCACCAAATCAGAGGTTAGATGTGAAGGACCGGTTATTCCACCAACCTTGTTGAGCTCTTCTATTCTGCGGATCAGGTAGGGGTTGCTGGAAGAATTCTCAAAGTACACGTAATCTGAAAGTGAAAGAGAAAGTAGGAATCATACAAATCTGTATCATGTCAATTCAGTTTGTGACTTTGAACTTGACCTCTTCGGTTACGGTAACACATGTTCAAAGGAAAACCCTTGTTGTGTATGTGGAGTTTGGACTTTGAGTCTTTGTACAGTTACTTACTTAATATGACTAAGGGGAACCCACTACATACACATCACAGTAATAACATCACTCAGACAGGCTTTCACCAGGCAAAACTCAATCCATCAAAAAGCCTACAGGTGCTGGGTAGGGAGAGCGAATAGATTTGCACAACACGTCCTGTCTGTGTGTCTGCCATTTCAAAGACAAGTGAGCCAATAATCACTGAGCCATCCCAGGCTACCTCATAACATGATTGGTGCTTGCATGCGACGACTAGGAATTGAATTCCCTCACTTCTCAGAATACAACTACATTATGAGAGATGCTGGTGTGACTAAAAAGTGACCCCAGAAAATGAGACTTCAGTTCAATTAACTAGGCTCTAAGCCTTTACCTACAGAGACGGTGGGCCTCCATCTCTTCCACACAGCCCATTGATCGTTTATCCAGGGTCAAGGGCACTGACGAACGCTGCACATCCCATTCAAAAGACTGGCTACAGTGACATCATAGGCTGTTCTTCATTTCAAATCACTTCCAAGACAACACTAAAATTGGTTTGGTGTATGCCCACACTATTATTGGCCTAGGTCTAGCCTACAACTAAGGTCTAGGTTACAATACCAAACCTTAACCCACCATAACGGCTTCCTCGCCAGTGATATGTAATGTAAATGTAATAACCGGTGATGACATACTAGGGTTGGGCGATGTCTGGAATGACATCCTCCCTCTAGTTGGGTTTTTTTAACCCGGGGCTTGGGGAGAGCATTGTTGCTTAGCAACGCAGTAAACAATCTGTCACGCAGCCTCTCATGTTTCCACTAGTTACAGCAGCCACAAAGTCAAAATTGGCTATAGAGAAAATTTAAGAAAACAAAAAATTTGCTTTTTAGTCTTCATTTAAGGTTAGAAGTGTGGTTAGGGTGGAGGTTAGGTTTAAAAGCAGATTTTAAGAAGAGAAAATTATAGAAATAGGCTGGGTTTATTACTTTGTGGCTGTGGTAACTAGTGGAAACGACCCTTTGTCATGCACAAACCACCCGAATCGAGTCTAATCATTAGGACTACAATGTGGAAATCTTACCAATGTTGTATTTTCTTGTGTGCAAATAGATAAATATAAACCAATCATATGGTGATGTGGTACCCAGACACCTTTGAATGGCGATTTGGAACCACACATCGTAGGCCTACTGTGTGATACAAGACCCTTTCAAATTCTGATTTCTGACTATTTCAACTGAGACCGAGTGCGCATGTTCACCATAGAAGACATCACTGGGCAGTCTTCTTGGGAGAGCAAAGCAAACCAGTCACACAGTGCGCAACAGCGTGCCAGCACAGAGCTCACAACCTACCTACTCAAAGATGTCATTGGAGGATCTGATGACCCACTCATGGCGGAGAGGGAGTGAGGGTCGCTTTGCTCTCTGGGCCAACGTTGCCCGCAAATAGGCCTACCTCTGTATCTGTGCAACAAATGTTCCGTCTGAATGTGTTTTCAGTACAGCAGGCAATAGGTTACTTATTGTTAACCCACTCCACAGTCTACTAAAGCCAGAAAAGTTGAACATCCTTGTGTTCCAGAAACCTTTTAGGTAAGATAAAGAAAAATAGGCCGAATGGGTCTTCATTGCAGTTATTATTTGTTGCATTTTCAAAACCTATTTACAGATTAGTTTTATTCGAAAGAAATGTAGCTCAGGCCTAGTCAAAAATATTATGATAAGTGTACCAGTGTGGCTTGAAATACTTACCTGCACTAATTTATTTGGTTTATTTTGTACTTAGGCTACAAATAACAAAATAGCCTATCCAAATATGGGTTATTCATTTTATAGCATTTTTTGGCATGCCTATTCTATAGGCAACAAGGCACAAGGTCAATAGGCCTGTTCGTTTTTTATATACGGTTCATTCGTTATTCAGTTGTTATAAATGTTATAACAAATTTAAAAAAATAGTGATTGTTGCTGGCTTTGAAATAAATGCACTATTCGTAATAGCTATTCGAAATAAAGTAGTTTGTGAGACAACCGACATCATTCATTTTTTTTAAATATTCCGCTTATGGAAAGCGCTGCCGTGTTAGCTTATGTAGGCCAGTTGCGCAATTCAAGAAGATGAATAAACACTATGACGATAATAGAAATGTTAGTTTATAAAAGTTTAACTTGTACAAGTAACGTTTACTGCTAATTGTATTGGCAGTAGCCTAGTATAGGCATATATTATTGGCTGTTTGGTTTGCAGGAGAGATTTTCTGGCATTTTTAATTTGTTTTCTAAAGCTTTGGTCGGGTGGAGGACAGAAATGTAGAAGGTTTGTTTAAACTTCCCATTCCATAAAGTCTCTCTTGCAATTGTTTCTTTTCTCTCTCCTTAACTTACCATGTTCTTATTTAGGCTGTTCACAAACAGAGAATGCCAAGAGGGTGCAAAGCTGTCATCAAGGCAAAGGGTGGCTACTTTGAAGAATCTCAAATATAAAATATATTTTGATTTGTTTAACACTTTTTTGGTTACTACATGATTCCAAATGTGTTATTTCATAGTTTTGATGTCTTCACTATTATTCTACAATGTAGAACATAGTAAAAATAAAGAAAAACCCTGGAATGAGTAGGTGTGTCCAAACTTTTGACTGGTACTGTATGTATATATATATATATATATTTTTTTTTATATCGTAATATCACTTAACCCTATTATCTACACATAAGAAACTAGGTTAATACAGAAAACATATTGGAAATAGTGTCTGTGATCAATGATATGTTGCCTTGCATCTGATTACCAGAAAACAGGGACACTAAACCTAAGATTGACATCAACAATGGCTTACATCACAATGCATCATACCCATTCTATAGGGGGGGAGGGAAGCACATTTCTCACGCTACTACAGGGAGAGTCCTATGCTGTAGGTTACAGTATGTTGTGTATGACAGGGGAGAAATGCCTCCACTGCCGTTATGTAACCACCAACACTGGGATGGAAGGAATCTGTCTCAACGCTTAAGAGAAAGAGAGATGTGCGCATCATATGGTCCTCTATTTTCTTTCCCTTCAACAATTCATACCCTCTTTCTCCGTACTCATCCATGTTCTCGGCTCTCTGTCTTGCCCCACTGTCCTCCCTCTTCACGATATGGGGCTCCTTGCCTGCCTGAATCAGTGAGAGACAGTAGGCTAAAGCGGTGCCTCGCCGAGGATCAATGGCCCAGGGAGAGGGGCTTTTTGAAGAGGAATGGGGAACAACCTCAGCTCAGATACTTTGTCAGCATTAACCAGATGTCTATGATGTTCATTTTTTAGGAGATATATATATATATATATACACACACACACACACACAGCACCAGTCAAAAGTTTGGACACACCTACTCATTCAAGGTTTTTTTTTTTTTTTTTTACTATTTTCTACATTGTAGAATAATAGTGAAGACATCAAAACTATGAAATAACACATATGTAATCATGTAGTAACCAAAAAAGTGTTAAACAAATCAAAATATACCCAAATAAATGCTTCACAGAGTTCAAGTAACAGACACATCTCAACATCAACTGTTCAGAGGAGACTGCGTGAATCAGGCCTTCATGGTCGAATTGCTGCAAAGAAACCACTACTAAAGGTCACCAATAAGAAGAGACTTGCTTGGGCCAAGAAACACAAGCAATGGACATTAGACCGGTGGAAATCTGTCCTTCAGTCTGATGAGTCCAAATGTGAGATTTTTGGTTACAACCGCCGCGTCTTTGTGAGTAGGTGAACGGATTATCTCTGCATGTGTGGTTCCCACTGTGAAGCATGGAGGAGGAGGTGTGATGGTGCTTTGCTGGTGACACCGTCTGTGATTTATTTAGAATTCAAGGCACACTTAACCAGCATGGCTACCACAGCATTCTGCAGCGATACACCATCCCATCTGGTTTGCGCTTAGTGGGACTATCATTTGTTTTTCAGCAGGACAATGACCCAACACACCTCCAGGCTGTGTAAGGGCTGTCGATAGGGCTGTCGATAGTCTCCTCTGGCTATAAAACAGGGCATAGCCCTAGACCAAGCCATTTCATTCAGCTAATGGAAGCAAGTAAAAGCTATTCATGAGATGAGTGACCTGTGGTTTTCTGTGAGGTTATAGCCTGTTTTCAATACACTAGTAGGCCTAAATCCACCAGACTATACATTTTCAGATGAGGTGCAGAGAAACATTTAAAACTATGAAATGTGGGACCCTCGGGACTAACCGCCTCACTGAGCAAATACAACGGACCGTCCTCATACCCCAATTAATCATTAGGGCTCAATTTAATTTCCACCCACATTTAATTTCCACACGCATAATGTCAAGAGTGACACGTCAGAAGTAGAAGCTCCACCATAGAGAAGCAGCAACAGTCAGTAGCTGTGACAGAGTCACTCCACTCATTCCACCACAGAAAAGCAGCAACAGTCTGTAGCTGTGACAGCATCCCCTGTACTGTCACTCATGTTTGGGAAGATAACAGAACTCGCTAAACACAACACTTCGAAATTCACCATAAACAACTAGTTTTAGACACACCACTGCATACTAAACCAAGGACCTTTTTCATAACACGTCTCAGAGTACGAGGGCTGACCTAGGATCAGTTTAGCCTGAATAAGATGAAATGGACAGGGGGAAACCTGATCCTAGATCAGAACTTCTACTCTGAGACGCTGGCCCAAAGCTACCCAACTGGGCATTCTGCTAGGCACTGGGTTCTTGTGACCACCTTGACTGGAGCAAGAAAATTGGCAAGAACATCACTTTCCTCAATGATGGAACAACAACAGACAACGGTTGACTCTTGTGCGAGCTCTCTGGGAAGGTTCCCTCCAGGAGGTCGACGGTGCACGGGTTAATATTAAGTATTTTGTCGCGCTCTGAGGTTCTGGGAGGCAGTGCTGTGAGGGTACTGATGTGAGTGACTATAGGCAGGCAGGCCTTGCCGACAGACAGGCCGGAAGACACTACCATCTGCAGAGCAGTGCCGTCACAGGCACAGTCTCAAAGCCAAGATCACTGAGGTGGGGGGTGGGGGGGGGGGGGTATGGGGATTAAAAGGCTGAAATACCATACTGTAATTGCCATGTTCGTAGAGATTAAATGAATAATGCATAATGCTGTAACCGAAACAATTTACATTTTAGTGATTTAGCAGACGCTCTTATCCAGAGCGACTTACAGGAGCAATTAGGGTTAAGTGTCTTGCTCAAGTGCACATCGACAGATTTTTCACCTAGTCGACTCGGGGATTAGAACCAGCGACCCTTCGGTTAATGGCACAACGCTCTTAACCACTAAGCTACCTACTGCCCCAAACAATGCATTGCAAAAAGAAAAACTAGTCTCAGCACTATCATGTGGCTTTCTGACAGTCAGGAGTTAAATCCATCTATGCTGTTGCCTGTAAAATAAGGCATTCATTAACATCATAATTCATATACTGCAAGAAGGTATCTACTAGTATAATTAGGCTAATTTGCGCAAGAGCTTGTTTACATTGTATTATGCACAGAAACAAGGCGGCATCTCCTCTGACACTGCACCGTTTAATCACAGTGACCTAAAAACAGAAGCTCTTGTGGGACCTTACACAACGTTAAATAGCAAGAATGTATCAGAGTGTATCATTATGGCTATATATTTCACTGGTTCAGTCAGTGGCTGTGCGTCCACCAAAACACTGACTCAAGACAAGACAACGTTGCCCCAAGTCAAGACCACTGATGTTGATAATCTTTCCCACCACCAATAATATCATCTCAGAAAATTGCAATGTTGATGTTAAAATAAAGCTGTCGACCCTGGGGATTGAGGAGGACTCCAGCCGGTTTAGCTATGGCGAACTTGCGACCTAGCTAACACACGTTTACCGGCTTTTAACATGCAGACGTGAATGTTGTTAGTTTTCTAAATGCACCATATTGTAACCTAGGTAAACAATGTAGCTAAATGGTAACGAAGAGTATACAATAGGGTACAAGTTGCGGAACAGTCTGAAGTTGAGGATTTTTGTTCAACAATACAGTTGCTTCCCACTAATCTATAATCAATTATCGTGCTATGCTTAGTAGCATATGCTAACTACCTACAGAGACAGCAAGCTAACTTGCTAGCAAAAAGATACAGCTAGCTAGCTGTAAGTTAACGTTAGCGAGCTAGCCAAACCAAGTGACAGATGGTACCTAACGTTAGCATTCTAGTATACTACCTAGCTAAGTAAAAAAAAAAAAGCTGTTTAAGTAACTTTATCATACTCAAGTTAACTTGTTGGTTAAACTAACGTTAAGCAGCTAGTGCCTAGTTATATAAACTTGACTATACTAGTTACACTGCAAGTTGATTAAAGTCTTAAAATACAGCTAACTAAAGCAAGCTAAACTAGTTATCTCGCTACCAACAGCCAAGGAACGCGTTCTAATTTGACATGTCCTGCTAACAAGCTAGCTTAGTTAGCTATGTAGCATTAGCCTGTTAGCCAGCCTTCGCGGAAATAACTATCACTCGCTAGCTAGCAAAAGCAAATCAGCTAGCTAACTACCCTAGCATAGCTAGCGAACAATCACGTTGAGGTCTCCTCAAAATAAAAATAAATAAAGACTTACCTCCCACTCGGTACATGTTGGCCGCCATTCTCTCGTTACCCCCAACAAACACTGTCCGAGGGATTCCCCTCTTGCGTTAAAAAATGTCGATCTGGGGCTATTTTATCCGTTCATTTATTGTAGACCACCCCTGCCGCGAAACAAAGCCGGGACCCGGCACAGTAGCCAAGCTCTGGCTGGTAAAAGTTTAAAGTTTCCGTTAATGTTTCGGGGTTCCAAAATGAGTCTTTGTTTCAGTCGGATAACGACCTCCCTCTTCCTCACTCACGCATTAACACTTGCAGGCATGCATACACAGCCCTTGATAGCTAGCCTGTCTCTTATTCCACTCTTCCTCCCATCCTCCGTTCCCAGCTTCATCCTCCTCTTCTTCACCTCTGCTCAGTTCACACACACACACACACACACACACACACACACTGCCCTCCCCTTTCGAAAACGTCATCTTCGGAAAAGAACGTCGTTTAGAATCGGAAAATCCGGCAACTCACACACACAATTCTCAACAACATAGAGTTGCTCCGTCACCATTACAAACACCAAGGGCCGCTGATGCAGTTTTTACTCATGTTAAGTGCAATTAATAAAAGAGCAAAAATTTAACCAACATTATTGTTAGTCACCCAATAGCTATAACTAAAGTAATACTGAAGACAGATCATCTGATTGACATGTTGGGCATTCAGAGTATGCAGATGAACACATTGATGAGACACGTATACAGCCTTCCACCAGACTTCCTCTAGACTCAGATATAGTACTAGGTACGATAGCAGAATGACAACTCAACATGGCCATTATTTGAACAACACTGCCCTCTAGCGAGCATTCCGATAGCATACAGTTTTTAGCACTACAGTACAACCAATGATGGGTTGAGTACAATCCTCTGGAAATGCACGGATGCTTTTAGAATGAAAGATGCTATGAATTCATAAGCAATAGTTTTTTGTAATTGTTTATTGATAGAAATATCTACAGACATTGGAAACAATGACACATTCAAAAGTACTTTTAAATAAACACAGAATATATCAAATCCAAAAGTGTACTACAATAAGGTAAACATTTCTGAATTTGTCTAATACAGGAGATATTAGTTTCAACTGTTCTACGGAAGCACAGTTCCCGCTCAGCCCAGTCAAAGCTATTCATATGCTAAATGATGTAAATGTGAATGTAAATATGAGTAAATGCAATTGAAAGATTGTCACCGTCTAGCAAAATGCTAAAGTTTGAAGCACAAAAACAGGTCAATATTCCTAGAGATCGCAATAGAGCAAAATATGTATGATATTACTTTTCTGACAAGACAATAACCATAAAACACCACTACGGTAAGCTTGCATGGTAAACAAACAAGTAAACAAAATAGGATATTTTGGAATGTTCTCAATTGATGCCGGCAGACAAACAGGCAGTTATTCGAAAACATGACCTTTTTCCAATTGCATCAGACTAGGAAATACACAAAGATTCAACCAAATTTCACTTCATTTGAGAAGTAGATTGTGCCCAGATGTACAAACATTTCCATTACATCGTGTGGGGCTAATTTCTGTCAAAACAAAACTCCATCATGTTTGAACAGAGAATCTTATGGAATCCAAGCGCCTTCTAAGTACTATAAGAATCCAAAGAAACACTGCGCCACAGGTCCTTGGCTGAGCTTACAACTCTTGTACTGATATACAAGGGCCAGCCAGTATCCTCTCTGTCTACTTCACCCTCTTACTCTCACTCTGTAAACATTTCACTCCCTTCTACCTCTCTATCACACTCACTCAGTCTTTACCCCTACCTACATGTACAAATGACCTCGACCCCACGCACTAACCTGTACCCCCCCGCACATTTTTTATTTTTTACTTTAGTTTATTCAGTAAATATTTTCTTAACTATTTTCTTAAAACTTTATTGTTGGTTAACGGCTTGTAAGTAAGCATTTCACAGTAAGGTCTACACCTGTTGTATTCGGCGCATGTGACAAATACAATTAGATTACATTTTCTCTTAATGTCTCTTTCTCTCCTTTAAGGTTCTGGGGAACTGGTGGAGGTGGAGGATGCAGAGTGTAGGCGGTCTCCACCATCCCCTGTTCCTCCTCTCTTGACCTTCCACTGGAGGATACAGGTGTCCTTTCCACCCATAGAGAGCAAATGACTGTCACAGTGGGTGAAGCGCACGTTGGTCACGTGACTGCCGTGGCCTTCATAACTGTGGTTTGGGGCCTGATGGATAAAAGAAGACAGTTGATATGTGGTGAACATTTTGGTGCAAGGAGTAAAAATAAGGGAAATCAATTGTAAATGTGGAGCTGCGTTATCCCTGACCTTGGGTTTTGGGCAGGGGTACTGGAAGAGGTGGACTTTACAGAAGTCATCGGCCACCGCTACCACCCTCTCACTGTGGGAGCGACAGAGGGCGTTGATGTCTGTACCGTCTGAACCTTCCAACCACACACCTATGGGACGGACACAAAATAACACACAATACACGTTGACTACTCAGCCACTGCTAAGGGGTTGTGTGATACTGAGAGCCTTGAAATACAGATGTAGGATCTTAATTTGAGCCAGTTTGATACAGCAGGAAAATAATCCTGCAGCAACAAGAAATGTGAATTATTATGTGGATTATAATTAATGGAAATTTTTCTAGGGGTTGATACATTTTTCGCAAGGGAAAATAAAGTCTGACATTTCAAAGTGTAAATTACAAACTTCAGAAGCCTTTTTAAACCTAAAATACACTACAAGTTTTAAATGTCCTGCATTGCAGGAAAGTTGTCCTGCAACAGGGTGATCAAATGAAGATCCGCCATCTTTACTTAGTCACTCTCACCCATGACGTGGAAGCCCAATACGCAGGTGTAGGACGCCCATTCTCTGTCTTTGCTCTCATAGCGGTTCCTCAACAGTTTGCAGCCTCCGGCAACGTCCCCTGTTTGAGAAGAGCAATAGTCCTTAGGATAACTTAGGAAAATAAAACATATTATACTATACAAATATACATATGTTCAAATGAGACATGTAAATGTAAATGTAGACATTTTCACAGTCACTCACAGTAAAGGATTTCATAGTCGCCCGAATTGGACATAACGTACTTCCCGTCTTTCGACCAATCAAGGTGAGTGATGAAGCTGGAGTGACCCTAAAAGTAACAGACATCAAAAATTGACACGACACCCAAACACCATGATAAATGTGTCCTGTACCCCACAATGAACCGTTCATTCACATCATAAATAATCCACAACAATCCGCAACATCCCAGAATGCACTGCAACTTACATTGCACTTTCCGTAGCGGGAGTAGCGCCGTCCACTCTCGGTGACATTGTAGATGTAGATGAAGTTGTCATGGGAACCCACGGCCAAGAAACTACCGTCTAAAAATAAAATAAAAAGGCATGTTCCAAATAAAGGCAATATAAATGAAAATAAACAATAGAGATCCATCATACATATTACTGAAACATGAAATTGAAATTCTGTCTATTGTGACACACTGAGGAAGGAGCTTGACCTCTGACCTGGTGAGTATCTCATAACGGACAGCTGTTCATTCCCGTCGGTGTAGTCTGAGATCACCTCTTTGGTCTGCAGGTCAAGGACCAGCCACCTGTTACAGGGGTATTTGGAGGTAGGGGGTGGTAGGTTGGGGGTTTGGCCAGAGAGGCAGACAACTGGTGTGAAGGTTTGAACCGCCAAACAATGATTCTGCTTTATCATCTTGGGGTTGTGTATTATTTGTATGGTTTCATGTCACAAAGACATGGTAATTAACATGCAAGTATTTATATTGATTGACGCTTTAGATGAGTTGATAATGCTTGGTATGAGATAGAATGTCGCAACCCTGCCCACCTATGGGCAAAACAACCTTTGCTAACCTTTACCCCATTGGCTCACAGCAAAAACTTGCCCTTTTTCAAACGCAATTGTCTTGTTTTCTGCTTGTTTTAGTCAATTACAAAACTACATTTAAGAAAAGTACAACATGTCTAAAGATGACTTTTCAACATTGCCTGCTCTAATGTTCTCACTACTTTATATTGTAGGGCTTCCCTCATGCCCCTTTTCATAACGATACTAGCAGCCACGTGAGTGAGTGAGCGCTAGCTAGCTACCAACCGGAACATTTAGCTAGCCAAGACCAACAAAACAAAAACAGACTATACAGCTACAAGTAGTGAGTGGAGTTACAAATGGACTGTACTAAACAAGTTAAACGTCTTACCTGTGATTAAATGTTTTCCACACACATAGCTACGCGTAACCTACTTGGACAACGCATCCCCACATTTCCCACTCTCCCACACCGAATAGCCTGAAGCCACAGGGCTCTTCTCACAGCCTCTATTTCCCTATGGGAGCATTGCGAACTGTAGGTCGGGATTTTTTACCTGGCTACATGTAGATTGAACAACACAGCAGCTTTTTGGCATTTTTTTGTTATTTCTGTATAACAAAAAATAGACGATGAAGTTGCCTCTTTTAAAATGGGGGTCAATAGGAAACAATGTTCGTTTTCGCCAATTTGTGGGCATAGTCGAAGCAAATTCCTTATTATTACGTGAATACCAACTGGGACATTTGCCTGCTCTACTCTCTGGCCGGAGAGACATGTGTCTCCTGAAAGTTTGATGCTGTGGTATTTCAGAGTGGAGCATCTCACCTGCCTGTGCTGAGCCCAACAGACACCACAGCCCCATTAGGACAGAAATCTGCACACAGCCCATACTCCTGAAAAATACAGTATGAATATCAGTATTTGTTTACATGCGTAGGGGCGTGCACGTGTTTTATGTGTGTATGAATGTTTGTGTGTTGTGCATTCCCTCCCACCTCCAGCGTGGTGCACCAGTCCAGTTTGTGCTCCTCTGTGTTCCACACGCACACCTGTCTGTCATGTCCACAGGTGAGGAAGACATCCTGGGAGGGGTGAGTAGCCAAGCCCCACACCTCATCCACATGACCCTGCACGGGGAGAGCAACACACACTCGGTATCACACACTCAATACACTTTAGGTTTCTATTCTATATGCTTCTCCCTGTAGTGTGCACTTGTTCACTCCCCATTGTGGATTTAAAACGAATGGTGGAAAGACATGGTGGAATCGCACCTCTAGCCCATACAACAATATAATGCTTTGAAATCCATGAGGGGGGAGTGAGAAACTGCACACTTTGGGAAGAACGGAGAAGTGTATGGGATCAGAACGTAGAACGTGTGCAGACCAGGTGTGTAACCACAAACCCCTTCACATACCACCCAGTACATACTCCATCATGCTAATGTTAACATACCTGCACTATGGCCAAAAAGCCGTCAGAGAAAGTGCCCCTCAGGATGGCATTTCGGGTGGTACCAACCAACACCTCGTCCCCGTTTACATCTGTGATGCAACGGACCGCCCCAAACTTTTCTGGAATCTATAATAAATTCAGCAACTTTATTCTGAAATAATACAATTCAAAAAGGGTCTTAAATGTTTTTAGACACGCTCGGTTTTGTTATTAAGAGTGACACACACACACACACACACACACACACACACACACACACACACACACACATCTTTCACCTCACACTCTCTCTCGGGTGCCAGGTCGGCGCTCCAGCGGATGATCTTGCGGTCTTTGCCCCCGCCGCTGAGGAGGGCGCCCCCCTGCAGCATACACAGAGTAAACACACTGCCGTCATGGGCCCGGGTCTGACGCATGATCTGGAACGTCTCTGCAACAGGAAGGGAGAGAGAGGAGGAAGATGACTTTGTTGTCTTTTGTCTCACACATTTGGAGAGCAAGCGGAAAAGATAGCCACACATGTGGAGGCTGAGTCTGGTACACTATTGGCTAAGGAAGTACTAAATCAGATGAAATTATATTTTTCCCATACGTTTGTATTATTATTTCATTTATTTTATATACTGTATTTCATATGGAGAGCCTAGTCCATATTTGGACCAGACCGTTAGTTACCTTTGGCTCCTTTCCCCAGTGTCTTGACGTCGCCGGGTGATTTGCCCCATGTCAGGATGTTCCCCTCCGAGTCCCCGGTCAGCACGTCTCCCGTCAGGCTGAACACAAAGCACTGGATGAACTTGGGTTTCTTGTATTTCTGACAGAAGAAAGAAGAGAAATATTACAAACCGTTCATAAGTTTGAATGACAATATTTAGCGGAGGTGGTTTAATGAGAAGGAGCCCTGCGTGAGACCTGCAGACTTGTTTTCACCTCCAGAGTTAGCCTTGCGTGAGTCATACAGATAAGCCGGGTTTGATATACCCATTGGTCACATGTACCTTTTGTCTATGTGAAAAATACTTTTCAGATGAACAGTACTTAAGGAATTTCACTCACCCCGAAGATGCCCTGTTTCTTGGTGAGTGAGCCTGCACTCAGGGTCCAGAAGTAGATGTGAGACTTTCCACAGGTGATGATGTTGGTGCTGTCGCTGGGGTTGAACTCCACTGCAAACACTGCCTCGTTGGTGCTCTGGATTAACAACCAGGAGAACATTTCAAGTTGTCAAATAATTCACTCAAATGCAAAAATCACTGTGAATTCCAATATCAAAACTACATTTCTATGATTTGGCCAACCTTGGAATTCACTTGAGGACAGATTAGATTGTATGAGAGGGCATAACACTTCTGCACCAAAGTTTAAATGTGCAGCTGCACTCTCTGGAAAAAAGCAATGGACTATTCCATTACAGTCCAGCGGGGGATGGGCATATGTTACATACGTTGAACCAACTCATATATTTATGTGGGCTGAACCTTTTCCCTTGCCCCTCTTTGTGACCACTCCCAGTTTTCACTGGAGATTCAAAAATGTACTCTCGAATCTAGGGCACTCATGACAAATGATGCTTATGCTAAATCAATTTGGCGAAAATACGAGAAGTTCTGCATGTGTGCTACAAGAGAGAAAATGATCTCATATAAACACCCACCTAATATCCAAACCCTCTTAACACACACACACAACGCACGCACGCACGCACGCTCACACATTTGCAAACACACACACACACACACATATGCATATAGAGCACACACCGCCGGACAAATTCACAGTGTAAAATATTTACACAGTTGCCGTGGCAACACCGCAGAAATGACTCTCGGGGAAGTAGAAACATTTGGGACAAAAGCCTGTGACAGAACGGGGTGACATGGAAGACATATTTTTTCTTCTTAATCTATGCAAACAGGCCTCCTTTTCAGGGATCTAACGGTTCTCACTGACGTAATGATGGCTTTAACAGCCTACGCATGCAAATTACAGGCTTGGCTCTCTGCAAAGATAGGGGTAGATTTTTTTGTTATGACACAAGGAAGCCGTATCAAGATGTATACTGTAAATGGTATTGATTAATTGCATTTTACTGCATTAAACCTACTGTGCAATATGAATAGGACTCTCTGTGTGTGTGTGTGTGTGTGTGTGTGTGTGTGTGTGTGTGTGCCTTTGTACGTGCCTGTGTGCTTGCATGAAAATGTGAGTGCGTGCAAGTGTGCATGTGTGTGTGTGTGTATGTCTTGGTTCATCGCTTTACCTTAACCTCTGCGTGCTTGGTTCCTTTGGCACAGTCCCACACAGACAGCATGTGTTCATTGGAGTCATCAATCACACAGAGGAAGGCTCCAGCGTCCTGCAAGCAGAGGAGAGGTGAGAAGGAGAGAGAACCAGTGAGAGGGCATATGACAGATGGAGCGATGATGCAGCCGAGTCACAAATCAGGACTCACGTATTAAAAGCCTGTATTGGTTTTGTTTGGGAGTCCTGTATGGAGATTTGGTGTCAGACGTTCTTCAATAGCCTTAGTGAAATGAGAAATACTGTACTAAATATAGACCATAAACTCAGTGACATCTAGTGTGTGCGTGTGGGAGGGTTGTTTTGTAGTGTGAATGAACACTTACTGCAAAGGAGAAAGCCACAGACCCTACACCTCTCTCAAAGGTGCCCAGTCCTATCTGTTGTAGGGTGATCAGTGTGGAGGAATCCCATATATGGACATAAGGCTGCAGGGGCTACGACATAAATTAGACAAGGTTTGATAATAAGTATGATACTTTTTTTGTCATCTGTGGATTTGATAGTATGACTGTTTTTTTCTTCTTCAAGTCTTAAAGGGACACTCTAGCAAGAATGGAAACATTTTAGTTTTAAATAGTGTCAGATGATGTTCCTTAAAAAGGTCCAATGCAGCCATTTCTGGTTAACATTTAAGTACTTTACTGTGATTGTTTTCAATTAAAATGGTCAAAAAGAAACAAAAATTGCTTAAGCAAGAATTTAGCTAGGACTCCATCCCACCATAACAGGCTGAAATGTTAAGGTGGTCTTTTCAAACAGTTCTTAAACTAAAAGGGCATTATCATCATTTTCACAAATCTATATAAAACACAGGAAAACCACATTTTTGATTGCACTGGGCCTTTAAATAGCCCAAACGGCCTTCACCTTTCCATCCTTGTCCACCCCCGCAGTCTGTCCTGATGCCACCCGTACCTTGTCTGGATGGATGGTCAGACTGAATTAAAGAAAAATTGGGATATCATTAAGCGTCATATTCATTAAACTTCATAATCAATTCTCACAATTGGTTTTAGTTGATTTTGTACAGTTATGTAATGACACGAGAGGTCAAGGTTGGGCCTGAGCCACTCACCAGCGGACACAGTCGGTGTGTTTGCGGTAGTGGCGCTGCGTGCGGTTGTTGATGTGGTACAACACCACCACACAGGCGATGAAGTACACCGCCTCACCCGACGACAGCAGGTACAGGTTGGCCCGGCAGTCCCGCCCCCGGTAACCGTAACTATGCGGCTCCAGTCAAGGTGACATCACTGAATCGTCTCATTGGTTCATCAGTCTAAATCATTAATTGAGCCTAAAGCAATTTCACCCACAGCTACACCTATAATAGGTGATTTATGGATGACATAACTTCCATTCACCTGAAGAGAGGATGGATTGGCTCAAGGACATTAGATAACTTAAATATGTTTCTCTATCTGACTGATGGGCAATATGGACTTTATGGCTTTCATCCAAGAAACTTAGCACTATAGAATATCAAACATTCTAATCAACCATGAATATAATTTAAAAACTAAAATGCTGCTATATCAACGCCCCATTGGTCGTGACTTGTGGGAGGGACTCAGGAAGGATACACCCAATCGAGTTCCAGTTTCTCTACAGGTGGCTCCATCCTCAGGTCCTCATAGTTCTGGATGTTGGAGGGGACATACATGGTGATTGGTCGACCACGGATGAACATCTTGATTGATTGACCTGTCAGCCAATGAGAGAGGGAGAAAAATGATGTATGACAAGACTGGACCATGGCTCCATATTTATCTCCAATTGCTTCCATGGGTCAATATGAACTTTCTCAATGTTATCCTCAACTTCTTTGCTCTTTCCATGGCCTGCCTAAACTACCAAAGCCCTGGTAAAGCTACAATATATACCAACAATTCACTCCATAACAATAAGTCAACTGTGCTGTACCATTAGCCTGTACGAATCCCAAGCCCCTACGTGTAGTTGAATGACATAACAGTGAACACATGATGTCTCATACCTTGGGTTCCTCGTCTGGATCCGGGAGATCCTACGAGCGAGAGCGGGAGTGCGAGAGAGAGGAAAAGAAGAAGAGAGCGAGAGAGAGACAAATAAACAAGGATTCTAGGAACACTAAATCACAGCTGATTCCAGCAGAGCAGATCATGCTCTGACATTACGGACCCTTAGGGACCAGATTCAGAGCCGGTCGAATGAGGTCTTTGAGGAAACCAGAGGGGATGTTTTCCAACATCAGGCCTGTCACCTAGATGACTGTTACTTCAATCTAAAAAGTTGGGGGAGAGGAGAATGGGTTTTAGATGTTGAAGTTTCTGATTTGGGATGTTTCTGGTGGTAATAGGGGCTTGACCCATCGGTCTGTCTCACTATGAAAAGGTTGTAAAACTAAAGGCAGGGTTCACATCCCAAGGGAGGGAAAGTCTGCAGTTTAACTATATAGTAATGACCCGTTTTGTTAGATAGCTTTTTTATTAGTCATTGTTGACACTACTTGGAATGTCCCCATAGGTCAACTCCATACCGTTCCTGGACCCTGTTGAAACACATAAATTACTGGTTTTGATTGATTTAGAATTGAGTGGCATTTCCACACTATCGCCACTTCCAAGTATGGACATTCAGTTAGGATATAGTGAGTAGGATATAGTTCAATTCAGTTATTGCTTTTCTAAATGACCTGGTTACACTTTACAGCCCTCTCGTGATGCAGGAGAGACCTAACTCATGCTGAATACAGGCAGACCTGTCCCAAGCCAACTCTGAGAGACAGAGAATAAGTTAATAAGTCTAGTCCTGGCCAGCTCACAGAAAGAGAAACAGAGACCAAAAAAACAACAACAACGTCCTTCCTTCTCCAGTAAACACATCTATCCAACATCCCGTCAGGAGTTTCTGAGTGGTGCGCAGCACGGCTTACCACAATGAATGGCTTTCCAGGGAACGCCGGAGTACTAAACAGACTGTCCTGTGTTTAACGTCAGGAACGTTCTGCCTCATAAAAACGTGACCCACTGGTTTTCCTGTGATCCCAGTATGATGAGGGATATTTCTGACCAGGGTTTTTTTAGTGTGTGGCGGGCGGAGGGATGGACTGTGATGAACTCTAAGTAACCTTTGGGCCTATAGACGACTAGATGATGCAATGTCCAGTGGTCAGTCACTTTTATGACTGTCATTATTATAATGTGTAGAGTAGTAGTAGTAGTAGTAGTAGTAGTATTGTTGTTGTTGTAGTAGTAGTATTGTTGTTGTAGTAGTAGTAGTAGTAGTAGTAGTATTGTTGTAGTAGTATGCTCCGATACGGACTTAAGCTCTTTTGAAGGCTCACTCCATGCATCCTTTGTCTAGTGTAAACCCCTTGTCTTGTGGCTCATTGATCACATTTGCAGACTATTATGCTAATCTGATGGGCATATGAAACTGATTTTCCGCCAATTGAATCCCCATTAGGTCCAACTGGTAAATACTTAGAGACAATTAAAGACAATCAAAGAGGGACTGTGCTCTAACTCTCTCTGGTTTGGGAAAGAGTCCCATTATAAAGCTAATCCACACTCCAAGCCCACGCTCGTTAAAAGCTGAAAAGTTAACCGCAAGCATGGGTATTGCTCTGTCTGAATAATATATTTGACATTTTGTATGCAGTTTAGTGTGCCAAACTAAAGAAGGGGAATGAAAAGTTAGTCTAGATCTGGCCTGCAGTCTGTCAGTCAGTCATTTAAGCCTATATAGAGAGTAAGATTGAATAAAGCATTATAGAACGTCTGGAGTAGGGTTGCAAATTTCCGGGAACTTTCATTAAAATCCCTGGTTTCCAGAAATCCTGGTTGCAACCCTAGTCTGGAGAGAGTAGTGTTGTTGGATATGCATTACCTGCTCTGGCGATGAGATCCTTGGCCCGGCTGTGAGAAAAGAAACAACAACTGTTAGACAGACACATTATATCCTAGAGACTCTCTTTCAACCACTGGGACCAACTGTTATATTAGACAGTCTTTGGGCCCAGCTCACGCAACTGGGGGATCGCAAGACCTTTCATGGGAAAGTCATTTTAATATTGTAGAAGAAAGCGCACTCCAATGAGTGACTACTTGGTGAAATATGTAATGTTTATGCAGCCGTAGGAAAATGTGATGTGACAACAAGTTTGAAAGACGGTCTTGCTGACGGACCGGACTTCTCTCACCTCTCCAGGCTGGGGGAGCGGTTGAGTAGGTTGGCCGAGGACGCTGCCTTTTTGTCCAGGCGTTTGGTCGTCTTCTCCTGGGGGTCCTTCGCCAGTTTCTCACTGTTCCTGCGAGCTCTGGACAACGACAGAATAGGGAGCGTTAGAGGATTCATATGCAGGGTTACACACACACACACACACACACACACACACACACACACACACACACTAATAAACACACACACTTGCACACAGAGGCATGCACACACACAAACAGAGACACCCAAGGGGCAGAGATTTCCTGGAACACACACACACATTTTCCTGATAACGACTTGACCAATAATCAGAGGAAATGGCCCTTGTCATGTGACCAACGACGTTCCAATACAATACATAATAGGAAGTGAAACCCAGATGACTTCCTCCCCATGTGGCACAGACGTCAGTTCAACATCTAGTTTTGATTTACATTTGGTTGAGTTGTCAACTAATGTGAATTCAACAAAAAAAAAAATCACTATGTCATTGGATTTAAGTTAAAAGTTGGGTGAAAATAAATCAAAATGCCCTTAAGTTGATGACTTTTTGCAAATCCAATTAGTTTTCAATGTTGATTCAACGTCATCACATTGTTTTTTGGGGGGGTTTAAATGACGTTGAAAAACTGGTTCATTCAACCAGTCTTTTCCCAGTGGGTCTCCACTGTGGCTCCTAATGATAACACACATACATATAGTACCTAGTGGTTCAGTTTGGAACGGAATAGCCCAGTTCATAGTCTTGTACATAACTTAGACACCACTGTCTTAGTACCTCTTAGTTTACATGGTGTGGCAGGGTTGAGCTAACTGACTTCTTCCTGGACAGAAACATATGCTATCAATCGGCAACAGGCCTCTTGCAAGTAATTACAAGCAAACAAAACATCAACAAAACACACAACCACATATGTGCATACACACACACACACACACACACACAGAGAGGAAGCTGTAAAATTATTTGTGTGATTATAGAGCAGAATGCTGCAAAAGATCTCCCAAAAGAAAGTCAGATGAAAAGCCCCATTGAAATATCTACATGCAGGAAATCATGCTGAATCAATCCATGCTTGAATTAAAGGGTGAGGCTCAGATTTGATCATCAGGTTAGTGTGCATTCATGAATGATGTTACCAGTCACTCACATTTAGCCCCCTGTTCAAACAAATGGAAAATAACACAGCAGCCAGATCCAGCGGGAGAGACGTAAGGTCTGCTCCCCAGTCCCTGAAGGCTTTCCATAACGCAACATAATAGAATCAGAAAACTGGCTACCGCAAACTGATGATTAGATTTTGACACTAGGGGTTTGTAGTAACACAATCATAGAGAATAAGAGACCGTGTCAAAAAGAGGTGATTTCCCCCAAAAGCAATCAGGTAGGAATGGAGAAGAGGAGGAGAGGTGGCGTCAACGCACAGGGGTTTCTTCTCGCCCTCCAGGATGGTGGAGAGAGGACTGCGCCGGGGGCTGGGGGACATGTCCTTTGGGGGGGCTGGGGACCCCGAGATGGGGGGCTGGGGGGCTGAGCTCAGGCTCTCCGTGGAGCCATTTTGGTCCTGGAGGTCATCTCTCTGGAGGCTCCTGATGGTGGTGGGGTGGATGGGCTCCTCTACGGAAGACGCCCAGCTCAGGTCCTTCTCCTTCTCCCCTTCCTCCCCTTCCTCCTGGACGCGGTGGAGCTTGGCCCGGGCCTCCTCCGTCAGAGACATCCCCTCAGGGAGGGCATCCTCCAGGGAGAGGCTCTGGACGGGCCTGGTGAGAGCCAGGGGGACCCTGTCTAGCCCCTGGTCCTGCACCAGAGGAGTGAGGTCTGTTTGGGTAGCCTGATCATTCGTTGGGGTCTTATGTATGGGGCCCGGGGATGCAGAGTCCCCATTATAGCCATTCTCACCTTCCATCCTGTTTAGTACTTGGCTAAATACACACAAAGTGTAGTAAAGAGAGAATACAAACAAACATCATAATGAAAAACTGAATACTATCAATTTACTCAACTCTAATAACAAGACTTTCCTATTCAAGTTGAATGCATATATATATATATATAGAGAGAGAGAGCGAGAGAGAGAGGAGAGGAGAGAGGAGAGAGAGAGAGACTCACTGGACAGTTTATTAGGTACACCCCGTTCACGAAAATTGATCGCTCCTACAGACAGTGAGTCACGTGGCCGTGGCTTGCAATATAAAGCAGGCAGACGGGCATCGAGGCATTCAGTTCCTGTTCATTTGAACGTGAGAATGGGAAAAATGTGTGACCTAAGCGACTTTGAGCATGGTATGATCGTCGGTGCCAGGCATGCAGGATCCAGTATCTCAGAAACGCCTACCCTCCTGGGCTTTTCACCACAACAGTGTCTAGGGTTTACTGAGAACGGTGCGACAAACTAAAAACATCCAGTCAGCGGCAGTCCTGTGGGGGAAAACAGCTAGTTCACGAGAGAGGTCGAAGGAGAATGGCAAGAATCGTGCAAGCTAACAGGCGGTCCACAAACAAACAAATAACAGCACAGTACAACAGTGGTGTGCAGACCGGCACCTCAGAACACACAACTCGTCGATCATTGTCATGGATGGGCTAATGCTGCAAACGACCACACCGGGTTCCACTCCTATCAGCTAAAAACAAGAAGAAGCGTCTCCAGTGGGCACACGATCACCAACACTGGAAAATTGAGGAGTGGGAAATCATTGCCTTGTCTGACAAATCCCGGTTCCTGTTGCGTCGCGCTGATGACATAGTCAGGATTTGGCTTAAGCAGCATGAGTCTATGGACCCAGCCTGCCTGGTGTCAACGGTACATGCTGGTGGTGTAATGGTGTGGGGAATGTTTTCCTGGCACACGTTAGGTCCCTTGATACCATTTGAGCAACAAATGTTTCCGACATCTTGTAGAATCCATGCCCCGAAGAATTCAGGCTGTTCTGGAGGCAACTAGATGAGTGTACCTAATAAACTGAATGTATATACAGTATAATAATACATTTAATTTGTATAGCGCTTTTCATTATAGTTATATCTCAAAGCTCTACTGAGGGAAAAATATATACAATTATATACAATAAAAACAACATGTACATTTAGAATCAAGGCGGATAAAATAGCAATAGTGGGCTAGGTGCTAAATACATTTTAGATTGGGACAAGGACTATGAAAAAGACAGTCTATGAATGTTACACATATAAATATACACATACATCTATACACCTACCTACCTACCTACATAACATTCTGGTCATGAAGTCCAAAGCTTTGACTGAGCAAACTATGCCTTATTTCCATATATGGCTCTGGACAAACATGCCAGCCAATCCATTCTATGCCCACAGTCCCTCTGCACTGGCCTGGCACAGTACCTGGTGGCAGGGTGGCTGGGGCCGTCGAGGGCTGAGCTGTAGGACAGTTTAGGGGAGCTGGAGAAACCCTCAGAGCTGTAAACCTGGTTCAGGACACGGGCGGCTGCAGGGTTTACTGAGAACACATATAACAAGACACACACAAACAAAATGGACACAATCACACACATTTAGTGCAAGGATGGAATTTTCATAGAAGCACAAGACATAGGGCATATCATGGGGAGGATAATGTATTGGATACAGCTTATGTATTGTGTACTGTAGTTAAAGTTGCACTATGCAGAAATCGCTCCGCCATTTCCTGGTTGCTAAAACTTTAATAGTTTGCCTAATGTCAGTTTATGTGACAAAATAAACCAGTATAGTGTAGAGAATTATTGTTCCATCTAAACAGCTGTGAAATATATTTTCCATAACCAAAAATATTGTTGTTTCAGCTGTTTGAAGCTGGTGTACAAAACCGAAAGTAAAAGACGCAAAAACAAAACTTCAGAACGGGAAGCATAGAAATAGCGCACATAGAACAGATCTACCGCTTAGACTTGCTTTTAAGTAGAATGATAGATCTATAACTCAATTTCTATGTGAATTTGGTCGGGTCGCCCCAAAAGTTACATATTACCATTTTAAGTTTATATTACTCAAACCCAATCATCTACAACCCATTTCACACTACTGAGCCAAGCCAAGCAGAGCCGAGCTGCACTGTACTGGCCTGGTTAAACATCCAAGATATTTGCTGGAACCGTGCTGGAAAGAAAATATCCAAGCCAGCACAGTACGGTTCGGGCACGATAATGTGAAAAGAGTACAACTGTGGTCTGATGGTTGGCCATCCACCTGCGATGATCTGCTGTTTAAGCAGGGGGATCAACTGGTCGTGGAGGCGGAGCCTGCGTAGCGCGTCAGCCAGTGATGACTTCAGCAGCATGATCTCATCTTCCTGCGACTGCAGACGCCCCTCCATCATGGACACGCGGTCTGGATACTCAGTGCTGCTGCCGGACACGTCATCTGTGCAGACGGACCATGACAACAAATCAGGAGACAGTATGGAACCACATGCTGTCACATCATTCGTGGATATTGGGGAAAATAAGGACAACCAATGGTAGTCTATATCCAACTCAATGCTGTCACTCCATTGGCATATAGGGTTGTCCTCTAGACAAATGAAATATAAAAGTGATGTATTATTATGCAGTACCAATGTATAGGTTGGATACAACTATAAAATGCAAGATGGGAGAACTTTAAAAGATGCAAGCAGTAAGACATGACCCTGGTGTTGTAAATACTGTTAACAGCCCACAAATATTCATCAAAAGGGACAGGAAGACGTACATTCTGCATGAAGATGAGCCTCCTGCAACCGTCTGACTATAAAGCCAACATTAATGTCCTCAACCAGCACTGTCTACAAGGAACGGGATGACACTTTCTATGAGTTTGGAGAGAAACGTATTTATTTAGGCTTTATTTAGAACTAAGTCCTTTTTCCATCAGAAAAAGAAGGCAGTAGACCATTACCACCATTAGAAAAGAAGGCAGTAGATAGACCATTACCACCATTAGAAAAGAAGGCAGTAGATAGACCATTACCACCATTAGAAAAGAAGGCAGGAGACCATTACCACCATTAGAAAAGAAGGCAGGAGACCATTACCACCATTAGAAAAGAAGGCAGTAGATAGACCATTACCACCATTAGAAAAGAAGGCAGTAGATAGACCATTACCACCATTAGAAAAGAAGGCAGTAGATAGACCATTACCACCATTAGAAAAGAAGGCAGTAGACCATTACCACCATTAGAAAAGAAGGCAGTAGATAGACCATTACCACCATTAGAAAAGAAGGCAGTAGATAGACCATTACCACCATTAGAAAAGAAGGCAGTAGATAGACCATTACCACCATTAGAAAATAAGGCAGGAGACCATTACCACCACAAGGAGGATAGGAGTTAAAGCATATGTTTCTGGTTTTCTCAAAATTTTGCAATTTCCAGCAGCTTCGCAAAAAAGAAGTGGAATGTTCTAATTGTTTATCATCAGGTTGTGTTTAGGGAACAGGGTTTAACAAGACGGTTAAGTGTTCGCAGACCTACTTTCTCTAAAGTAGTGCACACGTGTTGGGACTGCCTATTCCATGATGATTCTGTACATGTCAACGTTTCCTGCAAATGGCAGTAGGAAGACTTGTTTATCATTAGGTTGTGTTTAACAAATGGATTGGAGTCTGTTAGGATATTAATAAGTCACCACAGACTTATGTGTGTGTATGTTTTGGGATTGGGCCTATTCTATCATTAAGTGTGTTTACATTTCCAACGAATTACCTCAGATTTGAAAGCGAAGAAGACAGCATTCCTGTGTGTCGCAATGTCATGTGACTAATGATCAGACCCTAAGCCAACTGCAGCTTGTTTTTAGTGCGGCCTACACTACTTCCTGCTTTGGTTGGCCACATTTGTTCTAATGTAGCGTGTTTCAGGTTTTATTAGTCTTATGTATGGGGTACGCAACAAAACGCTTACTTCCTTCTCGACAATGCAACAACAATAAGAAATAATCAAAAGATAAGAATACGAACATAAAGTAAATGGCTCAGTAGAATAGAATAAGTAAGGGCTAATCATGTTTTAACCACTCCTATGTAAATGGTAGATTATCTGACACTCAAGAAGAAGGTCTGATCTCATTATTACTGAAACAGGATACAAGTGGAAAATATAAAGATCCAGTCCATTTACAAAATTGGAGGCCCCTTACACTTCAGTGTTGTGATGCAAAAATCCTAGCAAAATGTATAGCGCATAGAATTAAAAAGGTATTGTCGGATATTATTCATTCTAATCAGACAGGTTTTTTACATGGAAGATACATTGGAGATAATATAAGGCAAGTATTGGAAACAATAGAACACTATGGAAAATATGGGAAACCAGGCCTGCTATTCATAGCAGACTTCGAAAAGGCATTTGATAAAGTTCGACTGGAATTTATATATAAATGCCTGGAGCATTTCAATTTTGGAGAATCTCTTATAAAATGGGTCAAAATCATGTATAGTAACCCTAGGTGTAAAATAGTAAATAATGGCTATTTCTCAGAAAGTTTCAAACTGTCAAGAGGAGTGAAACAAGGTTGTCCACTATCGGCATATCTATTTATTGTGGCCATCGAGATGTTAGCTATCAAAATCAGATCCAATAATAATATCAGAGGATTAGAAATACAGGGCTTAAAAACAAAGGTGTCATTGTACGCAGATGATTCATGTTTTCTTTTAGATCCACAACTAGAATCCCTCCACAGCCTCATAGAGGATCTAGATACATTTTCTAACCTCTCTGGATTAAAACCAAATTATGACAAATGTACTATATTACGTATTGGATCACTAAAAAATACAATTTTTACATTACCATGTAGTTTACCAATAAAATGGTCTGATGGTGATGTGGATATACTCGGAATACATATCCCAAAGGAAATAAATGATCTCACTTCAATAAATTTTAATAGAAAGTTAGCAAAAATAGATAAGATCTTACTACCATGGAAAGGAAAATACCTGTCAATTTGTGGAAAAATCACCCTGATTAACTCTTTAGTATTATCCCAGTTTACCTATTTGCTTATGGTCTTGCCTACGCCTAGCAAACAGTTTTTTAAATTATATGAGAAAAAAATATTCAATTTTATTTGGAACGGCAAGCCAGACAAAATTAAAAGAGCATATTTATATAATGAATATGAATTCGGAGGACAGAAATTATTAAATATTAAAGCATTAGACCTATCACTAAAATCTTCAGTCATCCAAAAGTTATACTTAAATCCGAACTGGTTCTCAAGCAAATTAGTAAGATTGTCTCACCCACTGTTCAAGAAAGGCCTTTTTCCCTTTATTCAGATTACAACCTCTCACTTTCAGTTATTTGAAAAGGAAATAATCTCCCAAATGTCACTATTTCTAAAACAAGCCATAGAAAGTTGGTTGCAATTTCAATTTAATCCTCCAGAAACGACAGAACAAATAATGCAACAAATATTGTGGTTAAATTCAAATATACTAATTGACAAAAAACCTTTATTTTTTGACAGAATGTTTAAAAAAGGTATAATCTTCGTAAATGATATCATCGGTAGGACTGGTGGAGTTATGTCGCACATGCAGCTAACAAAAACATATGGAAATGTCTGCTCTACCCAAAATTACAACCAAATAATTGCAGCCTTACCGCAAAAGTGGAAGAGGAAAGTTGAAGGGGGAGAAAGTAAGGAACTTGTCTGTCGGCCTTGCATTAAAGAACATAATTGGTTAAGGAAAACTGTGATAAATAAAAAAGTATATCAGTTTCACTTAAGGACCAAAGGATTGACAGCAGTCCCATATAGATTGCAAAATAGTTGGGAAGAGATCTTTGACGTACCGATCCCATGGCATAGTGTTTATGAACTGACACGCAAAACGACACCGGATTCAAAAATTAGAATCTTTCAATTTAAATTATTATATAAAATTCTTGCTACCAATAGAATGTTATTTATATGGGGGATACAATCTTCCCAGCTCTGCAGATTTTGCTGTGAAGAGATAGAATCATTAGATCATTTGTTTTGGTTCTGTCCATTTGTAGCTTGTTTTTGGACACAGGTCCAGGAATGGCTAAAGGATTGCAATATTTACCTGGAACTAACCTTGCAGATAGCATTACTGGGTGATCTGAAAAGTCATAGTCAATCAATCAATAATATAATAATACTTTTAGCAAAAATGTTTATTTTTAATTCACAATCTGTAGAAGCAATGAGAATAGAAAGGTTCAGAACTTTTGTAAAACATCACAGTATGGTTGAAATATATATGGCAAATAGAAATCCTATATGGATGGTGTTAAGAGATAGATGGGAGGTATTGAATAGAGTTGAAGGATGGGACTAATAACAAATAACAACAAATAATAACAAAGATAGCTAATAATGTAAGCATACTGTGTCCATAATAAGTATATAGGTTGTATGTTGGGAGCTTTTGGGAAAGAGCACAGTTAGAAAGATATGGCATTTAGAAGCAAACCGGATGGACATCATGAAAATGATCGGAGAGGTTGAGAGTAGAAGAAGTTCAGGAGCAAAAAAATAAATAAATATATATATATATATATATAGATATAGATATAGAATTATTGTAAAATTAACTCTGTCCATAAGGTGTAGATAGTAAGTATAGACCGGAAGTAGAGGCCTGGGCGTTGTTGTTCACTAATTTACTCCAAGTAGGGAAAGGATGGTGGGGTTGAAAAGTAATAAAGGGGAATATATATATAAAAAATAAAAAAAACATGGGGGATTGGAAGTGATGCAGACAATTACATTGATAGAAGATACAATCTATCTGCAATATTAAGCTGATCCATCCCCTGAAAAAAATATAAAAAAAAAAATTAAAAAAAAATTAATAATAAAATAAACAAAAAAAGTAAGGGCTAATCAACGAAGGGCTATGTGTTCTCTGGAAAATAATGAAGGTGTGTTCCACGACGCGCTAGCGGAGTGTAACTACCCTTCCACGGTGTTGTAACTACCCTTCCACGGTGTTGGAACTACCCTTCCACGGTGTTGTAACTACCCTTCCACGGTGTTGTAACTACCCTTCCACGGTGTTGTAACTACCCTTCCACGGTGTTGGAACTACCCTTCCACGGTGTTGGAACTACCCTTCCACGGTGTTGGAACTACCCTTCCACGGTGTTGGAACTACCCTTCCACGGTGTTGGAACTACCCTTCCACGGTGTTGTAACTACCCTTCCACGGTGTTGTAACTACCCTTCCACGGGGTTGTAACTACCCTTCCACGGGGTTGTAACTACCCTTCCACGGTGTTGTAACTACCCTTCCACGGTGTTGTAACTACCCTTCCCCGGTGTTGTAACTACCCTTCCCCGGTGTTGTAACTACCCTTCCCCGGTGTTGTAACTACCCTTCCACGGTGTTGGAACTACCCTTCCACGGTGTTGGAACTACCCTTCCACGGTGTTGTAACTACCCTTCCACGGTGTTGCATTATTTTCCTGAGAACGCATGGCTATAATTTAACACATTTACAGCTGGAAATGTGTTCATTTGCAGGTAGAAATGTGTTCAACATCCACTGAGGTAGCTAGCAAGTTTACTAGATAGCGACAGTAGTTGCCTTGGAAACCAAACAAACAGACTTGCTAGCTTAGCTAACCAAACCATCAGTCCTAGCTTGCTATTATTAAAATGTAATTCAACAATGTTTTCAATTCGACTTTTGCTTTCAAAAGCAGCTCAAACATAGAATATGTAAGAATGAAATCTAGCCATTGAATTATACCGTGCAAATATACCGTGCGTTGTAGGGAAATAATGCACGCTCTAGAATAACCTTCAAGCCAATCAGAAACAAGTATTCAACAATGCCATGGTATAAATATGTCCTATTTATATGTCAAATCTGTCTGGGCCAGGGGAAGTGAAAATTGTCTGACTGATTAAGAACCTGCAAGGAAATAAGGTCTGATCATATCTAAATAGATTGTTCTAGTGATTCTGAATCTATAGACACTGTGCATGAATTATAAGATGAGTGAATGTACTTTGTTGAAAGGAGATACAGTAAATCATATGATAGATAGCCTGCATATATCATGCATTTGGATCTGAAACAAAATGGATGTCGTCTGACACTTGTCTGAAACAGTATTTCTGTGGGATCAAATGAAAACATTTTAAAAACAGACCATGCTGGTGAATCACCATGAATCATGTTCCAAACATGCCTTAACATTTTATATTCATCCATTGTCTGTCATGCTTCTGGATGACATCGTCACTGTTAGCGCAGGGCTCCAGTGCGCACTGAGTGCTAGTATGCAGTGTTCATTTCATCAACTAAAATAGTGACTACACTGTTGAGCAGTTTGACCGTATGGTGCGTAAGAAGTGCCCATCAAGCCAATCCAACTTGTGGGAGGTGCTTCAGGAAGCATGGGGTGAAATCTCTTCAGATTCACTCAACAAATTGACAACTAGAATGCCAAAGGTCTGCAAGGCTGTAATTGCTGCAAATGGAGGATTCTTTGACGAAAGCAAAGTTTGAAGGACACAATTATTATTTCTATAAAAAAAATCATGATTTCTAACCTTGTCAATGACTACATTTCCTATGCATTTTGCTATATTTTCTATTCAAACTCATTTCATGTATGTTTTCATGGAAAACAAGGACATTTCTAAGTGACCCCAAACTTTTGAACGGTAGTGTATATTCTTGCTAGTTTAAATCCCATGCTGTGGCTAACTGTGGCGAACTGTTGTTGAACTCAATGAAAATGGTCATGATGACAAATACAGGCAGACATGTGACTTCACACACTTGTTTGAAGAGGGCTTGGAATGTAGCAGGAGAGCAAGAATCTACTGGACTCTAATCAAGAACAGGAAACACCTGACTCAAGTGGTTGAGTTAGGGCACAATGTTCACTAAAGAATATTGACATTCGCCAGCACTGTGAAGAGTAGACGCTCTGTTGCCTACGAGGAAGTCTAATCTCAGAGTGTATATTAAACAACACAATATGGGATACAGAATTAATGCTGCAATATGTAACTTTTTAATACAGTATTATTGCTATGGCAAATTGAACAAGACTAGCATTAAATGCCAAAACTCACAGATCTGAGCAAACGTGGCTATTTAAAAAAAAACATTTTTAGTCATTTAGCAGACGCTCTTATCCAGAGCAACTTACAGTTAGTGAGTGCATACATTTTTTCTTTATTTTTCATACTGGCCCCCCGTGGGAATCTAACCCACAACTCTGGCGTTGCAAACACCATGCTCTACCAACTGAGCTACATCCCTGCCAGCCATTCCCTCCCCTACCCTACCCTGGACGACGCTGGGCCAATTGTGCGCCGCCCCATGGGTCTCCCGGTTGCGGCCGGCTACGACAGAGCCTGGATTCGAACCATGATCTCTAGTGGCACAGCTAGCACTGCGATGGAGTGCCTTAGAACACTGCGCCACTCGGGAGGTTATGAGTCAGAAATCAAATCCCAAGGGGCCATGAAAGATGAAGCCAAGAACGTGGGCACAATCTTGAGCCATCGCATAAATGACAATGTAATATATACTGAACAAATATATAAAACGCAACATGCAACAATTTCAAAGATTTTACTGAGTTACAGTTCATATAATGAAATCAGTCAATTGAAATAAATTCATTAGGCCCTAATCTATGGATTTCACATGACTGGGCAGAGGCCATGGGTGGGCCTGGGAGGGCATAGGCCCACCCACTGGGGAGCCAGGCCCAGCCAATCAGAATGAGTTTTTCCCCACAAAAGGGCTTTATTACAGACAGAAATACTCCTCATCAAACGCCCCCCCCCCCCCCAGACGATCCCGCTGGTGATTAAGCCGGATGTGGAGGTCCTGGGCTGGCGTGGTTACACTTGGTCTGCGGTTGTGAGGCCGGTTGGACATACTGCCAAATTCTCCAAGACGACGTTGGATGGTAGAGAAATGAACATTCATTTCTCTGACAACAGCTCTGGTAGGCATTTCTACAGTCAGCATGCCAATTGCACGCTCCCTCAAAACTTGAGACATCTGTGGCATTGTGTTGTGTGACAAAACTGACCTTTTATTGTCCCCAGCACAAGGTGCACCTGTGTAATGATCATGCTGTTTAATCAGCTTGTTGATATGCCACACCTGTCAGGTGGATGGATTATCTTGGCAAAGGAGAAATGCTCACTAACAATTTGTGGACAACATTTGAGAGAAATAAGCTTTTGTGCGTATGTTACATTTCTGATTGGCCTGCAGCTGCTGAGGCTAATGCTAACCATTAAAAACGGGCACCACTAATAAAACCATTAATAAAGAGCTCCATTTTATTTCAATATGTGTACCTATAAAAGCAGTGTGCTTGGTGGGGCCTTGGCCATTATAAAAAAGGTCCAGTTAGGCCCGGTTGGGAACTTGCAGGTACAGTTGGCAGGTACAAAAAGGTACAGTTGGGCACTTGCAGGACTACATTGCATTGTTCCAGCAGGTACTGTAGGAGAGATAGGCTACTGTAATAGACTTTATCATTCTTAATTAATTCGTGATGAGGCGTAAGATCAAGAACCGTTGCAGTCCTAGCCACAACCTATCTTTCAGGGGGACGTTCAAGAACGTAGCCAATAGCACACACGAACACATATGGAAGTAATTAGGAGGTTTGTGTTCTTGGTCTGTTTTTAGGGGGTATAGTATTTACGGTTGTGAATGGGAGCCGAAGCAACAGATGGGAATAGGATGAGGGGTTTATGTTTCCTTTCCTCCAGCGCAATAATGCTGCACTTTGTTAGTGAACACTGGAGAGGGTTGTTTGCTCTCACACACACACACACACACACATATTTTACATTTTAGTCATTTAGCAGACGCTCTTATCCAGAGCGACTTACAGTTAGTGAGTGCATACATTTTCATACTGGCCCCCCGTGGGAAACGAACCCACAACCCTGGCGTTGCAAGCGCCGTGCTCTACCAACTGAGCTACACAGGACACACGTACAGTGGGGAGAACAAGTATTTGATACACTGCCGATTTTGCAGGTTTTCCTACTTACAAAGCATGTAGAGGTCTGTAAAAAATCCAGAAAATCACATTGTATGATTTTTAAGTAATTAATTTGCGAAAAGCAGAACTTTAATATTTGGTACAGAAACCTTTGTTTGCAATTACAGAGATCATACGTTTCCTGTAGGTCTTGACCAGGTTTGCGCACACTGCAGCAGGGATTTTGGCCCACTCCTCCATACAGACCTTCTCCAGATCCTTCAGGTTTCGGGGCTGTCGCTGGGCAATACGGACTTTCAGCTCCCTCCAAAGATGTTCTATTGGGTTCAGGTCTGGAAACTGGCTAGGCCACTCCAGGACCTTGAGATGCTTCTGACGGAGCCACTCCTTAGTTGCCCTGGCTGTGTGTTTCGGGTCGTTGTCATGCTGGAAGACCCAGCCACGACCCATCTTCAATGCTCTTACTGAGGGAAGGAGGTTGTTGGCCAAGATCTCGCGATACATGGCCCCATCCATCCTCCCCTCAATACGGTGCAGTCGTCGCTTCACGGTTGGGATGGTGTTCTTGGGGTTGTACTCATCCTTCTTCTTCTTCCTCCAAACACGGCGAGTGGAGTTTAGACCAAAAAGCTTTATTTTTGTCTCATCAGACCACATGACCTTCTCCCATTCCTCCTCTGGATCATCCAGGTGGTCATTGGCAAACTTCAGACGGGCCTGGACATGCGCTGGCTTGAGCAGGGGGACCTTGCGTGCGCTGCAGGATTTTAATCCATGACGGCGTAATGTGTTACTTATGGTTTTCTTTGAGACTGTTGTCCCAGCTCTCTTCAGGTCATTGACCAGGTCCTGCCGTGTAGTTCTGGGCTGATCCCTCACCTTCCTCATGATCATTGATGCCCCACGAGGTGAGATCTTGCATGGAGCCCCAGACCGAGGGTGATTGACCGTCATCTTGAACTTCTTCCATTTTCTAATAATTGCGCCAACAGTTGTTGCCTTCTCACCAAGCTGCTTGCCTATTGTCCTGTAGCCCATCCCAGCCTTGTGCAGGTCTACAATTTTATCCCTGATGTCCTTACACAGCTCTCTGGTCTTGGCCATTGTGGAGAGGTTGGAGTCTGTTTGATTGAGTGTGTGGACAGGTGTCTTTTATACAGGTAACGAGTTCAAACAGGTGCAGTTAATACAGGTAATGAGTGGAGAACAGGAGGGCTTCTTAAAGAAAAACTAACAGGTCTGTGAGAGCCGGAATTCTTACTGGTTGGTAGGTGATCAAATACTTATGTCATGCAATAAAATGCAGGTACATTACTTAAAAATCATACAATGTGATTTTCTGGATTTTTGTTTTAGATTCCGTCTCTCACAGTTGAAGTGTACCTATGATAAAAACTACAGACCTCTACATGCTTTGTAAGTAGGAAAACCTGCAAAATCGGCAGTGTATCAAATACTTCTTCTCCCCACTGTATGCATGCAAACACACACACGCACCCAGCTGCCCTATCACAAATTTCCCTGCTTCTCATTTTTAGTCATTACAACTGTTTTTTCTCATGACAAGCCAAGGCCTGCGGGTGAGTCCCAGAGGAAGCTGGAGAGGAACATACATATGCACAACGACTGGACGGGGCTGGAAGTAATCAGGAGTTGGCCGAAACTAGAGAGCTGGAGTGGAGTGTGGTCTCTGGTCTGATTGAATGTTTGAGCCACTCTGCTCCTCTCATCTCTCTCTCTTTCTCTATTTATCCCCCTCTCTCTGGCTTTCTGTTCCTTTCTCTTTCGGTCTCTCATCATACACACATATCCACACATCCACTCTCTCCATTTTAAATTAGCTAAAGCTGAAAATAGTTTATCTGATAAACTGATAAACGATGATACTGGTAGGAAAAGAAAACAACACAATTCCGCACTGAATCTTGAAGACGGAGGTTAGGGTTTCTAGCTAGTTTATAGCCTTGTAGGATGTTGCTCTAATTTCACTCTCACTTCTGTGCCCAGTGGCCATCTGAAGGCTATTGCCACTGGGCAATAAGGCTGTTCGATTAGGAGCCAAGAGGTTTGGACAGAGCAAACTGACTCTTTGGTCAGACTGCATGTGCACAAGTCGCTACCTTTCTCGTCCAATTTGGAGAATGTTTAAATCAATTTGCTCAACTCCCTCTCCAAGGCACTATTGGACGAGAAAGGGTAGAAACTTGTGCACATGCGGTCTGAACAAAGAGTAGATTTGCTCTGTCTAAACCTCTTGGATACCATTCGAACAGCTTTACAGTGCCTTGCAAAAGTATTCATCCCCCTTGGCGTTTTTTCTATTTTGTTGCATTACAACCTGTAATTTAAATGGATTTTTATTTGGATTTCATGTAAATGGACATACACAAAATAGTCCAAATTGGTACAGTGAAATGAAAAAAATAACTTGCTTCAAAGAATTCTAAAAAATAAATAACAGAAAAGTAGTGCGTGCATATGTATTCACCCCCTTTGCTATGAAGCCCCTAAATAAGATCTGGTGCAACCAATTACCTTCAGAAGTCACATAATTAGTTAAATAAAGTCCACCTGTGTGCAATCTAAGTGTCACATGATCTGTCACATGATCTCAGTATATATACACCTGCTCTGAAAGGCCCCAGAGTCTGCAACACCACTAAGCAAGGGGAACCACCAAGAAAGCGGCACCATGAAGAACAAGGAGCTCTCCAAACAGGTCAGGGACAAAGTTGTGTAGAAGTACAGATCAGGGTTGGGTTATAAAAAAATATCAAAAACTTTGAACATCCCACAGAGCACCATTAAATCAATTATTTAAAAATGGAAAGAATATGGCACCACAACAAACCTGCCAAGAGAGGGCCGCCCACCAAAATTCACGGACCAGGCAAGGAGGGCATTAATCAGAGGCAACAAAGAGACCAAAGATAATCCTGAAGGAGCTGCGAAGCTCCACAGCGGAGATTGGAGTATCTGTCCATAGGACCACTTTAAGCTGTACACTCCACAGAGCTGGGCTTTACGGAAGAGTGGCCAGAAAAAAGCCCTTGCTTAAAGAAAAAAAAAAGCTAACTTGTTTGGTGTTCGCCAAAAGGCATGTGGGAGACTCCCCAAACATATGGAAGAAGGTACCCTGGTCAGATGAGACTAAAATTGAGCGTTTTTGGCCATCAAGGAAAACGCTATATCTGGCGCAAACCCAACACCTCTCATCACCCCGAGAACACCACCATGTTTTTCAGGGACTGGGAAACTGGTCAGAATTGAAGGATGGCACTAAATACAAGGAAATTCTTGAGGGAAACCTGTTTCTGTCTTCCAGAAATTTGAGACTGGGACGGAGGTTCACCTTCCAGCAACACTTGAGTGGTTTAAGGGGAAACATTTCAATGTCTTGGAATGGCCTAGTCAAAGCCCAGACCTCAATCCAATTGAGAATCTGTTGTATGACTTAAAGATTGCTGTACACCAGCGGAACCCATCCAACTTGAAGGAGCTGGAGCAGTTTTGCCTTGAAGAATGGGCATAAATCCCAGTGGCTAGATGTGCCAAGCTTATAGAGACATACCCCAAGAGACTTGCAGCTGTAATTGCTGCAAAAGGTGGCTCTACAAAGTATTGACTTTGGGGGGGTGAATAGTTATGCACACTCAAGTTCTCTGTTTTTGTGTCTTATTTCTTGTTTGTTTCACAATAAAAAAAAATTTGCATCTTCAAAGTGGTAGGCATGTTGTGTAAATCAAATGATACAAACCCCCCAAAAATCAATTTTAATTCCAGGTTGTAAGGCAACAAATAGGAAAAATGCCAAGGGGGGTGAATACTGTCGCAAGCCACTACACAGTCTACGCAAACGGAGCCGACTGTGGTTTTATTTGGATCCCCAAGTTTTCAGAGCAAAAATAAATAAATACAAAATAAACTCGTTTTTATTGTTGGACATAGACTGTAAAAACATCAAGAAATTAGCTCCAAGTGATTTTAATTTAAGAAATCTGTTCAAGTATTCCCACGCATAATAGAGAGACACGAGATCGTATACAAATGTAAGCAAGGTTTGAAATGATTATGTTTTAGTCAAACATATCTATTTGGGCTTCCTGCGGTCAATTTGCAGTCTACAAATTATTTGTAATTACAGTGAATTCGGAAAGTATTCAGACCCCTTGACTTTTTCCACTTTTTGTTACATTCCAGCTTTATTCTAAACTGGATGAAATAGTTTTTTTCCCTCATCAATCTACACACACACACACACACACAATACCCCATAATGACAAAGCACATTTTTGCAAATGTATATACAGAAAAAACTACGGAAATATCACATTTACATAAGTATTCAGACCCTTTACTCAGTACATTGTTGAAGCACCTTTGGCAGTGATTACAGCCTCGAGTCTTCTTTGGTATGACGCTACAAGCTTGGCACACCTTTATTTGGGGAGTTTCTCCCATTCTTCTCTGCAGATCCTCTCAAGCTCTGCCAGCTTGGATGTGGAGCGTCGCTGCACAGCTATTTTCAGGTCTCTCCAGAGATGTTCGATTGGGTTCAAGTCCGGGCTCTGCCTGGGCCACTCAAGGACATTCAGAGACTTGTCCCGAAGCCACTCCTGCGTTGTCTCCTGCGTGTGCTTAAGGTCGTTGTCCTGTTGGAAGGTGAACCTTCACCCCAGTCTGAGGTTCTGAGCGCTCTGGATCAGGTTTTCATCAAGGATCTCTCTGTACTTTGTTCCGTTCAGCTTTCCCTCTATCCTGACTAGTCTCCCTGCTGATGAAAAACATCCCCACAGCATGATGCTGCCACCACCATGCTTCACCGTAGGGATGGTGCCAGGTTTCCTCCAGACGTGACGCTTGGCATTCAGGCCAAAGAGTTCAATCTTGATTTCATCAGCCCAGAGAATCTTGTTTCACATGGTCTGAGAGTCCTTTAGGTGCCTTTTGGCTGTCATGTGCCTTTTACTAAGGAGTGGCTTCTGTCTGGCCATTCTATCATTAAGGCCTGATTGGTGGAGTGCTGCAGAGATGGTTGTCCTTCTGGAAGGTTCTCCCATCTCCACAGAGGAACTCTGGAGCTCTGTCAGAGTGACCATTGGGTTCTTGGTCACCTCCCTGACCGAGGCCCTTCTCCCCCGATTGCTCAGTTTGGCCGGGCAGCCAGCTCAAACTTCTTCCATTTAAGAATGATGGCGGCCAATGAGTTCTCGAGACCTCAGATGGCCCAGGCCACTCGGCACAGAAAATAGTGAAATTAGAGCAACATCCTACAAGGCTAGAAACTAGCTAGAAACTCTAAATGTTGTGTTGTTGCCATGTGTTTCTGTCCCGTTGTGTTGTGATATCTGTTCTCCTTGTGCTGTTACTGTTCTGTATTGACTTTTGCTTGTCATATGTCCTGTGCTTTTGTGTTGTGATGTCTGTCTTGTCCTGTGATTTTGATGTTCTTTTATTTATTTTATTTATTGCACAGCACTTCTCAGTCATCACTGGCCAGGCCGTCATTGTAAAGAAATTGACTCGCCTGGATAAATAAAGGTTAATCATTTAAAAGAAATCTCTTGCCCAGGCTGACTTTTTGAAGAACTGTAGTTTCATTAAAAGGAAAATACACTTTTTATCGAAGTGTTAAGGTAGCGGTTTTATGGCTATAAGGACGTTTTGGTCTTTGAGATGTTTTTCCTTCTCTTAATAGTTTGGGATTTTCTTGTCTTGCTGTATCCAAAGTCCTTACTTGCAATCTTATGACTGTTACTTAATTGTGGTTGAAACAGTCTTAAATCGAGACGTGACGGTTATTTTCCAACCCAGACTCTCAAGAGTAAGGATTGACAGCACACACACACACACAGCCTCTTCCCACATTTCACCCACCCTTTGTCAGCTCCTTTCTGGTGAATGCCACCCTCCACGGTGCATCACCACCTACAGAGTGTCTGTCCCCGGAGACCCATGTGATCACGAGCCATGTTGCCACCACAACACATCCTGTGTCTTACTTGACACCTCTGCACTTCCATCGAACTCATCACACTGAACCGAAACAGAGAGATATAGCTACAGCAGAACACACTGACAGACTCACCCCCACCTGAGAGAATATATGCAGGGGAATTAAAACTGTCTGCTGCTATCTCCTCCTGGTCTAACGTTTAATAGAAAACGTTTATTTATGATCATATCTTATTATCGTATGAGAAAATTCTGAGTAGCATTGTCTGATGGAAAAGTGTGGACTTTCGTCTGTTGCTCAACCTACATCAATCCATGCTCTGTATTTGATACTAGCTGAAGATTAAATGTTGGTCGCAAATATTGAGGCTAAACACAAGATTAAGAGGATCTAAACAATCTAAAAATAAACATTAAACATTTCTCTTGAGCTGTTTGGGGTCAACACAGTGTCACTAAGCTTAAATCAGAGGGAAATTATGCAAGAGCATACTTGCTTTGCATGCAGATAAAAAAAGCTATGAGGTATTCTACAGGCAGTATAAATGTAATACCAGTATGATCTCACACATGGTAGCGCAAAGGAGCTGCTGGACATAATCAACCATGTCAAAAGCCCCTGCATTTTTTATCATGTGTAGATAAAGCAAGTTATTAACAAACCTTCTACCGACTACAGCAATGAAAACCATAACCAAATGAAGCGGTCCACATAGAAGCAAGCTATCTGACAACTGACATGTTCTCAGACCCTAGTTAACTGTGATTTCTGACAGGGCAGCATGGAATTATCAGCTAGCTGTGGGGGTGTGCTGGTGATTTTATGGACAGTTCAGCCAAACACCCACAGACCCAGACAATCCCTGACAGTAAACTCACTGACAGCCCACTGAAAGCCCCATCCTGCTGACTGAATAAAACATAGTGCTGATCTGATGGCTGTTTCACTTCGTAAGCCCTAAATAGTTGAGGTTAGGATTGCTGTAGGATAAGCTGATCCTAGATCTGTGCTTAGGGGGACATATTCTAGTCAGCTGTGAGTGAGACATACTGACAGACAGGCATTGCCCACAGTTGCTAACCGGGCGTCTGCCTCTCCATGTTATATTGGGCCCGTTACATTTACATTTTACATTTACGTCATTTAGCAGACGCTCTTATCCAGAGCGACTTACAAATTACAAATCGTTAGACATTGCAGCCGACTTTAAAGGTGAGTCGAGACTGATTGATCTACAAATCACCTTACATCATAAATAACAAACTACTCAATATTATTTGTAGATCAGTCAGTCACAATTTACTCAACATGTACTGCACTGACACAGATGACTGATGATTGGTTGAAAGAAATGGATAATAAGGAGATTGTGGGAGCTGTACTGTTAGATTTCAGTGCAGCCTTTGATATTATTGACCATAACCTGTTGTTGAGAAAACATATGTTTTATTGCTTTTCAACCTGGATTCAGAGCTATCTATCGAATAGAACTCAAGAGGACTTTCTTTAATGGAAGCCTCTATAATTTCAAACATGTAGGGTGTGGTGTACCGCAGGGCAGCTCTCTAGGCCCTCTACTCTTTTCTATTTTTACCAATGACCTGCCACTGGCATTAAACAAAGCATGTGTGTCCATGTATGCTGATGATTCAACCATATACGTGTCATCAACCACAGCTAATGAAGTCACTGAAACCCTTAACAATTAGTTGCAGTCAGTTTTGGAATGGGTGGCCACTAATAAACTGGTCCTGAACATCTCTAAAACTAAGAGCATTGTATTTGGTACAAATCATTCCCTTAGCTCTAGACCACAGCTGAATCTGGTAATGAATGGTGTGGCTGTTGAGCAAGTTGAGGAGACTAAATTACTTGGTGTTACCTTAGATTGTAAACTGTCATGGTCAAAACATATAGATTCAATGGTTGTAAAGATGGGGAGAGGTCGGTCCATAATAAAGAGATGCTCTGCTTTTTTGACACCACACACCAAAAAGCAAGTCGTGCAGGCTCTAGTTTTGTCTAATATTGATTATTGTCCAGTCATGAGGTCAAGTGCTGCAAAGAAAGACCTAGTTAAGCTGCAGCTGGCCCAGAACAGAGCGGCACGTCTTGCTCTTCATTGTAATCAGAGGGCTAACATAAATACTATGCATGCCAGTCTCTCTTGGCTAAGAGTTGAGGAGAGACTGACTGAATCACTTCTTTTTATAAGAAACATTAATGTGTTGAAAATTCCAAATAGTTTGCAGTCAACTTACACACAGCTCTGACACACACACTTACCCCACCAGACATGCCATAAGGGGTATTTTCACAGTCCCCAAATTCAATAAAGCGTACAGTATTAGAGCCCTTATTGCATGAACCTCCCTTCCATCTCATATTGCTCAAACGAACAGCAAACCTGTTTCATAAAGCAGGTAAAGCAACACCTCACGGCACAATGCCTCTCCCCTATTTGACCTGGATATTGTGTGTGTATGTATTGATATGTAGGCTACGTGTGCCATTTTTACATTTATGTAATTCTGTCCTTGAGCTCTTCTAGTCTATTAATGTTCTGTATTATGACATGTTTCATGTTTTGTGTGGACCCCAGGAAGAGTAGCTGCTGCTTTCGCAACAGCTAATGGGGATCCTATTAAAATACAAAATACCATGATACATCACGGTTTTGATGCTCTCGAACATTGACTGTTCCCCTGTGTGTTCCCCTGTATGCCTATCAACACACCCTTTTACAAGATGGTAAACAAAACATCAGCACACGAGGTGGGACTGCTACAGATATACCACAATGGCTCCCATTCTACTCCTTTGTAGAACCCATTAAAAATTCCATTGTCATGGCAGCAGTAGCATAACCAATGCTACTGCAAAACGGAGGGGAAAACAATTAATAACAACCACAAACTGAATATCTGTTTATTTCCATTTAAAATCATGGCCCAGAGAGACCCAGAAATGTTTGGGTTATAGATGGGTAGGTACCCCCAAATTAGTTCATGCATCATATGGTAGGGGGTACTAAAAATCTTTAACACCCAAATTGTCAATATGCTGTTTATAGTTATAGTTCCTCTCTCTTGCTTGATTTAGGAACCTTTGAAGTTCCTCCAGCGCAGATGGTGGTCCAACAAATGTATCCCTAACTCCGGACAGATTAAATTGTGTCTAGTTTGGTCATCAATGCACTGAACTAACTTCCATATAGGAATGTCCCCCTAGAACTTTGAATAGGACTGTTTGTTTTAGCGTGATAAAAGAGCTTATAGTGATAAATCACTACTCAAATCAAATCAATCAATTTGAATGCATCCCTGGTGTAGATAATGGAGTTGCCTTGCCATAGAAACAGTCAAGAGACTACAAACTAAGGCGCTAACCTGGCAACAAGTAATCTAGCATCCTACCCAATTGGGAGAGAACATTCTAGATAACATTATGTTCCCACGTCTGCCAGTCCATTCACCAGAACCCCATACGCACACCCTATCTCGTGAGAGATGATGAGTGATTTAAATGACTTTGTTTCACATCTACCTAGACTAGAGGATACAACAAAGTTAATTTTCATGATTGAAAAAAGTGAGCAAGAACATAGCAACATTCTTACAAACTGAAAGCACACAACATCATTGGCCCTAGGTTATCATATAATTGCAATTACTCCTTTATACAATTGCAAAGGTGTGTTTTCAGTTTTTCAATTGCATGTTTTGCACATAACCTATACATGCTGCTTTGTAATTTGCAGACTGATATGCCCACATAAGTAACTGTGTGGTTGACAGACAGAAAGTAGCTACTCAAAGTTAGAAACGGTTGACTACAAATACGATTATAGATGCTTTACTTACCTAAGCTATTCGTAGAACTATCCATGACTGATTGCCCAGAAGATAATTACTGTTTTCTAGGAGTGACGTTTGTTTTTGGGTGTATTTCCCATGCTGATGCTCTACCCTGGAGCGTGTCAGAAACCACACTCTGGAGCTCGTGCTGAAGCTGTTTCTTGAGAAAAGAGAAGAGGCACGCATGGCAACGTGCACTCAAATTCTTTACACAAATCCAGGAACTGAGCTGAACATTGGGTGGACAAGTGCACAAGTGCACAATCGCCCAATAGATTCACATGCACTCCGCACCATAATTCCCCAAATTATGCTCGTGGAGACAAGTATGGTATAACTATCCCCGCGTTTTGCGATGACTATGTGCACATGTAATAATAATATGCTCCTTACTGAAACTTGTAGCACTACTTTTTGAGTTACACCTCATCCAAAAGTTCTGTTCAACTGAGATTTGTAAATGTAAATGTAAATTATTTTATTTCACAGAGATTTCCTGCCACCTGGTGGCGTGTTCTTGTACTTCACTTCATCCACACGATGGCGGAACATAAGCTCGGCGTCCTTGTTTTTGTTATGATGGGGGAACGAAAACGCTGTTGAACCAGAAAATGCAGCCGGCGTTTCAACATGGAGATGCCCATGGAGAGACATGTCTGAAGGAGACTTGATACGAAGGAGATTAATCTCGCCACACTTTTACCTCCCCGTATAACTATCGAGCTTCTAATGACCCTCACAAGTTGTGACAGTCATAAATTGAACATGGCTACTTATAGCTAGCTAGAAGATACAGTATGTTTTCCTGTGTTTATGTCTGTTGTGCACGCACCCCCCAAAACCACAGAGATTGATCTGCACTTATGTTTTGCAAGCTGTCACGATATAGTCATACTAGTGCAGATTCATAGTGTCCCTGTACTATTTGTCCCATCTGCTTATCTTGTTAATCATGTCAGTGTCTCTCTTTTGTAGGAGCCACATGATGCATGCACCATGAACTCTGCCCGCTGTCTACTACGGTTCCAGAGTGTGGGGTTTCTGGCCCCCTCTGTCAGAGCAGCTGTCCAGCATGCTACCCTGCGTCAGACAGCCACGGCATTTTCCATAATTACACTACATGACACCTGTGGCCAGGTACAGTGGGGGGGAAAAGTATTTAGTCAGCCACCAATTGTGCAAGTTCTCCCACTTAAAAAGATGAGAGAGGCCTGTAGTTTTCATCATAGGTACACGTGAACTATGACAGTCAAAATCAGAAAGAAATATCCAGAAAATCACATTGTAGGATTTTTATGAATTTATTTGCAAATTATGGTGGAAAATAAGTATTTGGTCAATAACAAAAGTTTCTCAATACTTTGTTATATACCCTTTGTTGGCAATGACACAGGTCAAACGTTTTCTGTAAGTCTTCACAAGGTTTTCACACACTGTTGCTGGTATTTTGGCCCATTCCTCCATGCAGATCTCCTCTAGAGCAGTGATGTTTTGGGGCTGTCGCTGGGCAACACGGACTTTCAACTCCCTCCAAAGATTTTCTATGGGGTTGAGATCTGGAGACTGGCTAGGCCACTCCAGGACCTTGAAATGCTTCTTACGAAGCCACTCCTTCGTTGCCCGGGCGGTGTGTTTGGGATCATTGTCATGCTGAAAGACCCAGCCACGTTTCATCTTCAATGCCCTTGCTGATGGAAGGAGGTTTTCACTCAAAATCTCATGATACATGGCCCCATTCATTCTTTCCTTTACACGGATCAGTCGTCCTGGTCCCTTTGCAGACAAACAGCCCCAAAGCATGATGTTTCCACCCCCATACTTCACAGTAGGTATGGTGTTCTTTGGATGCAATTCAGCATTCTTTGTCCTTCAAACACGACGAGTTGAGTTTTTACCAAAAAGTTCTGTTTTGGTTTCATCTGACCATATGACATTCTCCCAATCCTCTTCTGGACCATCCAAATGCACTCTAGCAAACTTCAGACGGGCCTGGACATGTACTGGCTTAAGCAGGGGGACACGTCTTGCACTGCAGGATTTGAGTCCCTGGCGGCATGGTGTGTTACTGATGGTAGGCTTTGTTACTTTGGTCCCAGCTCTCTGCAGGTCATTCACTAGGTCCCCCCGTGTGGTTCTGGGATTTTTGCTCACCGTTCTTGTGATCATTTTGACCCCACAGGGTGAGATCTTGCGTGGAGCCCCAGATCGAGGGAGATTATCAGTGGTCTTGTATGTCTTCCATTTCCTAATAATTGCTCCCACAATTGATTTCTTCAAACCAAGCTGCTTACCTATTGCAGATTCATTCTTCCCAGCCTGGTGCAGGTCTACAATTTTGTTTCTGGTCTTGGCCATAGTGGAGTTTGGAGTGTGACTGTTTGAGGTTGTGGACAGGTGTCTTTTATACTGATAACAAGTTCAAACAGGTGCCATTAATACAGGTAACGAGTGGAGGACAGAGGAGCCTCTTAAAGAAGAAGTTACAGGTCTGTGAGAGACATAGATCTTGCTTGTTTGTAGGTGACCAAATACTTATTTTCCACCATAATTTGCAAATAAATTCATTAAAAATCCTACAATGTGATTTTCTGGAAAAAATATTCTCAATTTGTCTGTCATAGTTGACATGTACCTATGATGAAAATTACAGGCCTCTTTCATCTTTTTAAGTTGGAGAACTTGCACAATTTGTGGCTGACTAAATACTTTTTTTCCCCACTGTATGTCACTCCCTAAAACCATAGGAATTTCCCCAGGTAATCACGTCAACATGGTAGTTAAATTTGAGTTAACAGCGATGGATGATCGTTATCCCATATTTACAGTGGTGTGTGTACAGTGTTTCCCATAGGTTTCTTTTCAGCAGCGGTGGCAACGTTAGCGTAGGGGCGTGCTAGTGGCCGTGGTCAATTGCGTGGTCTCCGACCAAAGATTTTAAAGGCCCTCCTCTTGGCGGCGTGAACATTTTACAGTTTTAAAGCCAGTTTCCTGCAATTCTACACATTTTGCCATGGCTTATGCCATGTTCGTATGCTATCTGAGTGACTCAAACATTATAACAAAATCAGTGGGGTGCCCATGTCATGACACTTTTGGAATTTTAGATTCTCTCCGACTCTAGTTTTTATTGGTGATTGTTAGTTCTCAGGGACTAGAGTCACCCTATGAGGAAGTACCAGCGCATCATGTACTGGTTCCCCAAGTTCAAGCACGCCTTCCCCGTCCCCCTGCAGCTCCCTGGGGACCCTGTAGACTTGGCCCGCCTCAGTCTCCACCGCATCGCTAACGACCTGGGCGCTAAGGTCACGGTCTGCCAGATGCCTTGTACTGACATCTCAGAGTCAGGGGAGGAGATCACCTTCCCACACTACCTAGGTAGATAATCAGAGTTCCCTCTTTTTTACATACAAACTACCAGGGATCCGAATCCCAGGATCTCAGATTCTCTTTTCAGTAGATGTACTCGTATTCTGTGGTCAGCCGGTATTTAAGTTATCAGTTATTATTGGCTAGGTGCAACTCCAGAGGATGCACTGCAAACATACGGTTCTCAATATCGTTGTCTGTTTAAATGGTAAACCCTGCCTTTTCTCATCCTGTCAGGGATCCAGCCCAGCCCAGATGGAGCTGCTGGCTAAACATAACCCCAACAGGCCTGTGTTTGTGGAGGGCCCCTTCCCCCAGTGGCTGAGGAAGACATATTCAGGGCTGATCAACTGCCCCCTGAGAAAAAGGTTGGAGACCCTGTGCAACGATGTTAACATGGTGTAAATTGTGTATATTTTAACGGTAGCGTTTACAATGTTATAATTTTATATTATGAATATTGCCTTAAGTATCTGTTCCATACTAATACAATACTTTTATTATACACTTTGTTTTATTATAGCTTGAGCAGTAATAGTGATCTATTAGCGTACCTGTTTTGTCCCTGTCAGGTGGAGGAGCCATACGATCCAGAGAGGTGTTTCGACTACCCTGTTCAGCTGGACCTGGACTTCGAATGACTACCTCCTCTCTTTACCCCACACGTACAATTATCTGTAAGGTCCGTCAGTCGAGCAGTGAATTTCAAACACAGATTCAACCACAAAGACCAGGGAGGTTTTCCAATGCCTCCCAAAGAAGGGCACCTATTGGAAGATGGGTCAATACAAAGATACAAATTATTAAAGAAATTGAATTCTACAGTGAAAAAGTACAAAATCAAGGAAGCGATAAGGAAAGGAGAACCATCCTCAAAGCTTCAACTTCACAGGAAAAGCAGCTGCTCCAGACGCTCTCGGCGACAAAGGAACTTCCCTTTGGTCTCAGTACATTCAAGGACCATGCTGATGTTTTCACCCCCAAACCTTGGTTCAATAATCTACATTGTTTCACAGATGAGCAAGTTTCTCAGGTGGAGGAAGAAACAAAAGATCAGGCTGCCTGTAAGGCTTGGCACCAACATAGAGCAGGACGGATCACAGGCTCCTCTGCAAACAGGGTTATTCACACATCACTGGAAGAACCATCCCAAGCACTTATTAAAGTCGATCAGTTGACAACCAACTCAAAACACCATGCATTCTATGGGGCAAGGACCATGAGGTGGATGTACAAATATGCACTAGGCCTGAGCACTGCCCTATCACAAACCTCTACAAAGATATTAGTATCAGACCAGGTATACAAGAAGCACATTAACTTGAAAGTGGAAAAGGCAGGTTTTAGAATTTTAAAGACATTGGCGTTTCTTGTGATGGATACATATCATGTGAGTGCTGTGGCAAAGGAGTAATTGAGTCAAAGTGTCCCTTTTAAATAGGCAAATGACCACTCAACCGACCACTGGACAGAAGACGAGAGGACATCTCAAGATTGAAAAAATAACGTATGGTATGTTACGAATTCTAGCTAGGTGGCTAACGTTAGCTAGGCAAGGGGTTAGGATTAGGGGTTAGGGTGAAGTTTAGGAGTTAGGTTAGGGGAAGGGTTAGCTTAAAGGGTTAAGTTTAGGGGAAGGGTTAACTAACATGCTAAGTAGCTGCAAAGTAGTAAGTAGTTGAAAAGTTGCTAATTAGCTAAAATGCTAAAGCTGTCCCTGATAAGATTCGAACTCATAACCTTTCACGTTATACGTCCACCCATCCACCCCGAACAACCACTTTACTTTCGTTTTTGCCTTAAGTAACCATCTGTCTTATGTAACCATACCAAACGTAACATATCATACTAATTTGAGTGTCACGGATTTACATTTACTATGTTATGTCTAGTCTATGAGACCAGGCTGTTGGAACAGCCAGCTGGAGGATCTGAGTAGAGACAGTAGACATTTTTAAGAGAGCGCTCAAGACACACCTTTCTAGCCGTGCTTTTACCTAGGGTGATTTTATTGTGCTATTTTATCTACCTGATATAATTTAATTTGCTTTATTCAATTGTATTTATCTTATTTATTTTACTTCCTTCAGTCTCTCTGGTTTCACTGTTGTTTTATTGCCCTATTATTATTTGAATATGTTCAGTTTCATTTGACCATTTAAATGTATCTAGATCATCTATCTTATCTTTGTCCTTTTTATTTATGTATTATTTAAATTTTTTGTTTTAAGAACTTTGAAATGCATTAACTTGTAAGAAATGTGCTCTATAAATAAAGTTTGATTTGATATAGAATTATGCCGTACCGTAAAACAAACATGTCTTTCTAACATGTAGAAATAAGGAATCATTAGGAGTCCTTCCTCTTCCTCAAACACCAAGACAGTAGCAGCATCATCATCAGGAACCTGCTTCCTGGATTTGTTGGATGACTTTCCTCTTAGCTCTTCCATTGGAAAGCACCTTGTTTAGTGTCTGCAAAGGGTTAGGGTGCAAGGGTGTATATTTGTCTGGCACTGTAAGTTTACGATATCAGGATGGTCGGATTGGGCTAGTTTGTTGCAATATCAGGCAGACTCTCTAATCGTCACTTTGGCATGCCATTCCCGCTAGGATAGCCATCGCAGGCCTCTGCATCAATTCCTTCCTTGTATTAATTGTTTTCACTTGTTTTTGCTTTTAATTGGAACATAAATAAACCTATAAATGTAAGTATAAACTTTGTTTTCTTTTCTCCACAGAGAATAAATCTTTCCATATTCCCTAATAAGGATATCAGAAGCATCAGAAATATATTTCGGCAAGGTAAATAATGACATTGACTTTATTTTGATCAAAGATCAAGAGTTGCTGTTTTGGATGACTGATATGAATTACAATCATGGCAGAATGCATCCTTATGTATCCACAAGATAAACTCAGTCAGTGATCCATCGTCAGATCAAATTGCTTTGAAGAAAAAGAAGGCTGTCTCATGATAGCATGGTCAGCATAACGTTTATAATACATTTCTAATGTACAGTATTTGGCCAAAAACCTGGTTGCCTCTGCCAGAGTAGCGGACATGAGCCAAAGAATGGTTGCTCATGGTCAAGGTGTAGCCCTGCCTGCGACTTCAAAATCAGTGTCTGCCCTCGGCCCAAGAGGGAATTTCCTCTGGGTCTAATGGTAAGACGTTGGTTTGTCCTGTGGTAGACTCACGCATTGTATCCCCTCTGTCACACAAGAAAGCTGAAACTTGGCCACAAGTGGAACTTCCAGCAAGGCAATAACTCCATCACACATCAAAATTAACATTTTGCAATTCCCAATTGCTGGTCAAAAGTAGTGCACTATATAGGGAATAGGGTGCCATTCTCTGTTCTAAAGTAGTGCACTATATAGGGAATAGGTTGCCATTTGGGACGCATGCCTAGCCTGACTGGGCTTTCTTTTATTAAGAAATGTGATTAAAATTCAACTGCTAAACTCACTCAGGCTGTCAGATGGAAAATTACTATTGCCATAGTCAAAATTAAACTTTGCTGCAATACGGATGGCCTTCACTGGGTGTGGAATAGATGAGAAGTCTTCATTCAAACAGAGATGAATGTAGCTACACCCTACAGAAGAAACAACGAGAGAGAGAGAAACATACAATACTTTTTATCCACATTTCTGCATAATGATAACAAATACTTTTTACCTGTCATTTTAACTAGAGAGTATACAATATAATGTAGGCCTGTCCCTCTTGTTCAGTCATCAAACCATTCACTGCTCCACCAGATGTATGGGAAACTTGGATCTTGTCCCACCTTCCTCCACTGATAAATATGGGCTGATGCTGAGAGTGGTGGTGGGAGTACCCATGACGTATTGAGCATTTGGTCAAGAGTGAAGAAAACGAGCAGAGAGAAGCCTATTGACTGATTTTGTTTTGGGTAAAACACATTGTACAGTTTAAAAAAACAATTGAAGAACAAGAAAATCCAAAGGATGACACAGGAAAGTGTAAAAACCCTTATTTCCAGTGTGGTCCTCGGTTAATGATATACTACTTCTCATTGAGCTATAAAACATGTACCACTGCATCAGTGCAGGTTATTGTTATAGGTTATACAGTCAAACGTTTGGACACACCTACTCATTCAAGGGTTTTTCTTTATTTTTACTATTTTCTACATTGTAGAATAATAGTGAAGACATCAAAACTATGAAACAAGTAGTAATCATGTAGTAACCAAAAAAGTGTTAAACAAATCAAAATATATTTTATATTTGAGATTCTTCAAATAGCCACCCTTTGCCTTGATGACAGCTTTGCACACTTGGCATTCTCTCAACCAGCTTCACCTGGAATGCTTTTCCAACAGTTGAAGGAGTTTCCACATATGCTGAGCACTTGTTGGCTGCTTTTCCTTCACTCTGTGGTCCGACTCATCCCAGACCATCTCAATTGGGTTGAGGTCGGGGGATTGTGGAGGCCAGGTCATCTGATGCAGCACTCCATCACTCTCCTTCTTGGTAAAATAGCCCTAACACAGCCTGGAGGTGTGTTGGGTCATTGTCCTGTTGAAAAAACAATGATAGTCCCACTAAGCCCAAACCAGATGGGATGGCGTATCACTGCAGAATGCTGTGGTAGCAATGCTGGTTAAGTGTGCCTTGAATTCTAAATCAATCACAGACAGTGTCACCAGCAAAGCACCCCCACACCATAACACCTCCTCCTCCTCCTCCTCCATGCTTTACGGTGGGAACTACACATGAGGAGATCATTCGTTCACCCACACCGCGTCTCACAAAGACACAGCGGTTGGAACCAAACATCTCAAATTTGGACTCCAGACCAAAGGACAAATTTCCACCAGTCTAATGTCCATTGCTCGTGTTTCTTGGCCCAAGCAGGTCTCTTCTTCTTATTGGTGTCCTTTAGTAGTGGTTTCTTTGCAGCAATTTGACCATGAAGGCCTGATTCACACAGTCCCCTCTGAACAGTTGATGTTGAAATGTGTCTGTGACTTGAACTCTGTGAATCATTTATTTGGGCTGCAATTTCTGAGGCTGGTAACTCTAATGAACTTATCCTCTGCAGCAGAGGTAACTCTGGGTCTTTCATTCCTGTGGCAGTCCTCATGAGAGCCAGTTTCATCATAGCGCTTTATGGTTTTTGCAACTGCACTTGAAGAAACTTTCAAAGTTCTTGAAATGTTCCGTATTGACTGACCTTCATGTCTTAAAGTAATGATGGACTGTCGTTTCGCTTTGCTTATTTGAGCTGTTCTTGCCATAATATGGACTTGGTCTTTTACCAAATAGGGCTATATTCTGTATACCCCCCCCTACCTTGTCACAACACAACTGATTGGCTCAAACGCATTAAGAAGGAAAGAAATTCCACAAAATAACTTTTAACAAGGCACACCTGTTAATTGAAATGCATTCCAGGTGACTACCTCATGAAGCTGGTTGAGAGAATGCCAAGAGTGTGCAAAGCTGTCATCAAGGCAAAGGGTGGCTATTTGAAGAATCTCAAATATAAAATATATTTTGATTTAAGGATCGGACCCGTTTTTTCAATTTTCGCCTAAAATGACATACCCAAATCTAACTGCCTGTAGCTCAGGGCATGAAGCAAGGATAGGCATATTCTTGATACCATTTGAAAGGAAACACTTTGAAATGTGTGGAAATTTGAAATGAATGTAGGAGAATATAACACATACGATCTGGTAAAAGATAATACAAACAAAAAAACATGCGTTTCCTATTAATTTTTTTGTTCCATTGTCTTTGAAATGCAAGAGAAAGGTCACAATATAATATTGCAGTTTAGCGCATTGTGTGTGCAAAGTTTCAGATTGATCCGGTGAAGCATTGCAATACTGGACTATTTTGTATCAAGTCTGCCCAAATGTGCCGAATTGGTCAATTGACACATTTTCAAGTACATAACTATAGAGAACATACAAAAATGATATGGTAATACAAAATGTAAGTTTACACACTCCCAGGAATGTCATACATGATGGATCATTAGCTTATACACTAACTTTCACACATCTAGATGGCCGGGCGGGGTGGGTGTGGAGCCAGAGACAGCAGGGGTTCAAACTGTAGAACCCAGTTCCTACATTTTAATATAAAAATTGATTTTATCAAACAAAACTATGCTACATTTTATCTCTGGGACCCTCAGGATGACAAATCAGAGCAAGATTACTGAATGTAAGTACGTTATTTACCTTCAGAGGTGAATGTATCAAACCAGTTGCCGTGATACGTTTTCTGTTGTTGTGCGCTCTCCTCAAACAATAGCATTTTTTCACTGTAATAGCTACTGTAAATTGGACAGTGCAGTTAGATTAACAAGAATTTAAGCTTTCTGCCCATATAAGACATGTCTATGTCCTGGAAGTTTGCTGTTACTTACAACAGTTATGCTAATCACATTAGCGCACGTTAGCTCAACCGTCCCGTATACGGGACACCGATCCCATAGAGGTTAACACTTTTTTGGATACTACATGATTCCATAGGTGTTATTTCATAGTTTTGATGTCTTCACTATTATTCTACAATGTAAAAAATAGTAAAAATTGAATGAGTAGGTGTGTCCAAACTTTTGACTGGTAGTGTATATAGGTCTGTGGAGCAGACAGCTACACTGTAAAAATAGAAAGTCTCAAAACACCATGATTGTGTAATGAAACCATGAAGAGTAGTGCACCTAAGCTGAGATCTGGTATTTGGAGGATGTTTGAATGTAAACCCAATGTAAACATTTTAATGCACAGCATGTGTTTTAAAACAGAAATTAAGTACTCTGATACACCCAAAGTGGTTCTTCAACCTTAATATTGGTGTTTTTAAGAGATTGTTGTGAAAACACTTTTTGAGGGTTTCAGTGCATGGAAAAGGTAGCATTAAAACACAAAAACTGTGTTTCTCGTACAATCAATGGTTTAGAAATGCAAATGGTTTATATCCTAAATATTCCCTGGTCCAAGCCTTCAGTCTGTTTCTCCCACCTCCAGTGCCATCAGAAAGTATTCACACCCCTTGGCTTTTTCCACATGTTGTTGTGTTACAGCCTGAATTTAAAATGGATTACATTGAGATTTGTTTGTCACTGGCCTACACACAATACCCTATAATGTCAAAGTGGAATTATGTTTTTTGACATTTTTACAAATGTATTAAAAGTGAAAGCTGAAATAAGTACTCAACCCCTATGTTATGGCAAGCCTAAATAATTTTAGGAGTAAAGATTTGCTTAGCAAGTCACATAATAGGGCCCCACAGTGGAGGTGTCATAATACCCATAAAGCCTAGCTGTCAAAGAGGGAAATGGTTTCAATAATTTTTCCACCATTCATGTTTCCCATAGTGGATTTTAGAAACACTTAAAATAAGGGCTGTGTTTCGTGCTGGCTTACTCTGGCGTGACGTTTTGAAAACCATGTAAATTTCTCTCGGACTAGGTGACTTTTATCCATATATTCGGCTCTATTTACTCTGAGATTCGAAAATACTAATTAGCATCAAAGTAGACATCATGCAAAGCTACAAATTCCTGCAATCTCCTGCACGTCATCTCTAGCTGACTCCTTTGCTAACAGGTATTTTGTCAATTTAAAACTTGCACAAGAGAGTTCACAGAATTGTCCATTTAAATAAATTTTGCCAATTTATTCATTACTACACATAACTAACATTAGATAGTAAATCCAGAGATTCTTACCTCTGCCTCGATTCGGCAGTCTCGTCCAGATCATCATGGCATTTGTAGTTTTTTAAGATAGCCACATTAGCAGCTAATTTGCATTTCATTTTTGGGTAAATACAGGCGAATATATTTATAAAAGTCACCTTGTCCCAGAGAGATTTACATGGTCAGGCCATGAAATGTCACGAAACACAGCCCTTATTTTAGTGTTTCTAAAATCCTCTATGGGAAAAATTAATGATGGAGAAATGATCGGAACCATTTTCCTGATTGACCGCTAGGTTTTATGACTCATACTGTGGTACTCTATAAATTGCATGGACACATTTTGTTTTTTAGCAGATGCTCTTTTCCAGAGCGACTTACATGAGCAACAGATTTTTCACCTAGTTGGCTCTGGGATTTGAACCAGCAACCTTTCAGTTACTGACTTTTCAATGACTACCTCATCTCTTTACCCCACACATACAATTATCTGGAAGGTCCGTCAGTCGAGCAGTGAATTTCAAACACAGATTCAACCACAAAGACCAGGGAGGTTTTCCAATGCCTCCCAAAGAAGGGCACCTATTGGTAGATGGGTAAATAAATAAACAGGCAGACATTGAATTACCCTTTGAGCATGGTGAAGTTATTAATTACACTTTGGATGATGTATCAATACACCCAGTCACTACAAAGATACACGCCAATTACAGAGTTTAATGGCCGTGATAGGAGAAAACTGAGGATGGATCAACAACATTGTAGTTACTCCACAATACTTACCTATTTGACAGAGTGAAAAGAAGGAAGCCTGTACAGAATACAAATATTCAAAAACATGCATCCTGTTCGCAACAAGGCACTAAAGTCCAGGGTAGGGGAGGGAATGGCCGGCAGGGGATGTAGCTCAGTTGGTAGAGCATGGCGTTTGCAACGCCAGGGTTGTGGGTTCGATAAAATAATGTATGCGCTAACTGTAAGTCGCTCTGGATAAGAGCGTCTGCTAAATGACTAAAATGTAAATGTAAAATGTAAAGTAATACTGCAAAAAAATTGCCAAAGCAATTAACTTTTTGTCTTGAAAACAAAGTGCAAATCCAATACAACACATTACTGAGTACCACTCTTCATATTTTCAAGCATAGTGGTGGCTGCATCATGTAATCGTTAAGGACTGGGAAGTTTTTCAGGCAAAAAAATAAATTGAATGGAGCCAAGCACAGGCAAACTCCCATAGGAAAATCTGGTTCAGTCTACTTTCCACCAGAAACTGGGAGATGAATTCACCTTACAGCAGGACAATAACCTAAAACACAAGTCCAAATCTACACTGGAGTTGCTTACCAAGAAGACAGTGAATGTTCCTGAGTGGCCAAGTTACCGAGTTACAGTTTTGACTTAAATCTGCTTGAAAATCTATGGCAATGGTTGTCTAGCAATGATCAACAACCAATTTGACAGATCTTGAAGAATTGTATAAAGTTGGCCGGCCGGCCAGATAGGTAGCTTCGACGTGGAAGACGGTAAGAAGAAACAGAAACCATAAATAAATAAAATTAATTCAGGGAATCTTTAAAAGAAACAGTTAGATTCATTGAATTTATCTCACAAGGGACAATTATGCTGGGCACACCTGTAAGAGTGCAAAGCGGTTGTGAAGAGGATATACTGTATGTCTTGTGTTCTACAGTGGATGAAGGGCGAGTTTCGCAATGTGTATGACGAGCCGGGGGGACCAGGCCACCCTGAACCAGTGGATCTCAGGCCTGCAGGAGACCAACCCCACCCAGTTCCGCCTGGAGGCCGACCCCAGGGAGCGGCATATCCTGAGCCTGGACACGGGTACAGACAGGGGGGAGATGAAGAAACAGGGGCCAGGGCAGAGAGACAGACAGAGCCAGATATTGTTGTGGAGGAGGGACATTGCCGTAGCCAGGGAGTGAAGCAGTAAACAGCTACAGGACTGTGACAGAGCCCATTTCTCTACCAGAGATAAAGGATTACCTGGAGAGCTAGCTTTTATCACAGTGCATTTATCATAACTAACTCTTCCTTGTCAGGTCACTCCTGGCCCTCATCATATAATCTGGTAATAGGATGACATTCAATAAGTGGATTTAATACGAAAGTATACTGTACCCATCTATTGTCAACTCGTATGATCTTGTATGTTTCAAGAAACCAAGCTTAGGTACTTAAGTATGTAACCGGATGCCCTCTAAACTCATTTAATGTTGTTGTAAATGTCTGACAGGGCTCTTGCAGGAACTTTTAATTTGCACCGTGTGTCAAGATTCAAGAAAGTCTCAAATCATCAGAAAACAATAAATTATTTACACGGCTGATGTACGTCATCTCTTATGCGTAACCTACTGTATTCATACAATATTGTCATTATATTTGGAACTTTGTACCTCAGTGAAGGGTGACATCATACCCTAAATCTCAGTGTTGAAACTAGTGTGCATTTACATTAACTCAGTCAGTTGCCTTAAATGGTAAATATGTATCACCTTTTCAAAACATTTGAAGTGAATTATGCAAATGTTTTACTTAACTTTATCCCCATTTTCAACAATACAGAAAGATACTGGTGAAATATGTGGGCTCATATACACTCTCCTTGATAGCAGGTACTATCAATAAATCAGAACCACTTTTAAAAGATACAAAAAGGGTTTATTAGTACCGAAAAGGCATTTGAACATTCCCTTTTAAAACAGATAAACAAGGTAGGAACCAATTCAAAGAGGAACATTCTAAAACAGGTAAAATCATACAGCTTGGTCAGTGTCCCCTGTACATTTACAGTTTGTCACAGCTGTACAAGAAAAAGTTCATCACAGTACAATCTGTTTTCAATGCAGTTTCAGTCTGTTAAGACAACAGAAGACTGACTTCCAAAGCTTTGTGCTCTACAGGACGTTGTTTTCAGCATATTGGTGAACCAAAAACAATGGAAATGGACATCTTTTCCACACATTTTCTGTTACATATAGGAAGTATACAAACATCCCAGCAACAGGGCCAATGGATCTTCAATCTTTTTTTGTTTGTTTAAAAAATAAAAAATAAAACACATATGCTGATAATTGATTGTTAAAATCAGGGATACAATTAAATAAAAATTAAATAATTATGTATATTTGTTGCCGCTGACTGATTGTTCAGACTAAATAAAGGCATTAAAAAATATAGTTGATGTATACAGTATGAATAGACAAGGAAATATGAATCCGAAACAATGTGAGCAACCATTAAGTGATAGGCATTGAAATAATACATGAAAGGGTATTGCCATTTCACCACCCCTCTAAACAGAACTATTCTGTGTTGTATTTACAGTGCAGAAATACATTTCTCAAATCACCATTACAAAAACAATGTTTACATTTATTAAAAAGGAAGAACATTTTATATTCCAGAACAATGATTTATTAAAACAATGTTGTTGTTTTGTGTGTCAAATAAGTATTTTGAAGAGTCAGTCTTGTAGATACAGTATGCTGCAAGAAAAATAATTATATACCAGTACTTTTTATGACATATTTAGAATACCCTCATGCAAGGATGTCCCTTTTTGAAAAGGGAAGAAAAAAAAACCAGATGGTCTTTGACCTGAATAACAATTGATTGTTAATACAGTACAAAACTTTATACAAAACTGATAGTAATTGTGAGAAATATTACATAAACATATCATTAAGTGAAATTATAAAATGTACTGTATGTACAGACGAATATCAACCATTGAACAATTGATCACCTGTAGACCACTTCAATAGACGCATGGTCTCCAAGTCAAATTCACAGGTCTGCTATTTACCCTTAAAACCTGGATCATATTGATCCTGATACATTGAGAAGACCAAGGACATGTCATTCATTCAGATTGAAGAACATCACTGACCTGTTTGTCATGGACACATAACAGGGACGTTAAGTTAACCCAGTGCTGTAGACTGAGGGAGAGTCCTGACTGTGCTTTAGTATGTTATAAAGCATTATAGAGTCCAGTGACATCCCTCATTGATATTACGTTTTGGTGTTTAGGGCACAGGAGACATGGTGTAGCAGTAGTGAATGATGATCGCTACAAAATTGCGCTATCGAAAACAGCAAGAAGATACATACATTCGTGTGTGTGTATTTATCCCAGTTAATGAGGTAAAGCTTGCCTCTTGTGGTTCCATGTCCCCTATACAGGTATACAGTTCAAGTTTAGTTCATCCTTTGTAGAGGTGAACTTCTCCGTAAAAATCAATACACAAAAGAAAAAACAGCAGTGTTTTCTCTTACTCTTCTCACAATGGCCTTCTATTGTTGTTTTATGCTGTCTGGAATTTAGCTATTTGTGCTTCTGCAAATTACGACAAATTAGTAGGAGAAGGTACGAGTTTGTCAAACAATGTCCGACATATGTGTAGTAAAAACATGTTCCTACAGACCGATAAGAATGCACCCCTTGGTATACAGAGAGCTATGGTCAACATTATGATATACAGACATACATGGTGTCTGTGCAATGTACAGTTATGAAGGCTCAAATGCTCACCTTAGCGCTCAGAGTCTTTTAATAGTTTTGGCGCTTTTGCTGTTCGTCAGGTATGACGAGTCCTCTGTATCAACCATTACTTCTGCTGGAAAGTTGGCACTTTCCCCTGAAACGAAATGTGCATGGATATATCAGAAATCCTTAATCCCAAATGTCCCCATTGCCAGGAACAGGAAGAACTCTGAGCTCTCTAATATAATATATAATATAGCCTAATTACCTCCCATCGTCCCACTGTGCTGCTGCAGCTGGCTGGTGAAGAAGCGTTCTCTCCTGGACACCTGCTCGTCCCAGGCCTCCAGGATGCGCCGGTGCTCCGGGGGCTCCAGGCTCAGGGTGTCCGGGTGGGCCTCGTCGATGTGGGCCCTCACCCCCTCTAGGCTGTGGGAGTACTGGAGCTCCCCACACACCATACACACCAGCAGCTGGTTCAGCGGGTCGTAGTCCATGAGGTAGCGATTCCTCCATACAGCATCCGAGATGGCGCCGTCGTAGTTTCCGCCATGATCGTCGTCTAGGAAAAGCAGCTCTGATTCGTCTAGAGGAAAGATAGTGGTATTGTGAGACGTGGAACTTTAGGATTTTGGGCACTGGTCAGTCGGCCCAGCGGACTGCAATTTCTACTAGTCCATGATGACTTTCTACTAGCCAAGGGTCCAAAATATTTGTACAAATATTTGGCCTAGTTAGCCACATTTTCTACTAAGGCAACAAGGTTACTCTAAGAAAGGCCTATAGCTGTAGCTAGATTTAGGCTTAATAGATCTAGAAGTATCAAATGCATTACCTTCTAAAGGTTCCGAATGGCCAAAGTCAGGAAAGTAGCCCATGTCTGTCTCTGTGGAAGTACTATGGAAAAAAGGACATCACAGTTATGGTTACTACTAACACACACCTTGGGATAACAGACGTCAGAGAGAAGTCTGAAAACTGGTCTCTCACCTTAGAAGTAGTTCAGAGTCCTCGGAGGTGTTGCACCACCGGTCAGGATCCTGTTCCTTTGGTTGAGAAAAAAAATAAAAATAGTTATGGAAATGAACTGACCAAGAGGAATGAAAGTTACCCAAGGCTGAATCCTCATCCCTTGGTATCAATGCATGATTTACGCAAAGTTACGGTTCAGTCAATGGTTAAACATACAGTGAGGGAAAATAGTATTTGATCCCCTGCTGATTTTGTACGTTTGCCCACTGACAAAGACATGATCAGTCTATAATTTTAATGGTAGGTTTATTTGAACAGTGAGAGACAGAATAACAACAAAAAATCCAGATAAATGCATGTCAAAAATGTTATAAAATTGATTTGCATTTTAATGAGGGAAATAAGTATTTTTTTCCCTCACTGTACAGTTCTGACTTATTACAATATTATATGGCCTTTTCTTTGAAACATTCACCATTGAAAACGTTACCTGAGTCTCCATCTCCTCAAGTAGGTGTTGAGGATGATGAGCGTTGGGGAGGTTGGGATGCCAGTTGACCGAGGGCCTCTTTTCCGTCAACTCCCCATCTCTCATTGCTTTCCTGGCTCGCTGCTCCTTCTTCTTCACCCTCCAGTACTCCCTCTTCTTTCTCAGAGTCTCCTCTTCCGACTCCCCCGGCACTGGCTTGGGCGGACCCATGGGGCTTATGTAGATGGGGCTTTTGGTGAGCCCCTGCATTGTAGGCGATCGTACATTATGTACATTCCCACTTTGAGAAATCTGAGCACCATGACATTTGAAAGGAGTCTGTGTTGGGGTGAAAGAGGATGTTTGACTGGGAGGCTGAATTGGTAAGAGCTTGATGCTAGTCAAAGGGTTGGGTGGAGGTGTCAGAGTAGCGATAGGTGAGGTATCGGTGTCCAAGGTTTCCTGCACTCGCAGTCTCCATTTTAGAATGCGGGGCGAGTCAGTGCTGGATCCTGGGGCCGCTTCCTGTTGGTTCTCCACCAATAGCAGCCCGTCTTTCTTCGCCTCACCCAACGGGGGGACAGTGACACCGCTTCCTATAGGGAGAGACACGGTACTAAAGCTATGAGATGTCTGTGGGGACTCTGTGTGACCAATGGGTGAATTGGAGATACTGGTACAGTTGACAGGAGGGTTGAGCTGTGTTGTATCATATGACTGTTCCATGTTGGAGGTGGTGGGGTCTACAACCAGAAGTGTAGGGATGTTGGTGACCGTGCCGAGGCTAGCCTGGGGTCCAGAAGCAGGGGGAGATATAGGCTGGAGAAGGGGGGAGGACTGCAGTTTCAGCAATGGTGCTGTGTGTAGACCGAAGCTTCCGCTCCTCTGCACTGGCCTCTGGGTCTTCACAATAAGGAGATTCGAAACCTGAAAGACAACAACACAATCGATGCATACGTTTACAATAGTTTTATGTCACAATATACAGTATCATTTATAACCGGGGTTATTTGATCTATTTGTTTATTTTTACAAAAATGTACTTGTTTATATGTTTGTCCAGTTCTCAGAATACATACATCTACCCCTCTTCCTCTATTTGTCAAATACACTGAACAAAAACATAAAACGCAACATGTAAAGTGTCGGTCCCATATTTCATGAGCTGAAATATAAGATCCCAGAAATGTTCTCTCAAATTTTGTGCACAAATTTGTTTACATCCTTGTTAGTGAGCATTTATCCTTTGCCAAGATAATCCATCCACCTGACAGGTGTGGCATATCAACAAGCTGATTAAACAGCATCATCATTACACAGGTACACCTTGTGCTGGGGACAATAAAATACCCCTCTAAAATGTGCAGTTTAATCACACAACGCCACAGATGTCTCAAGTTGAGGGAGCGCGCAATTGGCATGCTGACTGCATAAATGTCCACCAGAGCTGTTGCCAGAGAATTTAATGTTCATTTCTCTACCATAAGCTGCCTCCAATGTTTCAGAGAATTTGTCAGTACGTCCAACTGGCCTCACAACCACAGACCACGTGTATGGCGTCGTGTGGGTGAGCGGTTTGCTGATGTCAACATTATGAACAGAGTTTTCCATGGTGGCGTGGGGTTATGGTATGGGCAGGCATAAGCTACAGACAATGAACACAATTGCATTTTATTGTTGGCAATTTGAATGCCTAGAGATACCGTGACGAGATCTTTGAGGCCCATTGTCGTGCCATTCATCCGCTGCCATCACCTCGTGTTTCAGCATGATAATGCACGGCCCCATGTCGCAAGGATCTGTATAACATTCCTGGAAGCTGAAAATGTCCCAGTTCTTCCATGGCCTGCATACTCAGACATGTCACCCATTGAGCATGTTTGGGATGCTCTGGATCGACATCCAATTCCCGCCAATATCCAGCAACTTCACACAGCCATTGAAGAGGAGTGGGACAACATTCCACAATCAACAGCCTGATCAATTATATGCGAAGGCGATGTCGCGCTGCTTGAGGCAAATGGTGGTCACACCAGATACTGACTGGTTTTCTGATCCACGCCCCTACCTCTCTTTTTAAAAGGTGCAGTTGAAGTCGGAAGTTTACATAGACCTTAGCCAAATACATTTAAACTCAGTTTCTCACAATTCCTGACATTTAATCCTAGTAAAAATTCCCTGTCTTAGGTCAGTTAGGATCACCACTTTATTTTAAGAATGTGAAATGTCAGAATAATAGTAGAGAGAATGATTTATTTCAGCTTTTATTTATTTCATCACATTCCCAGTGGTTCAGAAGTTTACATACACTCAATTAGTATTTGGTAGCATTGCCTTTAAAAAAATGTGTGTAGCCTTCCACAAGCTTCCCACAATAAGTTGGGTGAATTTTGGCCCATTCCTCCTGACAGAGTCAGGTTTGTAGGCCTCCTTGCTCGCACATGCTTTTTCTGTTCTGCCCACAAATGTTCTATAGGATTGAGGTCAGGGCTCATGGCCACTCCAATACCTTGACTTTGTTGTCCTTAAGCCATTTTGCCACAACTTTGGAAGTATGCTTGGGGTCATTGTCCATTTGGAAGACCCATTTGCGACCAAGCTTTAACTTACTGACTGATGTCTTGAGATGTTGCTTCAATATATCCACAATTTTCCTTCCTCATGATGCCATCTATTTTGTGAAGTGCACCAGTCCCTCCTGCAGAAAAGCACCCCCACAGCATGATGCTGCCAACCTCGTGCTTCACGATTTGGATTGTTTTCTTCGGCTTGCAAGACACTTTTTCTTCCAAACATAACGATGGTCATTATGGGCAAACAGTTCTATTTGTGTTTCATCAGACCAGAGGACATTTCTCCAAAAAGTACGATCTTTGTCCCCATGTGCAGTTGCAAACCGTAGTCTGGCTTTTTCTTCTCTAGGAGACAGAACGCGTCTCCTTCCTGAGCGGTATGACGGTTGCGTGGTCCCATGAGGTTTATACTTGCGTACTATTGTTTGTACAGATGAACGTGGTACCTTCAGGCGTTTGGAAATTGCTCCCAAGGATGAACCAGACAGGTCTATAATTTTTTTCCCCATGATGTCAAGCAAAGAGGCACTGATTTTGAAGGTAGGCCTTGAAATACATCCACAGGTACACCTCCAAAATTGACTCAAATGATGTCAATTAACCTATCAGAATCTTCTAAAGCCATGACATAATTTTATAGAATTTTCCAAGCTGTTTAAAGGCAGTCAACTTAGTGTATGTAAACTTCTGACCCAATGGAATTATGATACAGTGAATTATAAGTGAAATAATCTGTCTGTAAACAATTGTTGAAAGAATTACTTGTGTCATGCACAAAGTAGATGTCCTAACCGACTTGCCAAAACTATAGTTTGTTAACAAGACATTTGTGGAGTGGTTGAAAAATGAGTTTTAATGACTCCAACCTAAGTGTATGTAAACTTCCGACTTCAACTGTATCTGTATACCCAGTCATGTGAAATCCATAGATTAGGTCCTAATGAATTTATTTCAATTGACTGATTTCCTTATATGAACTGTAACTCAGTAAAATCTTCAAAATTGTTGCGTTTATATTTTTGTTCAGTATAGGTTCATGGTATTTCAGTTGGACTTGACAGTGGCCCTGACCAGAGGACACAACTGTACAGTATGTTCTGTAAGTACCTAAAACGCTTTGCGAACTACATATCAGTTCCACACTCCAAATGACATAACCAAAAAACATACTTTTACCTCAAATTTCATTGAAATGATAAGTATAGGCCTACCATTGTGAATGACAAAATCTGCAGTGATGAAATGTAATATCAAGATTACAAAAGACATCCACCCACCTTTGCTGCTTTGAGGGCCAGTCGTCTGCCGTAGTCCCCCCGTCTCAGCCCCCCTCCTCCCTGCCTGGCTGTCCTAGCTCTCTGCTGCCTCTTCATCATCCTCCAGTATTCCCTCTTCTTCTCCAGAGTCACATTCTGGCCTGTCACCGCTGGGGCGTGCTGATGTTGCTGATGCTGTTGTTGATTTTGAAGTTGTTGATTTTGTTGTTGTTGTAGCAGCAGCTTCGGGGGTTCTGGGGAGCAGCAGTGGTGGTGTCCTGCTTTTTTGGAACGCAGCCTCTGGGCTCTGCGAGGGAGGTGTGGTCCCCTGGAAGCCGCCATGTGGGTCCAGGAGTGTGTGGGTGTGTGAGTGGGGGGATCGGAGGGAGGGAGAGCTGGGAAATACAGTGTTTCAGTGCAAGGACTTGACAGGGGAGAGTCCTTAGGATGAGGGCTCAATGGACGAATGGTTACCTGGCAGGATGGCAGGGTGTCAGCATCCACCTGCCACCCTTTGACCTCCAACGATAGGTCACCAGACAGGGAGACCTTCTCATCTCCCACGGTGAGCAGAGGTAGATTTGGCTTGACCTCCATCCGGACGGCAGCATCCTTGTAGGAACAGGTCTGAGGGTCACTTTTACAAGGCAGCTGTTCTGTAATACAGTCTGGCTGTTCAGTAATACAGTCTGGCTGTTCCATTTTACAGTCAGCCACAGTGCTGAGCGATTCCTCCAGGAGCTTCTTCATAGAGGCCACCACCAGGAGAGTGGTGGCCTGGCTGTCAGCACTCAAGGCTGGGTCTGGCGGCTCGGTCTGTGGTGGCTCTGGAGGTGGTGGTGAACACCGGGACGGTTTGATATCAACACAGAGGGGTTGTTCCAGTGGAGGACATGGAGCGTCTGTTGATCCTCTCCCTTGTTTGATTTGGTTTCCCTGTGGAGGCGTGGACAAACTGGTGTTTGAGAGAGGCTTGATAGTCTGTGTGTTGTTGACAGAGGTGTTGACATTGGGAATGGGGACGGCTAATCGTGCTAATTTTTGGTTCCGCCTCTTCTGTGAGGTAGTCTTTCCCCTAGCTTGAACACCTTGCCTTAGGCGGGTGGCACGGGCTGCCCTCTGCTCTCGTTTTTTTACCCTCCAGTACTCCCTCTTCTTAGCCATCTTTTCCTCCTCTGTTAGCTTTGGGTCCAAGTTTAGCACTGCTGATGCTGTAGAAGCTTTGACAGCCATCTGCATGACGCAGCTAGCCGGCTTTGGTATCGCTGTAGGCAAACCAGGAAAGGTGTTTTGAGGGCGTGTGAGGGTGATATGACTCTGGGGCTGGACAACTGTTTGTGGATTCAGGAGGTTTTTCGGTGTGCTTCGAAATTCAGTCCTCGGTCTGACTGAAACTAACCTGGGAGGCTTTGTGATTGACAGGCCGATGGGAGAACCGGAGACATTGACCTGAGCAGGACGGATTAGAGGTGGTGGTGGGTTGACCCGTATTTGATGTACCATATTACTAGATGTATCACCAGTGGGTTTGGGAAGCAGTTGGTGTTGGCGATGTGTGTTAGTGTTGGTAAATGAATTATTAACAGGTATCCCACCGCTGAAACTAATTTCACCCCCAGTCTCTTTTGCTTCTGTAATGAGATCAATTTGGGGAATGGTATTGGTCAAGGTACCATCCTCCTTGATGAACCCTCCAATGGTCTCTGAGGCGTTGGTGTGGGTAGGCCTACTTCCTGTTGGTTGTGGCAGTGTGTTGTTGCCCGCCGCTCTCGCCTTCCTCATATCCTCCAGTATGCTCTGGTACCGGTTGACTCTTCGCATCAGAGCATCCCTCTCCTTCATCTTAGCTCGGACTTCCACCGACAGCTTAGCTCGCTGTTCCCGCTTTTTGACACGCCAGTATTCCCGCTTCCGGGCCACCCTCTGCTCGGGGGTCTCCGTTGGGTCCTCTCGGAGTGCGTTGCGGGTTTTGAAGGCTGTAGCATGACAGGGGGACTTCCTCATGTTTCTCTGACCCAGGTAATTCCGTTGGGTTTCAATGAACCTCTGTCTCGGAGTCCTACAACGGACCATACCTCGGCTAGTGTTGGCAAACTGCCCTGGACCAGGGAGCCTTCTGCTTGGTTCCCCTGCTGGTTTATAACCAATGACATTCGATGCCATACCAGTTTGCATTGTTGCTTCAGCTTCCTGCGGATTCTCTACTTTTAGCTGAACGGTCTGTTGATTAGTGTTGACTGCAGTTAGCTTAGCCAGGACTGAATCCTCAGACTCCCTTTTGACTACAACGCTAGCCACTGCTCTGGCGTTCTTTAGCAGGCGTCCGGCTGAGATGAACGGGACCCTGACTCTATTAACACACTGCCTCTGGCCCTGTCCACTCAAAGCAGACGGAGGACGTTCAATGACCACGTTGGTTAACAGTCCAGCTTTCTGCAACGATACCTCCATGTTCGTGATTCTCTCTCTGGCCTTCGTTAACCTACCCGCCTGCTTCGCTCTCTGTTCTCGCTTCTTGATGCGCCAATTCTCTCTGCGCATGGCGGCTTTCTCCTCCTCAGTCTCCAGTGGAGCTGATGTGTCGTTGATACTTCTAACTCCTTGGGCTGTGACCAAGTCACTCTTTTTCCCACCTAGTTCTGTTACTTTCATCCCTATAGGCCTACCCTCTGGTTTGTGAATGAGGGCAGGGGCAGACTGATTGGTCACGGTCAACCCTGTGGTAATGTTAGCAGTTAGCGGTCCAGGCTGAACACGCACTGTAATTTGCGTCTCAGTTAACGCATCAGGCCTTGATACACTCTGGGTGGCCAGATGCTTTTGAGTCGACACTACAGGAGTGCTGCCATTCAGAATAGTCATTCCGCTTGGTGGTTGGCGAGGTGCAGAGCCTGAGGGTCTCACCGTCACTTTTACCAGAGGCACGGAGGAGCCACTGTTGAGCAGCACTCCGTTGTGTTTGGCTGGGGTAACCGTTCCGATCACAGTGCCCCCTTTTGGGGAACTTTTCACCGCCATCTTGCAGACCATCGCACCTTTTCCTGGACCTGAACTGGACGTTGGGAACTGAGGCAAGACTTTGTCGAGTTTTATCCTCTGGAACCACCTCTCCTTTTGGTTTGCTGAGGAAGAGTTTTGGTCCCCTTCCCCAACACTATGGTTCTGATGATGAAAGACAGCAGAACCCTTTCCCTTTAATAAGACTACAGGTGCACCACCGACATTGGTTTGGTAGGAACCATCGCTATTCAACAAAGGGGGGGCAGACCCTGCCATTGAACAAGAGGCACTGGAATTCAATGCCATTGAGGTTAGGGTATTATGGACTGCATTTCTGCCCAAGGAGTTACTCCCTCTGTTTGTAGCTTTTGCCTTCTTGACCTCTGACAGCTTGGCCCTCTGCTCTCGTTTCTTGGTCTTCCAGTACTCTCTCTTCTGGGCTAGTGTGGCATCATCGAACTCTGAGGCCGGACGGTAGCGCTGACCCCGTGGGCTGTCAGCCCCTCCAGTTCCCTTGGTGGTTGGCATGATGGTCGCTGATTGGTCACCTCTCGTGCTCTTCACCAAACTGTGCTGGCTGCAGACTCTTCACACATCCCACTCTCCTTCGTCCAATGTTCACCAGATATGGATATCGTCAGCCTTTAGCCTACAATGTTGTATGCGATTGAGTAACATCCTATAGATCTTGTTATGTCTGTCTCCCATCTCTGGTGGTCACCCGCCACATGTTGACATTAACAGACACCAGATGGTCCTGAAAATGAGAAAAACAACACGCTTAGTGAGACAAATATACTAATCTAATAGGTCTTGGGAAATTGGATTGTTCACTGACATATCACATCTTGAAGTTGTTTTAAATCTGTTGCCAGTTTAGGAACCAAATAAATAAACATACTTCTTCAAAACCATGTGGTTGCACCCCATTTATCCATCCCAAAAGTAAAGCTAAATATTCAATTGTAAATTATATATATTTAACTCATTGTCAAGTATTGGCATTTATTAATGCAATTCCTGGCTGGCTTAGATATTGAATTTAATAAAAGAAAGGAAGCAAGAAATAACTTTTGTGTTATTATTCAACTAATTAATATAGGCCTAATTAATCAAATATTTTCTGGATCCTAATTTAGACTATACAAATGCAATCTTTTTGGCACATGAAATCTGCAACACTTCCAAAATGCAGGCTGTGTTCTCTCGCTGACAGCCAGCATCAAAGAGCATGCACAACAACCAGGAAGAGAACAAATGGCACTGCCTCTTTAAACCAAGTCCTCCGTCTATCACAAATTATGTCTGTCGTGTGCCATTTTTCATTCTCATACGAATACGAATACCAAACGCAGTGTGCCGACGCGTGACAAATCATAGCCAAAAATTCCAACGAAAAGCCCCCGGAAAATTGGACACATTTGGTGATATTCATGTCTCTACCAGCGTACAATGGACAATCTCTTCCTCCTCCCCTGTCCACACGGACTGGCGTCTGCCTGCGTGTGTTCCTTGTCTAAATGAATCGAAAAGCATAAAACCAAGCTAGCGGTAAAAGAGCAGGATGGTTGGAAAGGTGTGAAAAAACATGCATATGCATTACCTGGTAGTTACACCTAACTTTCCGGGACAGTTTGTGAACGTTTGGACAGATATACTGTCAGGACACTGCAGCTACTTCCCTCGAGCCAGCCTTTCTCTCTATCGATGCCTTCCTTGACAACGTTGAAAAGTACCAGGATGTGGGACCTTGCTGCTTGTGTGTAAACTGCGTCGTGTGGACAGATACAAGCCTCTTAAAGCCGTACTACCACAACAGGGGACATAATTTGGTTTATAGATGGTCAATGAAATGGAGCAATTTTTATCCATATACTGTGTCCCCAAGATGCCACACATGGCCCACCCTATAATAAGGTTGTATTCTAGACTATTGGTAATATAATTTTACCATGTTGAACATTGAGGTGATATGAACCACTGCACCAATCAATCAATTAAATAATAATAATAATAATAATATGCCATTTAGCAGACGCTTTTATCCAAAGCGACTTACAGTCATACATGCATACATTTTTGTGTATGGGTGGTCCCGGGGATCGAACCCACTACCTTGACGTTACAAGCGCCGTGCTCTACCAGCTGAGCTACAGAGGACCACAGAACCAAATCACTTAAATATTTGGTAATTGAATATTTGTTCTAGAACATTTGACAGATGCAATATTTCCACAAATATTTAAATAATAGACAATGTTGCCACCAGCGTTGTATTTATCCATGGTTGGGAATTTCAGCATTTTGGCAAATATTTGCACATGGGAATTTAGAAGTATTTCTCTCAATACCTCAATATTTCACTATAATGATGACGAAGTAATGACAGTGCAAGATCAATTGTTATGATGTTCCCTGATATTATGCAGAAGTCAGTGTACAGAAGGAATTCTTCATAAATAGTGAAAAATATGGACACCTATAGGGGGGCCATTTCAACAACAGTAGGCCCCCCCCCCCCCCCCCCCCCCCATTTCATTAACGTTTGTCTTTTAAGTAAGAAAACTAAACCATGGCAAAGTGATACATTTTTGTCCAATTGATTTTGCAGGAGAACTGACCTAAACACATCTGGCCCCTGGGTGTGCGTGTCGCTGCATGAATGCCGCTACTGTCTCTTTAAATTTACCCAGGAGCCCCTTAAGGAGCCCCAGGGGCCCCAAGCTCGGCTCCCCACCCTGAAGACAAGCAGAGCCTTAAAATACATACAAGAGGCCGCTATAGCTCACCATAAACAGGAGAGGCGCACACCCGAAGAAGGATATAAGACCGACCAAAAATCGTGCCGATATATGAAAAGTTAACTTGGCTCCAGAGCTGAGCGCGTGGGGGGACGAGGGGCACATTATACAGACAGCACGGGGCACCCAAAAAGCGATGGGTCCGTTCATGGTCTAGATAGCTTGCAAAACGCGTGCTGAACGATTATCCAAAAATACAGTTCCTACCTGGTCTATTAGAGCGAATTGAAGGCATTAGTAAATAGTGTAAGGTTGCAGAGTTATGGAAGAGAAAGAGACAGGGGAGAGCGAGCCTGTGGTCCTTCCGTGTGCTGAGCAGGCAGATTCTCTCTCATTAATAATAAGCGGAGAGGAGGAAGCGACGCAAGAGCAGAGTGACTTGGGACACTGTTCAGGAGGTAAAGATTGTCATGTTTTTGTTTCGAGAGTACGGAGAATCGACCCTTCGTCTGCCCGCCACCCTTTGTCACAGTTAATCTGTGTGACGGACAATGCCATCTAGCAGCATGGCCCTCTTGTCTCAGTGGCTCCACTATAAACAAAGGCAAAATACCATGCTGGTTGCTTGCTGTGATGCACAGTCGCCACCCAGCGGAAACTAGCGGCGGCTAACTCGTCTAAATGGAGTCGCTGCCCGATTTCTGATGGCGGGGGTGCCGTGCGGAAATAGAATATTGTCCTTACATTAACGATTTGATTATGAACCCCAATTATTCTGTCTGCATATTTCTAGCTGAATACATATATTTGGGAATGTCAGGGTATGTGACACCAGCCATCTGAGAAATATAATTTGAATTGTATGTTATAGAGCTTTGAAATGTACTGCTTACCAGGAATAACCTACACCCACTGCATGTGCATCTCTTAACTATCTCTCTCTCTTTCCTAGAGAAGGACGGTCTGACCAATGGCCACGTGGACGATGATGGCGAGGAAGGGATGGTGACCCCCCTTTGCTCCCCGGGCACCAGCTACTGGAGTGTCAACGAGGGTCCAGACTCCCCCTTCCTCCTTTCCCCCATCCCGGGCCCCTCTGGACGCAAAGAGAAGGTCCAATGCGCCTCCCGACCCGGCCTCAGCCGCATCCCGGGCAGGGATCATCGGCGCTACTACCACGAGTACTGGCGCAGCGAGTTCCTGATGGACTTTGACCCCCGTCGCCACGGCATGATCTGCATGGTGTGTGGGAGCTCGCTGGCCACACTCAAACTCAGCACCATCAAGAGGCATATTAGACAGAAGCACCCGGACTCTCTGCTGTGGAGCGCGGCCGACAAGGAGGTGATCCGCTCGGGCTGGGAAAGCCACCTGAGTCTGGAGGGGGGCCAGAGGCTGTACTGTCCGGCCGGAGGGGTGGTCGCCATCTCCCAGGGACAGGAGGAGGAGCTGCTGGACTGTGCTCGCCACTCCACCGGTGGGTGGGGGTTTCTGGAGACTGGAATGGAATGAAATGTCATGGCCTAGTTTTATGATAAGAGTTTCAGGATCTTGCACTTGGTGGCAGTATGAGCATATCTGATTAAGTGTTTATGTTGTAGAGTCATGCTCATATTGCCAAGATCCACTTTTACAGTAGTGTTAGAGGGTGATGTCATTGTGAAGTGGCTTTATGTAGTCGTAAGAAGACAGGCTGCTCTTGTACCAATGATCTTAACCTGAATTTAATTTTTACAGATGGGTGCATATTTCATTTTTATGTGATTGTCGTACTATATATTTTTATTCATGTTAACATTTAAACTGCATATCCCCTCTCCTTTACCTCACATAGGAAAACCTGGTGGTATAGTGTCCCCCAAACTCCAGCCCCGGTCCCCGACCCCGTCTCCCCCTCCCTCGGTCCCCCTCCAGCAGGAGGAGCTCCCCGGGCCCTCGGCCCAGACCCTGGAGCGCTACCTGAATGACTCGCTCCACGCCTGGTTCAGACAGGAGTTCCTCATGGAGTACCAGGCGGAGGCGGGCAGGCTGGTGTGCATGGTGTGCGGCCGCCCGCTGCCCTCGCTCCACCTGGACCACATCAAGAGCCACGTGCTGGACATCCACCCCCAGTCGCTGGTCTACAGCTCGGAGGAGAAACACTGCATCCTGCAGACCTGGGCTCAGACACACGGTGAGACTGAGGGAGGGAGGAGGGAGAGGGGGTAACAGGACAGGGAGGGAGTTATTCTGTAACTGTGGCTCAGTCTTTGTCATTGTTCTGATTAAGGGCATTGATGAAGGCCGAAACGTCAAGCTTTTAATAGTTGCTTGAATAAAATATGTTTTTAATGGTGAGCTAGCATTGCAGCCTTTTCATTTCAGTCACTGTGGCTTTAGGAAGTTTTATCAACTTGTGTTTTGAAGTGAGTAGGACTTATTTATTTATTTTTGTTACATTTGTATGTCTCTGTGTACAAAGGTAGACCAGTTACGTATATTTTTTTCTGCAGCACAGATCTAAAATGGCTTTTCTTCTGATAACCATTGATAAAGTGATTAATAGCCATTTATATCCTTGAATATACACTGAGCATACCAAACATTAGGAAGACCTTCCTAATATTGAGTTGCACCATGCTGGCACATGTTGACTCCAATGCTTCCCACAGTTGTGTCAAGTTGGCTGGATGTCCTTTGGGCGGTGGACCATTATTAATACACACGGGAAATTGTTGAGCGTGAAAAACCCAGCAGCGTTGCAGTTCTTGACACAAACCGGTGCATCTGGCACCTACTACCCTACCCTGTTCAAAGGCACTTAAATATTTTATCTTACCCATTCACCCTCTGAATGGCACACATACACAATCCATGTCTTAATTGTCTCAAGGCTTAAAAACCCTTCTTTAACCTGTCTCCTCCCTTTCGTCTACACTGATTGAAGTGGATTTAACAAGTGACATCAATAAGGATCATAGCTTTCACCTGGATTTACCTGGTCAGTCTATGTCATGGAAAGAGCAGGTGTTCTTAATGTTTTGTATACTCAGTGTATATATCCCTTACTAAACTCTCATTCCTCAACCCCACCCCATGCCCCATATCAGAATCCGACCCTCTAAACGACTTCATCAAATCTGAGCCCAACACCAAAGACGAGAGAGATGCTGGAGTGGACTTCTTCCCTGATGACCTGGAGACCATCCAGATCGGCTCAGACACGTATGCAGAGGACAACGATGAGGCGTTATCCCAGATACAGGACATGGTTGATAGCGGTGATGGCGTTGGTGGTGCTCCAGAGGTGACCAATCCCATACCCCCTCTCCCTCTTCGCCAACCCAGGAAGAGGCGTCTTCGTGGGGGCTTCCCCTGGCGGCTGCGCCTGGACTACCTGGTGGCCTACGGACCCCAGGGTCGTGGCACCTTCTGCATGGTGTGCTCCCAGGCCCTGCCAATGGCCAAGGTGAGCAGCTTCCGCCGCCACATCCAGGAGTGCCACCCTGAGACCACCAGCCTGGCCCGGGAGGAGAGGGAGGCCATGGCCGAGGCCTGGACCAAAGAGGCTCCCACGGAAGACAACCTGGCTGTGCAGATGAAAGAAGGTAAAACTTATAAGTTTCAACCAATGTAAAAGAGAGACTGTAGCTACTCTCAGCAGAGAAAGAGGAAATACTAACTGATTCACCAAGTGGTTTCTGCCCACTGTAGCTACTCTCAGCAGAGAAATAGGAAATACTAACTGATTCACCAAGTGGTTTCTGCCCTCTTACTGACTGACCCCCCCCTCCCCTCTCTCTGACAGAAGTGGACCCCAGTGACATCGTCAGCCTCCCTGTGGCGGGAGAGATGGGTGAACAGGCCTCGCCCGACAACAACAACAACCGGACCACCAAGATGGCCACCACCAAGGCCGTAAAGAAGGAGGAGGGGGTTGCCACCATGCCTGCCACTCCGGGGCGCCACGGCCACTACCCAGGCAAGGACCAGCGGCGGAACTACCAGGTGCGCTGGAGGATGGAGTTCCTGATGGACTACGACTGCCGGAGACATGGGTTGATCTGTATGGTGTGCGGGGCAACGTTAGCCACTCTTAAAGTCAGCACTATCAAGAGACACATCCAGCAGGTTCACCCTCATTCTCTGGAGTACGGCCCCGACGAGAGACAGCAGGCCCTGCTCAGCTACAACCAGACAGCCCTGCACTTCGTCCACTCGGATGACTGTTTCTCCTCACTAGACCACGGACACACGGCACTCGGACAGACGGCCGCCGGCCTCTTTGTCAGCTAGGACGAGGGGCGCCAGGCATGGCTGTTCTCTGTCCACCCCACTTTCCCTTCCAAGTCTCTCTTTCTCAGGAAGTTAGAAACAAGGCTTGGTAGAGCCCTGTCGTGAGTTGTGCAGTGACTGGCACAGTTGGTGATTAATTTGTCAGCGAGTATACAATATAGCACTTTCTGTCCCAAAAATTTACTAAAACCTAGATTTGGGTGTGTAGGTGATTGAATGAGTGGGTGTTTGAGGTGTATTGCTAAAGACAATGAACAACACTTAAAGATGTGATTATCTTTAGTGACTCAATTACGTCCCGTTATTTTAAAAGTAAATTCCTTGTTTACAATGAGGTAAATGGACGTCCTCCAGAGATTTTTCTCATTCTTGAATTAGAAGATGTCATCTTCCATGTCTTTTCCAGTGTCACAGTACTATTGTTACAATCTATGTAAATAGTGTTGAATTATTATAACTTTTTTTTTTTACAAGCACTTTTACACGTGGTTTTTACAAAAGGGTTTGTAATTACAGCCATGTTTTCTAAATGAAACGATGCCACGTAAAATGTCATTTTGCATGGGAATTCTGAAGTCATGCATGATTGTGGAGGGATTGCCTTCTATGGCTGAGGCACTTAGTTTATGAGAGCATTTCTAGCTTTATTTATACAAGATTTCACATGCAAGGTTTCCATTTCAATAACTCACATATTACAAGGTTTATGCAACAATTAACTACATGGAGAGAAAAAAAACGATAACATAGTCAGGAAATAAATAGCCAAATTGACCATCTCTGAAATGACCCCCTCACTTGCCCTTATTTCAGTGACCTCTGAAATATCACTCCACCAGGAAAAATAACTCAGGGATTGTCTGTTTTCCATCTGTGGTCGCGCTTTCGCTCGCTTGTTAACTTGTCAAAATTAGTGCATACATTGGTTGTCATTACTTTTAATGGTTTAACTGTCAACAGCAGTTAAAATGGTCCTATCGTATTCAAACAACAGCGAAAGTAAAGTTGTCCAGTGCACAGCTGGAACAAACGACAGGCAACAAAAGAGAGTGAACGACTAACTACACTTAACATGACAACAGTTTACAACCCATGGACTAAATGTATCATTCAAATAACCAGATGGCAGCATTTGTCCAGTTATGTGGAGAGGAAGGTACATCAGTGTTGAATATCAAACCCCCTCACTCTCTTCCTCTAACCTAAACTGCCTGTGTTGGTGACTTCGGCTGTGTGAAAATGTTATTAACTTTCAAATCCTTGCTTTCTCTGTCCTTGTTTCCTCAAAGCGCATTGCCGGTCCAAAGGGGGGACCTTGGATCTTCTCTAATGCGTTTTGAGAAACAAGGACGGAGGAAGCAAGGATTTGACAGTTAGTAAAGGTTTTCAGACACAGCCCTAGTTGGCGCAGTGGTCATTTTTGCATGCAGGGGATGGGCAAGGAGAGGTGAAATAATTCGGATTTATTCCATCTGGGCTTGGAGCGGCCACAGAATCAGGTTGTAAAAAGCTTTGTGACTCAGCACTTAAAAATGTAAATAAATAGGACTTAAATATGGCAAAGTGATTGAATAAGAATACACCTTGTTTGTTGCGATGATTTACATGTATGGTTGTGTGTGTAGGGGGCACGTTAAAAATACCCTTTGGTGGTACTTCGTTAGCTTGGGTGAGGACACAAGCAATGATCTTCTGTTTTTTAAGGGACTGATTCCTTTGTCTTTCCTCAATTATTTCTTCTTCTGTTTCAAGTATCCGCTCTGTATTTAATCTGTACATGGCAAAAGGTTGTCGATTGATATATGCATTCTGTCCTCAATGAGCCTTGTAATAAAAAATGATCTAAATAATATTGTCTGACAGGTTATCTGGGGACTGTATTAAGAAATTATGGCTAAAATTGACTCTACTCAATGGTCATTTGCAGACAGCTGGTAATAACTTACAAGCAATACTGCGAATTAATGCATTAATACCTGATTGGGGTTACCATGGCTATTAAAAAGGAACTACTTTTTGATTATCTCAACATGCAGGCCTGGTCTAAAATGAATAGCTACAGTAAAATCCTCTGATCGAAAACAGTGATATTACCATCCCTATGTGCAGACTGGACCTTGAATGCTGGACTCCTATTTTTAGAAGCTGTTTTCAATCTTGACTCAATTTAATCCCAGCGGTTCAGACATGCTGTAATGCTTACTCTTTAAAAGTTGTAGAGCAGACCACAAATTTACAAACAAATCCCCCAAATCCTTGTTCATTACATTCTTTATTAATTCCACTTTGACATCAGTACAGGGATCACTTTTTTTTATGTAACATTTTTTCCAAAGCTCAAAAATGTGAACTAGTCATTGCTAACTATCAGATCTGAGATGTTAGTTACCACAGCTAGATACCAATAAACAGTCAAAAGCAAAACAAAGAATGCCCCGCACCCCCCAAAAAAAACTCCTGCCAAACCCCTCCAAGAAATAAAAAAACTGACCAGGAAAAAGGTGACAAAATGCTTCAAGGAAACTTCAAAAATGTGCATGTAGATTTATCGTATTTTACGCTAAATAAACCAAGACTAAGTAAGAGGTCTGCATTATAATCTATTGAAAACATCGGTAGCATTGCCTTCCTTCAATGAAAAAGTTTGATAGGTGGAGCGCCCCACTGTCTGGAACACCTTGTCATCGCGAGGTCCTCATCATGGCTACTGAATGTTCCATTAGTCCAGCATCACAAGGACAAGGGGTGTTTACAGACATTGGATACGTTCAACTGTGGGTGGGTGAACATGTGTGTGTGTGTGTGTGTGTGAGAAAAACAAACATTCAGTCCAATAGCTTGAGTTGAGGAATTGAGGGTAGAGTAAGACTTGGCCCTAGTGAGTCGAGTAGAGTGTGTCCAGTGGCTTGGGATGAACTGTCACGGAGTTGGATATACAGACACATGCATGCACAAGGGAACCAAGAAGCTTTGTTGCTCCACAACTCTTAGGCAGTGTGACCACTGACAACATTGGGACCACTATGAAACACTGGTTTGCATGCATGGGGAGGAATGTTCTATCAATGTTGCAGGGTAACGTTCAGCAGTTAACAGACATTTGAGTAGTAGTAGCTGATGCATTGAGGCAATGTGAGAACAATCATTGTAGATGTTATAACAGTAGTCTTTTAGCTTTAGTGCTAAATGACAAAATGTCGTCTAAACTTAGTTTGGACACAATGTCTATGAGTATTGACAATCACAATAGGAGGTGGAACTGTCCATTATATTTTTCATCAACAACTGCTTTTAAAATTCCTTTCGAAGACACATCACATTGCCATCACAGAGACGTAACAGTAGTCTTAAAATAGTTCACCATGGTTTTTATTGAAATCAAAACACTAAGCAATCACAAATAATTATCTTAACAAAAACCAAAAGGGTTAAGAATATGATACAGCCTATATAAAGTGTGAAAATGTGTTTCCAGCTTCTGCAATGACATGCACTTCATGGCATTCGAAGAAGAAAAAACATTACAGCGGAGGCTGCTGAGGGGAGAATGGCACGGAACAAATGGAACGGCATCAAACACCTGGACACCATGTGTTTGATGTATTTGATACCATTCCACTGATTCCGCTCCAGTCATTACCACGAGCCCAACCTCCTGTGATTACAACCCCCACCAGACTTTTTCTTACACCCCCCCCCCCCCACCCCCATCGTTACGTTGTAGTTATACTTCCAACTACCTTCCAAAAAGGAACAGTCTTTCAACCCATATCCAACCATTTTCCAAGAGGTCTCACTGAAGAAGTCAAGCGGTTATGAAGCTTCATGAAGCTACTATGAAGCCTTTTTACGGAGCTAAAAAGGGAGTCAACAGCAGCAATCATATAAGTAATTATCATATCACTAATAGTAACAATATAAATGTACAGGTGAACGTGAGACTTTGACATTGATGTTGACTTGAACAGTTGCGACAAAAAAACAAGTTATGACCGCTGTAAGAGGGAGTTCCCTTTTTCTAAAAAGCAACGCTAACTTGTTTCACACAGCAGAGGAAGAGGGAGCCTGTTGTAGTCACAGTTTACCAAATGCATCCAAATCAAATCAGGGCGAACTAGACCAAAAGCATCCCAGCTGGTTCAGTGTTCCAATCCTTTTATTTCAACCTGCTAGTGGGATTTGAAAATAAAGTTCAGTGCATTGCAGAAACGTTATACATACGAGCCTTTAAGGTGAACAAAACACAATAACTCCATAAACAGGCCAATCAGTAACAGTGAAATCCCAGTACCAGGTTCGAAACAAACATTTTTTTGTTTGGTTTATCCATCCAATTGCCACACAGAGAGCGAGACAGAGAAGGAATAAAACTAGCCACAATTTACACCCAAAAGGTTATTTATCAGTTTGCTCTTTTAAAAAAAACTTTTCAAACTTTTAATTGTTTACTTATGTTCAGCGAAACGTATAGTTAAAAGTACAGACATCTGCTTTTTTGCCAAACAAACACTGGTCCTTACTCGTCAATGACACTCCCTACACCCTCCCAACTATACACTACAAAACCAGGTAATTGATTCAGTCTAGTTCACTTGACCCCTGCATCAAAGACAGGTGTTCTGCCGAGGCGTTACATCACTTCCTCCCGCTTGAGACGTGATTCCTGTCTTTTTCTAAATTCTTGTAGTTAAGCTGCGCGGTTTACATTGAATATTGAGTAGCATTTTAGATTATTTTTTCTACCTAGCAGGTTCAGTGCGGATGGTAGGTGGGAGGGAGGGAGTAGGGAAAGAGAAGGGGGAGGATAACTGAAAAGGAGAGGCAAGGAGAGGGCAGGGGGTTTAAGATGGGATAAATGTGATGAGGATGGTGACGTCTGAGGGCCGATCATTCAGCTTTCGTACGCTTGATGGCTCCAGGGAGTTTCTCTTGCAGCCTGGAAGAGAAAAGATAAAGACAAAATGAATACCATAAAAATACACATAAATGATCACATGACAGCACTGAAACTGTACATATACTGTACACTGTTAGTTTAGGTAGACTGAAATCAGAGACATCCTGTTGACAGAGGAGAGTACATTGAAACAGCCTTGGTTTGGAACACTTACTTGGCCATTGTGGTGTTGACTTGAGTACGTGTGATTTCCATGTAGTGATCAATCTGGGTCTGGGGAAGAAAGTGAGGAAGAGAACAGTGAGTTTTGTAGTAATTTACAGTCAGACTCATAAACAGACCTAATCTACAGAACATGGAACGATGTCTCATTGTGCAAACGAAATTATAAACTGGGTGGTTCGAGCCCTGAATGCTCATTGGCTGACAGCCGTGGTATATCAGACCGTATACCACGGGTATGACAAAACATGTATTTTTACTGCTCTAATTACATTGGTAACCAGTTTATAATAGCAATAAGGCACCTCAGAGGTTTGTGGTATATGGCCAATATACCACAGCTAAGGGCTGTATCCAGGCATAACAGCCCTTAGCCGTGGTATATTGGCCATATACCACACCTCCTTGTGCCTTATTGCATAATTAGAAGTCATGAGATAAACACAAGAAGTCAGAGACCATGACTTACGGTTACGGTTGTTAAGGTAATACGGTTGTTATGGTTACTTTGCACTCTGCATTTGTGTTTAGAAGAGTAAAATGCTGTCCTTAAATCTAGGCCTCCATACCGTTACAGTGTAAAAGGCTCCAGACACTGAAAGCCATCTTGTCACTGACATGTCAAATCAGCCTTGTGCTATGGCACCGATAAGGATGCAAATAGCCCCCAACGACTCGTAAAGAGCCTGGTCATCCGGTGAGGTCACACCCAGTAGAACTAGTAGGTGCCCGCAAAAGGATGATGCGGTCATAATCAATGCTCATGGCTCGATCCAGAACCATATATAGGTCTAGCTCAAGGTACATTGATTCATCAGCATGACTCAAGTCTACATAGCTCTAAGGAATAATAAGAAGCATCTCCACTTCTATGATGTTACAAGACAAAAAGGTCAAGGGTCAGACTCACCTTGTTCTTCTCATAGAAGGGGGGTACGGCGAAGAGGAGGATGTCAGCTGGAGCAGAGCGAAAGAAAAAAACAACATTGAAATAACGCACAGGGTACAACCAGCAGCTGACCTCGAAAGGCACACAAAGCATCGTCGAGGCACACAGGCCTACAGTGGATTCGGAAAGTATTCAGACCCCTTAACTTTTTCCACATTTTGTTACAGCCTTAGTCTAGAATTGATTAAATAGTTTTTTCCCCTCAATCTACACACAATACCCATAATGACAAAGCAAAAACAGGTTTTTAGAAATGTTTGCTTATTAATAAAAAACGTAAATATCACATTTACATAAGTATTCAGTCCCTTCATTCAGTACTTTGTTGAAGTACCTTTGTCAGCGATTACAGCATCGAGTCTTCTTGGGTATGACGCTAAAAGCTTGGCACACCTGTATTTGGAGAGTTTCTCCAATTCTTCTCTGCAGATCCTCTCAAGCTCTGTCAGGTTGGATGGGGAGTGTTGCTGCACAGCTATTTTCAGGTCTCTCCAGAGAAGTTTGATCAGGTTCAAGTTCGGGCTCTGGCTGGGCCACTGAAGGACATTCAGAGACTTGTCCCGAAGCCACTCCTGCGTTGTTGTGGCTGTGTGCTTAGGGTCGTTGTTCTGTTGGAAGGTGAACCTTCGCCCCAGTCTGAGGTCCTGAGCGCTCTGGAGCAGATTTTCATCAAGGATCTTTCTATACTTTGCTCCGTTCATCTTTCCCTCAATCCTGACTAGTCTCCCAGTCCCTGCCACTGAAAAACATCCCCACAGCATGATGATGCCACCACCATGCTTCACCGTAGGGATGGTGCCAGGTTTCCTCCAGACGTGACGCTTGGCATTCAGACCAAAGAGTTCAATCTTGGTTTAATCAGACCAGAGAATCTTGTTTCTCATGGTCTGAGTCTTTAGGTGCCTTTTGGCAAACTCCAAGCGGGCTATCATGTGCATTTTGCTGAGGAGTGGCTTCCGTCTGGCCATTCTACCATAAAGGCCTGATTGGTGGAGTGCTGCAGAGATGGTTGTCCTTCTGGAAGGTTCTCCCATCTCCACAGAGGAACTCTAGAGCTCTGTCAGTGACCATCGGGTTCTGACCAAGGCCCTTCTCCCCCGATTGCTCAGTTTGGCCGGGCGGCCAGCTCTAGGAAGAGTCTTGGTGGTTCCAAACTTCTTCCATTTAAAAATGATGGAGGCCACTGTGTTCTTGGGGATCTTCAATGCTGCAGAATTGTTTTGGTACCCTTTCCCATATCTGTGCCTCGACACAATCCTGTCTCGGAGCTCTACGGACAATTCCTTCAACCTCATGGCTTGGTTTTTGCTCTGACATGCACTGTCAACTGTGTGATGTTATATAGACAGGTGTGTGCCTTTCCAAATCATGTCCAATCAATTGAATTTACCACAGGTGTACTCCAATCAAGTTGTAGAAACATCTCAAGGATGCTTAATGGAAACTTGGATGCACCTGAGTTCAATTTGAGTCTCATAGCAAAGGGTCTGAATACTTACGTAAATAAAGGTATTATTTATTTTATAAATTTGCACAAATTTCCAAAAACCTGTTTTCGCTTTGTCATTATGGGGTATTGTGTGTAGATTGCTGAGGAAAAAAATGTATTGAATACATTTTAGAATAAGGCTGTAACGTAACAAAATGTGGAAAAAGTCAAGGGGTCTGAATACTTTCCGAAGGCACAGTATATAAAGTTACCATTTATAGTCCATCACAATAATAATAATAATAACGTTGCTTTCAGGGATGTAGACTAAGGACACCGCAAACCATTTTACTAGTAAGAAATCCCCTGACAAAAACAACCAATGAGGCTTTACCACCCAGTAAACTGGGATGGTGTCAGATGCCATTAAAAGAGTTTAGAGCAATATTCCTGACATACAGTGTTTGACAAAGCAGCAGGCCATTGGGGAGTGCTGGTCTAATTAGCTAAATTGTATGAAGGCACAGTCTGTGCCGCCAATGACCTCAGACCGTATCATCCGTTTTGTCAATCTAGGAAAAGGTCACGGTGTGGCTGGACTTAACGAGCGCGACATGCTTACAACACTCGAGCAAGACCCACAGGGTGTTCTAGTTTCACTGCAATTGTCTAGGGCTTATATTCTAAGCAATGCCGTTTAGTTCTCCATGATGCCAAGCATTATAGCGACGTAATTGCACAGAAAAATTGTGTGGACTTGGTCTTCAATGATCCAGTGAGACTGAACTGACCTTTTTAAACTGGCCAGTTTTATTTTTAATGGAAGATGTTTGATAAACATTTTCTAGCACATTCTATGACCTTTGACCCCATTTACAGTGTGTCCAGTTGCCCCAGTTAGTTTAAACATGCATGAAACATAGGATACTAAACAACCTTAGTATTATACCCAGCGACCTCATCAAGAGGTTTTAGCCTTTTGGTACCCAACGGTGGGGGCAGGGAATAGAGCCCGGGCAAACACCCTACACGTCGCACCAGTAGGGTTAAATCACTTGGTGGGAATTGTAACGTCGCTCATATACAGTGGCTTGCAAAAGTATTCACCCCCCTTGGCATTTTTCCTATTTTGTTGCCTTACAACCTGGAATTAAAATGGATTTTTTTGGCGGTTTGTATCATTTGATTTACACAACATGCCTACCACTTTGAAGATGCAAAATATTTTCTTGTGAAACAAACAAGAAATAAGACCATAAAAAACAGAATAGTTATGCACGCTCAAGTTTTCACCCCCCCCCCCCCCCCAAAGTCAATACTTTGTAGAGCCACCTTTTGCAGCAATTACAGCTGCAAGTGTCTTGGGGTATGTCTCTATAAGCTTGGCACATCTAGCCACTGGGATTTATGCCCATTCTTCAAGGCAAAACTGCTCCAGCTCCTTCAAGTTGGATGGGTTCCGCTGGTGTACAGCAATCTTTAAGTCATACAACAGATTCTCAATTGGATTGAGGTCTGGGCTTTGACTAGGCCATTCCAAGACATTTAAATGTTTCCCCTTAAACCACTCGAGTGTCGCTTTAGCAGTATGCTTAGGGTCATTGTCCTGCTGGAAGGTGAACCTCCATCCCAGTCTCAAATCTCTGGAAGACTGAAACAGGTTTCCCTCAAGAATTTCCCTGTATTTAGCACCATCCATCATTCCTTCAATTCTGACCAGTTTCCCAGTCCCTGCCAATGAAAAACATCCCCACATAATGATGCTGCCACCACCATGCTTCACTGTAGGGATGGTGTTCTCGGGGTGATGAGAGGTGTTGGGTTTGCACCAGACATTTTCCTTGATGGCCAAAAAAGCTCAATTTTAGTCTCATCTGACCAGAGTACCTTCTACCATATGTTTGGGGAGTCTCCCACATGCCTTTTGGCGAACACCAAACATGTTTGCTTATTTTTTCCTTTAAGCAATGGCTTTTTTCTGGCCACTCTTCCGTAAAGCCCAGCTCTGTGGAGTGTACAGCTTAAAGTGGTCCTATGGACAGATACTCCAATCTCCGCTGTGGAGCTTTGCAGCTCCTTCAGGGTTATCTTTGGTCTCTTTGTTGCCTCTCAGATTAATGACCTCCTTGCCTGGTCCGTGAGTTTTGGTGGGCGGACCTCTCTTGGCAGGTTTGTTGTGTTGCCATATTCTTTCCATTTTTTAATAATGGATTTAAAAATGGTGCTCTGTGGGATGTTCAAATTTCCTGATATATTTTTATAACCCAACCCTGATCTGTACTTCTCCACAACTTTGTCCCTGACCTGTTTGGAGAGCTCCTTGGTCTTCATGGTGCCGCTTGCTTGGTGGTGCTGCAGACTCTGGGGCCTTTCAGAACATACATGCATGCATGCATGCATGCATGCATGCATGTATGTATGTATGTATGCATGTATGTACACACACACACACACTGAGATCATGTGACTCTTAAAGTCCACCTGTCTGCAATCAAACTAATTATGTGACTTCTGAAGGTAATTGGTTGCACCAGATCTTATTTAGGGGCTTCATAGCAAAGGGGGTGAATACATATGCACGCACACTTTTCCGTTATTTGAAATAATTGTTTTAAACAAGTGATTTTTTCCATTTCACTTCACCAATTTGGACAATTTTGTGTATGTCCATTACATGAAATCCAAATAAAAATCCATTTAAATTACAGGTTGTAATGCAACAAAATAGGAAAAAACGCCAAGGGGGATGAATACTTTTGCAAGGCACTGTAGCAAGGATGGCTAGACTTCCCCTCCGAATGGGAATTCCCCTAGTGCTTAGACTACTTAGCCTGCTAGCACAGCCGGGGCCTCAGCCACCACTTCTGACACCAATGTAGCAGACGGCGGGGCAGGGAAACACTATGCCCGTTTTTAATTGTATTTATTCATTAGGATCCCCATTAGCCGACGCCAATAGCGACTGCTAGTCTTACTGGGGTCCGACACAACGAAAAAGACAATGCTGCAGAATTTGTTTTGGTACCCTACCCCAGATCTGTGCCGACACAATCCTGTCTCGGAGCTCTACGGACAATTCCTTCGACATCATGGCTTGGTTTTTGCTCTGACATGCATTGTCAACTGTGGGACCTTATATAGACAGGGGTGTGCCTTTCCAAATCATGTCCAATCAATTGAATTTACCACAGGTGGACTACAATCAAGTTGTTGAAACATCTCAAGGATGATCAATGGAAACAGGATGCACCTGAGCTCAATTGAGTCTCATAGCAAAGGGTCTGAATACTTACGTAAATAAGGTATGTTTTTTTGTTTTTTTTATACATTTGCTAAACATTTTTTAAAAAACTTTTCGCTTTGTCATTATGGGACATTGTGTGTAGATTGCTGAGAAAAATATAAACTATCGTTCAAAAGTTTGGGGTCAATTAGAAATGTCCTTGTTTTCGAAAGAAAAGCAATTTTTCTGCCCATTAAAATAACATCAAATTTATCAGAAATACAGTGTAGACATTATTAATGTTGTAAATGGCTATTGTAGCTGGAAACGGCTGATTTTTTATGGAATATCTACATAGGCGTACAGAGGCCCATTATCAGCAACCATCAGTCCTGTGTTCCAATGGCACGTTGGTGTTTGCTATTCCAAGTTTATCATTTTAAAAAGGCTAATTGATCATTAGAAAACCCTTTTGCAATTATGTTAGCACAGCTGAAAACTGGCCTTCTTGAGACTAGTTGAGTTTCTGGAGCATTAACAATTGTGGGTTCGATTACAGGCTCAAAATGGCCAGAAACAAAAAACCTTCTTCTGAAACTCGTCAGTCTATTCTTGTTCTGAGAAATGAAGGCTATTCCATGTGAGAAATTGCCAAGAAACTGAAGATCTCGTACAACGCTGTGTACTACTCCCTTCACAGAACAGCGCAAACTGGCTCTAACCAGAATAGAAAGAGGAGTGGGAGGCCCCGGTGCACAACTGAGCAAGAGGACAAATACATTAGTGTCTAGTTTGAGAAACAGACGCCTCACAGGTCCTCAACTGGCAGCTTCATTAAATAGTACCCGCAAAACACCAGTCTCAACGTCAACAGTGAAGAGGCGACTCCGGGATGCTGACCTTCTAGGCCGAGTTGCAAAGAAAAAGCCAGATCTCAGACTGGCCAATAAAAAGAAAATATTAAGATTGGCAAAAGAACAGACACTGGACAGAGGAAGATTGGAAAAAAGTGTTATGGACAGACGAATCGAAGTTTGAGGTGTTCGGATCACAAAGAAGAACATTTGTGAGACGCAGACCAAATGAAAAGATGCTGGAGGAGTGCTTGATGCCCTCTGTCAAGCATGGTGGAGGCAATGTGATGGTCTGGGGGTGCTTTGGTGGTGGTAAAGTGGGAGATTTGTACAGGGTAAAAGGGATCTTGAAGAAGGAAGGCTATCACTCCATTTTGCAACGCCATGTGGACGGCGCTTGATTGGAGCCAGTTTCCTCCTACAACAGAACAATGACCCAAAGCACCGCTCCAAACTATGCAATATCTATTTAGGGAAGAAGCAGTCAGCTGATATTCTGTCTATAATGGAGTGGCCAGAACAGTCACCGGATCTCAACCCTATTGAGCTGTTGTGGGAGCAGCTTGACCGTATGGTATGTAAGAAGTGCCCATCACGCCAATCCAACTTGTGGGAGGTCCTTCAGGAAGCATGGGGTGAAATCTCTTCAGAAAAACTAGAATGCCAAAGGTCTGCAAGGCTATAATTGCTGCAAATGGAGGATTCTTTGACGAAAGCTAAGTTTGAAGGACACAATTATTTCAATTAAAAATCATTATTTCTAACCTTATGAATGACTACATTTCCTATTCATTTTGCTATATTTCCTATTCAAACTCATTTCATGCATGTTTTCATGGAAAACAAGGACATTTCTAAGTGACCCCAAACTCTTGAACGGTAGTGTATATTTCATCCATTTTAGAATAAGGCTGTAACGTAACAAAATGTGGAAAAGGTCAAGGGGTCTGAATACATTCCGAAGGCACTGTAGATCTACCATTTTTCATAATTGATGTGCTAAAATATATAGCAGTCTAAAGCAAAATCAGACCTAGAGTAGCTTAAAGTCTACATCTCCAACTACCATACACATATTTTTAGACAGCTGAAGCAAGCACAAACACTTTCTTCATGAAATGTACCCATTCTGTTTTAGTCATAATTCCTCTGTTTTATTTTTCCCCCAGTTATTTTCACTCTCAGATTCTCACACACACACACACAGATTTATATATACACGCTTACATAAATATAAAACACAACGTGTTGGTCCCATGTTTCATGAGCTGAAATAAAAAAATCCTATTAATGTTCCATATGCACAAAAAGCTTATTTCTCACAAATGTTGTGCACAAATGTGTTTACATCCCTGTTAGTGAGCATTTCTCCTTTGCCAAGATAATCCATCCCCCTGACAGGTGTGGCATATCAAGAAGCTGATTAAAAAGCATGATCATTTACACAGGTGCATCTTGTGCTGGGGACAATAAAAGGCCACTAAAAGCTGCAGTTTTGTCACACAACAAAAATTTATTTGAGTGTGTAGTTCCCCTTTAATTACATTTGTATGGCCTTACATGTCTATACATGTATTTCACCGGTTGGCAAAGCTCCAAACAGCTGTGACATTTGCAAACTGTCGGTTCAACCAAAAATGTAAGGAAAGTATGATCTCCTGCTATGCATTTCTCCGGCGTCAGCAAGAACACAATCTGTGTGCCCCACATCCATTTAAACATAAATCCATCAAGAGTATTCAGTATTCAATACGTGTGTTGTCCGTACACCAGGTCAGATAGAAATATAGGTCACTAAGTAAAATAGACAGTCGTACCACTTTCATTCTCCCAGGTTTCATGCATGTTCAAACCACACACCCGACATGAAAAAGGTTTCTCAAACGCCATAGATCTCTAACATCTATTATATTTCAAAGTGTTCAAAGCTGCACACCACACACACACGGCCTCCGTGCAGTGCTGCGGTAGCCTCTTACCCAGGATGAGGATGGTGATGCCGTTGAAGACGGCTCCTACGTAGGTCAGCAGCCACATCACAACAGCCATCTGGGAGGAAAATAAGCCCTGGTTACAGCCAATGATGTCATTAAGTCAATGGTTAGAACACTGGTTGCCTTGGGCCTATTCAAGAGGGGTTTAGTAGTTAAAACGTTGCAGATAGAATTGTAGAACAGGCACGGCTTTCTGTTATGTAGAATAGCATTACATTTCTATATGAACGTTCTGTAAAGTCCCACCCCCTACGGAATACATCCACGGTTCATCACCATGACATGTGTATGAATGACCAGGAAGAATTTGCCCCTAACAACTGTTCTTGGGTCAAATATTTTAATATTTTGTAATCCCAATGTTGGTTAGGGTATGGTAATCTGATCCTAGATCTGAGGTTAAGGACAGCTTCTAACTCCAGCTAGGAGAGGGATTGAATGCGGATTTAATAGGCTGGGAGTGAAGTTGCAAGCATCATCTCCGCCCGAGTGGCCGTGGGACGGACCAGCGACAGTCGTCTTGGTCTGATAGGTTGGTATGTCTGGGCTATAATGAACTGGCAGCTGAACTAGCTCTCCTCCCCCCCTTCCTTCCTTCCTTCCTTCCGCTCCCCTTCCCCCCCTCGCTCCGCAGCAGAGCTAACCGTGAGCTGTGTTCTAGGTCCGCTAGCTAGCTGCTATCTGAATGCTGCGGTACTAACCCAGTGCTTATGTAGCACCCGCCCTGTGTGATGGATGCCCACAGCCATGCCACTGCTATACCATGAGCTCTCCCATAGTCACATGATGAAGAACTTGACTATATATCCCTATCACACTAACACTGCAGCATACAATAGGGTTGAGTTGCTAGAGGTTTATTATAGACAGCAGGGAGTGTTCAGAGTGTGTGCGAGTTTTAAAAAGATTGTGCGGCAGGAGGGCAGAGTTTAAGGGGGAAGAGACCCAGGAATATGAGAACACAGTCAGTCAGTTTAGGACCGTCAAGCATGATACCTAGTTTAGGGTCGCGTACATATATTTACACACAAGTGTGTGTCAGCACAAGACTCTTAATGAGGTAAGAGGCAAAACGATGCATGCAAACACACAAGGGCTACTATGGAATGAATCACTGGTCCAACACTATCAATCATGAGCCGAGGGTCAGATACCGGGGGGGTGAACTGCCTGACAGACAGGCAGAAGGACAGACACCTAAACCCACCTTTAGGGAGTCGATGAGGTCCTCGACCAGGAAGAGTTTGCTCATCTGTTTTAGGAATCGGTTGATGTAGGTCAGACTGACGTCCACGTGCTTGCGGAAGGTCTCAGGGGGAACGCTGACATCCTTCTCCATCAGAGCTCTGAGGATAACCAACCACAGCATGGTGTATGAAGCTGTGAACTCAGACTAACCTGCTAAATGCTAATCTAACAAATCGCTTTCATTGGACCATTTCAGGCTAACCTGCTAATCACTAAATCGCTTGGTTTCATTTGATAATTTCAGGCTAACATGCTAAGCGCTAATTAGATCATCGCTACCCAACCAAGGCGCTTTAAATTTCACACGATTGTTAGTTTGTATTTTTTTCTATTACAGCAATTGTTTTCAGGCATACAGTATTAGGCCCCGTTCACATTGAGCAGGTTACCAGATTTGTAGAGATCTGAAACCAATCAGATCTGTATCAGATCTCTGCAAATGCCGAGGTAGTGTCCAACATTGCAGGAACCCCATCAATGTGTCTTAATATGATACGACTGCTATGGAGGCAGCCTGGAACGCGCCCATTGTATTAGTCATCAGTCTATATGGCTGGGCTGTGATGCTCTATATGGCTGGGCTGTGATGCTCTGTATTTTCCTCGCCAATGGAAAATGATACGATGAAGACGTATATTCATCGTACTTAAAAAACGGCAATAACCTATAAATGGGGCATCGTTTTTCCTGGTCATGTGACTACCTCTTAGGCTACACTTAGACATGTGTCCTATCAAGCAACCTCTGCTACTACCAACGTCTTTTTCATGTTCTAACAGCCAAACCAATACAAGACTTAGCAGTTCAGCATCACAAGGTTCCCTATGGAGTGTGCTGCTTTACTTGAAGGGGTGTCCGTCGTTGGACTTCTGCACGGCCTGGACGACAGCCTTGTAGATGCGGAAAGAGATGGTGACACAGAGCAGGGCGAGGAGCAGATAGGAGATCACGCTGATGACGCTGAACGCCGCCAGGGACAGGAGCGTCAGCAGGGACAGGCCGAACACCACGCCCGACTTCTTGGGGTCTCGCCAGTGCACCAAGTCCTTGACTAGAGTGGGTGAGAGATAGGGGTGTGTAGGGGGAAAAGGTGTGTGTGTGTGTGTGTATTTATTGTTTATGAGCAATGTGGAGTAGAGAGATTGGGAGGGAGAACAGAGGGAATAATTCTAGTTACTCATTGCACAACACACGACTAGCAAATTGTGATATCCAACTTCAGACCTATATATAATTATGCTGTGTATTCCCCTCAGGCAACTTGAGTCTAAGCATAACATGCTGTATACATACTGCATTACATTAGCCACCCCCTCAACCGCTCCTCCGTGAATATATATATATATATATATATATATATATATATATATATATATATATATATATATATATATATACACATACCCTGTTATGGCACACTTAAATGGCCTCCCTTCTTCATCTCCATGAAAAGGAGGCATTTAGAGAAACCTTGTGTAAATGGCTGACTCGCCACGTGGGGCCATGCCTCTGGGGGCCCCAGGCCTGAGCTGCTGTGAGTTTCAGACAATTAAGGGGGAGAGAGCAGAGAGAGAAGAGCAGAGCAGAGAGAAGAGCAGAGAGAAGAGCAGAGCAGAGAGCAGATCAGAGAGAGAAGAGCAGAGAGAGAAGAGCAGAGCAGAGAGAAGAGCAAGAAGAGCAGAGAGAAGAGCAAGAAGAGCAGAGAGAGAAGAGCAGAGAGAGAAGAGCAGAGAGAGAAGAGCAGAGCAGAGAGAAGAGCAGAGAGAGAAGAGCAGAGCAGAGAGCAGATCAGAGAGAGAAGAGCAGAGAGAGAAGAGCAGAGCAGAGAGAGAAGGGCGAGAAGAGCAGAGAGAGAAGAGCAGAGCAGAGAGAAGAGCAAGAAGAGCAGAGAGAGAAGAGCAGAGCAGAGAGAGAAGAGCAGAGCGGAGCAGAGAGAGAAGAGCAGAGAGAGAAGAGCAGAGAGAGCAGAGCAGAGCAGAGAGAGAAGAGCAGAGCAGAGCAGAGAGAGAAGAGCAGAGCAGAGCAGAGAGAGAAGAGCAGAGCAGAGAGAGAAGAGCAGAGAAGAGCAGAGCAGAGAGAGAAGAGCAGAGCAGAGAGAGAAGAGCAGAGCAGAGAGAACAGAGCATAGACAAAACCCTTCCCACTCCCCTCCAGAGGATCCATTAATGCAACCACACAGAGGAAATTCTGTTGGCATTTTGGTTTCACTCACACTCCCCTCACAAATTTACACGAGATTGAGTAGAGGAGAAAAAAACGATATCCTGTTACAGTAACAGGATTGTGTTGTGAAATTAGGCTACATTGCAGCTAGTTTTACATGATTAAAATACTCACTCACCATATTGGCTGCAGTATGTCATTGTTAACTGGCAATTCTAGACAACTGTGGGTGTTAATTGAGGGAGGTTTGAGTGAATAAATTAAGATACTTCATAGTGCTCTTTTACCCACGTTACAACTAATGTAATAAGAACAAAATAGTGTTAATTCACAAACACTGCACCTCTGCAGGCCTATTTTTAATCACAAATTTAAAACTCCATTATTAAAATACCAAAATGTTCCAAATATACTACAATATAGAGTTGTGTATCAGTTCAAATGTGAAGCACGGCTGCTTGACAGTGAAAAATGTACTTGTTTACAGACTGACAGAGCAGAGCAGAGCAGCAGCGCCCCTGTCGTATGAGCACACAGACAGCACTCTAATGTTCCTGATGCCGCCTGACTGGCTGCTGAGCAGTGGGGTTTCCTCACCCAGCACTGCAGGGGTCCGAGTCCCTCCCAGCATGCTTTGCTGGTACCCACAGTGAGGCAGCCTGGGCTGACGTCCCTCGTTCATCATCACCCCCCCCCCCCCCCCCCCTCCGCGTTATAGGCTCTAGATCTAGCAGTGTTCCCAGTGGCAGCAGAGCTGCAGTGGCCTGCTTTCTACCTCACTGGGCTGCTTTCTACCTCACTGGGCTGCTTTCTACCTCACTGGGCTGCTTTCTACCTCACTGGGCTGCTTTCTACCTCACTGGACAGCAAGCAGCTCTTAAAAAAGGTACAGGCACCACACCACTGCCTGCTGGCAAGCGTGTGTGTGAGACCCTAATACAACATAGCCTGGCCACAGATTTGAATTCTTTACTCCTGCGAAGCTAAACCAGCTGCTAAAGCTTCATTATGTGATTCAAATACCATAGGTGATTACACACACTGGCATGGGTGGATAAGTTTGATTCAAGTATTCACATGATCCACTTCCTTCCGACTGACTGGCTGGCCCCGGCCCTATCCCTCCCAGTCCTAGTCTACATAAACACAGGATTAACACAAATCTTACTGCTACAATTGGACTGCCTGATTTGAACTAATCTTTAAAGGCTTGGCAGCAAGTCGAGATTTACTTACTAGCCCAAGAGACCACAGTTCAAATGTGTACCCTATTTGGGAAGATCACAGATTCATATCAGCATGAGTGTGTCCATTTCTTTTTGCAGCCCATTGATGGAAAACTGGTATGCCCACGCTGCATTTTTCATCAACAATGGAGCCAAGCCAACTAAAACAGGTAGTTAAAACGCGCTAAAATAAATGTAACTCAACTACCCAGGCATACCTCGCCTAATAACCAGCTGAGTTGAGGCAGCAACACTGTGGAAGGATGACTGAAATAGCAGAGAGTCAGTGGTTGAGGGAAAGGACAAGGTTCAAATGGAAAAAAGGGCACTTACAAGAGAAATCCTATACATGTAGCAGATTGAGGGGAAAATAGACCCAAATATTTAAGCTATGCTTTTAAGAACACCTGCTCTTTCCATGACAGAGATTGACCAGGTGAAAGCTATCATCCCTTATGGATGCCACTTGTTAAATCCACTTCAAATCAGTGTAGATGAAGGGGAGGAGACAGGTTAAAGAAGGATTTTTAAGCCTTGAGACAATTGAGACATGGATTGTGTATGTGTGCCATTCAGGGGGTGAATGGGCAAGACAAAATATTTAAGTGCCTTTGAACGGGGTATGGTAGGTGCCAGGCACACCAGTTTGTGTCAAGAACTGCAACACTGCTGAGTTTTTCACGCTCAACAGTTTTGTGTAGATCAAGAATGGTCTACCACCCAAAGGAGATCCAGCCAACTTGACAACTGTGGGAAGCATTGGAGTCAAGATGGGCCAGCATCCCTGTGGAACGCTTTTGACACCTTGTAGAGTCCATGCCCCGATGAATTAAGGCTGTTCTGAGGGCAATAGGGGGGAAAGGAAGGTGTTGGTAATGTTTGGTATCCTCAGTGTATATAGTGCATTATTGACCAATATGTTCTAATAAAAATGCGCCTTTAGCCTCTACTATATACACATTGTGCTAAAGCGTCTCTTTCAAACAGTACTTAACTGTAATACTTCAATATCATTCCCTCCACGACTCCCCTAGTTACTGGTTGCCTCAGTGATGACCTACCGTTCCATAGCATGCCCGTGGTGTAGGTTACACTCACAGTGACTGTACATGTTTGAGCGCATCCTGCATTCACTTGTCTGCATACCAGTCAATGTGTGGCAGGTTTGGATTTCATTTTTGCACTGAGCAGGAAGAGAACAAGAAGGGGGGTCCCCTATTTGTGTGTGTGTGGGGGGGGGGGTATTTGCTTTAACTCTACACCGTGAATTAGCAGGCTACTCTGCCACTGGGTAAATCAAATCACAGACGACCATTACACTAAACGTATATAAATAGAGTAAACGTTACAGCTTGTAAGATGGTACGTAACAATGACAGCAGTGATAAGGACGTAATATTGGCAGAAGATGATATATAAGACAGATATTGAGCAGAAGTCCATTTTACTGTGTCCTTTGTACCATTAAAACCAAATTGGTCACATAAAAAAAAAATATATAATATTCTAGGCGTATAATTTTCCAGAGAAGGGAGGGAGGGGGGGGCTGTATCATGATTCAAGAGGAGAGGACAAGACCTAGCTAATTAGAGCAGTTGGTACCCTGCATCTCAACCTACAGTGACAATTGTCACACAACATAAAAAGAAGCGGGCCTGCATCACTTCCAATCCCCCATGTTTTTTTTACACATACACACATATAAATATATACACACACACACACACATATCAATATATATACACACAGTGAGGGAAAAGTATTTGATCCCCTGCTGATTTTGTACGTTTGCCCACTGACAAAGACATGATCAGTCTATAATTTTAGTGGTAGGTTTATTTGAACATTGAGAGACAGAATAACAACAAAAAAATCCAGAAAAACGCATGTCAAAAATGTTATAAATTGATTTTCATTTTAAAAATGAGGGAAATAAGTATTTGACCCCTCTGCAAAACATGACTCAGTACTTGGTGGCAATCACAGAGGTCAGACGTTTCTTGTAGTTGGCCACCAGGTTTGCACACATCTCAGGAGGGATTTTGTTCCACTCCTCTTTGCAGATCTTCTCCGAGTCATTAAGGTTTCGAGCCTGACGTTTGGCAACTCGAACCTTCAGCTCCCTCCACAGATTTTCTATGGGATTAAGGTCTGGAGACTGGCTAGGCCACTCCAGGACCTTAATGTGCTTCTTCTTGAGCCACTCCTTTGTTGCCATGTGTTTTGGGTCATTGTCATGCTGGAATACCCATCCACGACCCATTTTCAATGCCCTGGCTGAGGGAAGGAGGTTCTCACCCAAGATTTGACGGTACATGGCCCCGTCCATCGTCCCTTTGATGCGGTGAAGTTGTCCTGTCCCCTTAGCAGAAAAACACCACCAAAGCATAACGTTTCCACCTCCATGTTTGACGGTGGGGATGGTGTTCTTGGGGTCATAGGCAGCGAGTTGAGTTGATGCCAAAGAGCTCGATTTTGGTCTCATCTGACCACAACACTTTCACCCAGTTCTCCTCTGAATCATTCAGATGTTCATTGGCAAACTTCAGACGGGCCTGTATATGTGCTTTCTTGAGCAGGGAGACCTTGCGGGCCCTGCAGGATTTCAGTCCTTCACGGCGTAGTGTGTTACCAATTGTTTTCTTGGTGACTATGGTCCCAGCTGCCTTGAGATCATTGACAAGATCCTCCCGTGTAGTTCTGGGCTGATTCCTCACCGTTCTCATGATCATTGCAACTCCACAAGGTGAGATCTTGCATGGAGCCCCAGGCCGAGGGAGATTGACAGTTAC